TAATGCTTTTTTACCTTTATTATGCCGTATCTTATCAAAGTTTTATTGCTTTACTCTTGGGTCCTAGAGTGTTTGCTAATTTTTAACTCAAGATAGCGTTTCCTCAGCCATTTTCTGAAATTTGAAGAGTCCTCACCTGTTATTTTTGTGTCTGTGTCTTTGTGACAGTGTTTAAGTGTTGTATGTGTTGAATGTGAGTTGTGAGGGTGGGTGGAGTGTTGTATTTGTGTTTTTATCCTGCTTGAATGAACAGCACTTTGTGCAATATTTTTCATATGAAAAGTGCTTTATAAAGAAAGTTTGATTGATTGATTGATTTTTAGAATGTGGAAAATACAGGGGAATTATTTGTTAATGGTTTGATTTAGGTGAAAAATAAATAATAGTTTTCTCCCTTGTTTCTTTCAAGATGGCTTTTGGATTCTGAAGTTCAGCGGAAGACCATTCCAACCTAACAGCATTCGATTTAATTGCATACCCAATCTCTTCAAAAACAAAATGATACTGACTCTAAACACCCCCAAAAACTGAATGGATGAAATTTTCTCTCTTTCCTCCTTATTTAAAGAGCACAACTGTCTTTCACTCATTTAGCTACAGAAATGGATGAAAAAAGTTGGAGTGGTTTTTGGTAGCCACAAAATGAAAAAATGGGAAACTGTGTGTACCTCTTTCAAACATGCTCTTGTATTAAATTAAGTGGAAGTAGAAACACCCTACCACCTAGCAAATGTGTTATGCCTCCTTATGATACAAAGTTTTGACTGAAGGTTATCATTACACAGTGAACTTAATCTATGAAGCTGTGTAGATATATTTTTCTTTTCTTAATGGTAACTTTCTGTTAGACATAGATCAACGAGTTGTCATTTAATTTTAAAATGAGGATTAAGGATTTGTTTTTCCTAGTCCTTACACATTTTAGAGAATGTTTTTAAACTAAAAGGTCTTCAAATGAAGACTTATCCCACTAGAGAACAAAGCCAGAGAACTGGGCTTCACTATTAAGTTCTCAAGTCACTCCTGGCCTCTCTATATGTTCAGTCTCAAGATGCTTACACTGTTGCTTCTTTTGCAGCATCGTCCACAAACATTTGTTTGAACAAAAATTTTGATTTGTATTGACAGCTTGATGTCTCAAGAAGGAAGTTAGCAAAGCAAGCACATGCTGCAAATTACATAAATGCCAATTTTCAGAGCAGCAAAATATTTTGATCATTCCTTGACTATGTTAAGTGTGTAATAATGATTTAGATTTACCAAATGGATTGTACATCTAGCCTGCATTTTATAAATTCATTATTTCAGTTTGTTTGGGCCAGATTCTGTTGCCAATGTTTAAGACCATTTAAGTTAATCGGTTGGCAATAGAGAACTGCCACTCCAGCCCAGATGAAATCCAGGCACATTTCTATTATGGCAAAGGTGCCCAATCCATTCTTAAAAATTTAATCACTGCTCTGTCAGTGACATGTTGTATAAATCAATGCTTGAAAATAATGGTGTTGAAATTTTTTAAGTCGAAAATTGTATGAGTCTACCATGGATCGATCATCTCTTAGAACCGCATGCTGTAGAATCGCTTAAAAAGGTGCATATGGGTTAAATCTTTTGATGTTCCTTAGAATAAAAACTTGTTAAATATCAATCAATGCAATGCTATGAATAGTTGCTTTTCCTTTTTTTGGGTGTGTGTGTATGTGTGTGTGTGTGTGTGCTTGTGCGTGCGCGTGTGCATGTTCCTGTTTGGGTTTTGGGAGTAGGTTGGGGTTGCTACTCGGTGCATACCTTGTTTAACCCATTTGTCAAAGCTATGCACTTGGGAGCAAACCCTTCCAAAATCGACAATTTCTTACTTCTTATCTGAGGAGGGAAATTATCATTGAACAAGCAACACACACTCCCACAACTGTGTACATTCATACACTTAAACACAAAATCAAATGGCACAAATAGTTGTAGCAAAGATAATTTCACATACAAATAATACATTTTATAAAAGTTTTGTGTGTGTCTTTGTGTGTATATATGTATATATATATATATATATGTGTGTGTGTGTGTATAAATATATATATTTAAATGTATGTTTGTGTGTATATGTGTGTATATATATATATATGTGTGTGTGTGTGTGTGTGTGTGTGCATACGTCCGTGTGTATGTATAGTGTATATATATAAATATATATATACACACACACACACAAACACATATATACACATACACACAGACATATATACACACACACACATACATAAATATATGTGTGTGTGTGTGTGTGTGTGTGTGTGTGTGTGTATATATATATGTATATATATTTATATATATACGTGTGTGTGTGTGTACACGCATACATACACACAGATGTATGCATAGAAGTTCTATATGCAGGTGCACCTCAATGAATTAGCACATCATGGAGAAGTTGATTTATTTTAGGTAATACAGATTTAAAAATTGAAACTTATGTAAATTCATGACACACAGACTCAGATATCTCAAGTCATTATTTGTGTTTATTTCGATGATTGTAACACAACTCTTGAAAACTCAAAACTCAGTAACTCAGAAAATTAAAATATTGCTTCAGATTTATTAAAATAAAGGATTTTTAACACAGAAATGTTGGATTACCGAAATGTAAGAACATGTATAGCACTGGGGCTCCCTTTTCATGAATTACTGCAGCAATGCGGCATAGCATTGAGACCATGAGTTTATGGCACTGCTGAGGTGTCATGGTGGCCCAGGCTGCTCTGATGGTGGCCTTCAGCTCTTCAGCGCTGTTGGGTCTAGTGTCTGGCCATGGTCCTCAAACCAGTTACCGGTACTTTTGGCAGTGTGAGCAGGTGTCAAGTCCTGCTGGAAAATGAAATCAGCATCACCATGAAGATGTTAGATGGCTGTGCTGACTTTGGACCTGGCCAAACACAGTGGACCAACACCAGCAGATGACATGGCCTTCCGTGAAGCACTGACTCCAGCAGCAGTCCACTTCTTATGAATCTCCCCTAATTCTTGAATAGTCCTTGTTTCTCATCCCTCTTCAGGCTGCAGTTAGCTCTGTTACTTGTTCACCCTTTTCTTCTTTCCTTGAATGTGCTTGGATACAGCACTTTGTGAACAGCCAGCTTCTTAAGCAATGAATGTCTGTGTCTGACCCACTTTCTGCAGGGTGTCAATGATCATCTTCTGGACACCATGAGTCTCCAAAACTGAACTGCTTCTTAATATCTACATTTCTGAGAAACCAAATTTAGGGTTTTCATGAGCCCTATGTAAAAATCCCCCCAATTTTTTTTCTTCTCCCTTTTTCCTTTTCTAAATTTTTTCTTAATTATTACATTTATTTAAGTTCTTAATATTAGAATCTTTATTTTTATAACTGCATTTTTGCACTCTTTGTCTGTGATGCTGCTGTGACAAAAAAATTTCCCCCATGGGGGATCAATAAAGGAATATTCTATTCTATTCTATTCTAAAATGAAAAAAAACCAAAAAAAAAAACCACTTGAAACATCTCAGTCTGTGTGTGACAGGTCTAAATGATATATGAGTTTCACTTTTTCAATCTAATTTACTGAAAAAAACTATTTTTCATGATATTCTTATTAATTTATGTGCACCTGCATGTACACTCTCTCTTTCTCTCTCTATCTCTCTCTCTCTCTCTCACACACACACACACACACACACACACACACACACACACACACACACACACACACAAACACATATTAATACTATATACACATGCACATATATATGTGTGTGTGTGTGTGAGTGTGTGTGTGTATTAACAACTATCTATTTCTGAATGACAGAATGAGAATGTTCCGTGGGTTTTTTTCTTGTACACAAAGGCGCTTTTCTAGCGCTTGTGAAAACTTTTTTCATTGTTTTTTTTCTCTTCCACTGTACAAATACAGTGCTGTAACAGTGTATTAAGTCTGGAGTTGGCAAAAGGATTAGTTATTTAAAACATTGTTTAAATTCCCCTTCGTTTTACTTCCTTCATTGATAAACTGTAGAGCTCTGCGCCCTAACTACTCCTTCTCACCTTTTGTATTTAATTTTGAAGTCAGTCAATGTACAACTGAAAGCTGGATGCAAGATAGAAACTATATTAAAATGTACTGTTATTTAAGATGTAATAAAAAGCAGTTTGAGATGAAGTGTGTGGTGTGATTCACTGAAGCAGTTATACTGTTTGGTATGGGCTGAGATTTTAGCCACTAGAAACTGTAATTGATCTAGAAAAAATGCATTTCCTTGAAAATGCATGGAAATACTGACTGCTGAAACAGCCATGCAGAACTGTTAAAAAAGGAGAAAAGTACGAATGGAAAAAGTTTTGAAGAGGTGGAGTACAAGAGGAAGAAGAAATTCTATGAATGTTAAAAATGTGAAATAGCAGCAGTTGAACAAGTTTTATGAATGTAGAAATTTTAGAATAGCTAAAGTTAAAAGGAATAAGTTTTATGACTTATGTGAATAAACAGAAGTAATGAGTACTGTAAGTGCTTCGGAAAGACACATGACTAAACATTATTGTGTAACAATGTCCCCATTAAATGTGCAAATACTCAAAAGATGTTTGCAGTCAGCAACACGTAACCCTAGTATTGTAATGGCATAACACCACCTAGTGGTGTGCTTCAGTTACTGCCTTACATAGAAGTTTAAGGGTGTTACAGAGCTGAAGTAAAAAAAAGTTGAATAAATGTAAAATTATTCCAGTGCTAAAAAAGTTATATAAATGCATAAAATATTTAAGAGCTTAATTTACAATAGTTGTACGATAGAAAAAAATTATTAAAATGGAAAAGAAGATGTATGACTTATATGAATAAACAGAAAATGATCACCGTAAGTGCTTCGGAAAGACAAGCACCTGAACATAAATGTATAATAGGGCTGCAACTAATGATTATTTCCATAACTGATTAATCAGTTGATCATTTTTTCGAGTAATCAATGAATTGGATACAAAAACATTTTTAATTTCCACCTCTTTATTTTGAGAATGGAGCATTTGAACTGACAGAGCAAACAAGTACACAAAAGCCAGGTTGCTGCTCAAATGTTCAGTTACAATAATATTAATTTTTTTTTTTTTTTAAGTTTCAAATAGCAAAAGCGAATTAATAAAGTCGCTTTGCGGCACGGAGGAGAGGAGATGCGGGGTGGTCCTGTACCGCAATTACCGGCCTCTCTCCCATCGTTGCTCTTGGTGCCAGTGGTGGTGTGTGTCGTGTGAACGGCTGCTGATTGACATGTCTAGCATTATGAGCGAGGGAGAAAGAGGAGGAAAAGCTGTGAGAGACGCCGCAGCAGCCAGGAGAGGCGAGGGCTGAGCAGAGATCCTTCAAGTTGTCTGGTCATTCTGTTGGCCCTGTAGCTGCAGATCATCGGTATATCAAACAGCTAAGAGGGAGAATCAGGCATGATGAGGCGGTCACCCTGTGAAGTGTGCATGACATCGGTCTCCTAAGGAAGACAAGAGAGTGTCATCTTGTGAGAAAACTACTTCTTTAGTAATTAGAAAGAGTTTTGGATGCACCTCAGCTGTCTTTCTCTGCGTTTTCATAATCTCAAACTTATCCCTCTCCTCTAGCCATATGGGTCTGTGACGTCATCAACAACATGACTTTTGATTGGCCAGAGGTCTAGCAGGTCCAGATATTCGCCTGCGAATATCCGAAAAATTCGACACAAGAGCGAAAAAATAAAAGCGGCTTTTCGTCCCCCGGGAAAATCGTCGCCGGTGTGGAAGCTTCCATTGACTTTATGCTGTTTTAAAAAAAGGCGAATAATTCGCCTAGCGAATTCGCGCCTGGTGTGTAAGGACCTTAACTACCGCAGTACAATCACAGTTTTTTCATTTCTAGCTCTCTTCGGAGCTGGAACTCCCGATCCTCTTTCTCCATTTGAAGATGAGCTAACCGTACTTTCAACCAGGCATCGAGCCAAGAGCCAGGTGTTGACTCTGCTGAGAAAGGAACAAACGGCGGAAAAGTTAACGGCTTTTCCTCAGCCTTACCACTTTGTACAACAGGAGCCAAACCAACAGGAGGCTCATTCATCCCCTCCATCTCCTCCAGGATCAGAGTGTTCCTCAGCAGAGAACACAGCTGCTAACCCTGTGTCACCTGATACAGGTAAACTAAAGATGCCTTTATTCATTAAGCTTTCCAAAAGAACATCCTTCAATTCAGCTTTAACACGAGAACTGGACACAGGAATATCACTCTTTTATACTTGTCAAACTGTCAGTGTTGGATTTGATACAAACACAGTTACATCAAAAGCTGCCATTGTAAAAGAGAAAAACAAGAAATACAGCACAACCAAAAATAGCCTCGCAACACTAAGCAAAGTAAACCAATGCTACCACTACTGAATCACATCCACCGGTGACAACACATAAGGTTAATGTCTTATGTGTAAATGTATATGTACACATAAGATTTTTCTACCGCTTATTCCCGTTCCCGGGGTCGCGAGCCTATCCCAGCATCTTCAGGCAAAGGCAGGGGACACCCTGGACAAGTCACCAGTTCATCACAGGGCTGACATACAGAGACAAACACCTACAGACAATTTGACAGTGGCCAATTAACCTAACCACACTTCTGCATGTTTTTGGGATGTGGGAAGACAATGGAGTACCCAGAGTAAACCCACACAGACACAGGGAGAACATGCAAACTCTGCACAGAAACGCCCTGACCCGGATTTGAACCCAGGACCTTCTTGCTGTTAGGCAATAGTGCTAACCACTACACAACAGTGCCACCCACCAAACAAATTGAGCACAATCTAACCCTACCAACAACAAACCTCCTCAGAACCTGCCTAATTGAACTCTACCTACCTATCTTCTGGAGCATGCCAGGCTCGAGGTGAGTTACAGGCAACACATCAGCGTTCAAAATGTGAAACGCTAGCCCCCTTTAGAGATTTAAATCTCCACCCAGGATTACTCCAAAAATAAAAAAAGGCCAAACAATAAATGAGTGCCTGTTGGAAAGGCTTATTCAGCCCCCCTAGACACTCAGTACTTGAGTTGGGGGGGATGAGGGGGGATGGCATCCCCCCTGAAAATGGTCAAAATCATTCCCCTCCTAAAACGGTCATTCCGACTTTCCATCCCTTGAGCCATTTTTGTCAAGAAATATCTAAATATTACAACTATTTTAAAATTAGAAATATTACGGCAATTATTAATGCAAGAATGCAAAGAAGAGGTACTATGACGACGAAGTCTCTCATCTCAGGGACAACGACAGTGGCAACTGGTTCAAGTCCATCAAAAGGTTGATGGGAGCTGCAGAATCCCAGGTTGAACACACAAAGACTGGTCAGGAATGTGAAACTCTGAGTCTCCACTTCTCCTCTGTGTGGGAGACTATAAAACCTCGCCCCCTCCTGGTCGATGATGGCAGCAATCTACCCAGTATAACTACTAATGTCACTTACAGCATTGGGCAGGTGAAGATGCTTCTTCGTAAAGTTGATGGGAAAAAGGCAGCTGGGAAGGACGGCATCCCTGCCTGGATTCTTAAGACCTTCAATGAAGAGCTCGCTCCAGTGCTGACTCATCTGTTTAATGCTTGTCTGAAAGAAGGATGTTTCCCTACCCAGTGGAAAGACTCTTTAGTCTGTGCAGTTCCTAAGTGCAGTAAACCACGATTCCCACAGGACTATCGACAGATCTCTCTTCTGAGCTGTGTCGGCAAAGTATTCGAGGGAATCCTAAGGACCAACTTCTGCAGGAAACTGAAAAATCTATACTTAATTCACAGCATGGGTTTATGAAGAACAGATCCACTGTGTCAGCATTATTGCACATTCTGCAGAGCTGGCATAAGATGTGATGGATGAGAGATGTGATGTGCATGTCACATTCATTGACTTTAACCGTGCTTTTGACACAATCAGCCATGGTCATCTCCTTCATTCACTGAAAATGCTTGGAGTAACGAAGAACATCTGGCAAACAGTGAGCAGCTATCTGGAGGATAGGAGGCAAACCGTCAAATGGGGAAACCATCTCTCCAAGCCGCAGGTAGTTTTAGCTGGTGTTCCTCAAGGTGGGGTTCTATCCCCTCTCCTGTTTGTTCTCTGCATGAACTCTCTTGATCAGTTTTTACCAACCAGTGTCGAACCAGTCAAATATGCAGATGATTTGACTCTCAGCAAACATCTCATGGGATCCCTGCCGGGCCAGATGCAAGCAGCTGTTGACGCAGTTACAGCCTGGGGCCAGACCTACTGCCTTGCAGCCAATGCTGGGAAGACTAAGGACATGGTTATTAGTTTCAGGGAGCCTCAAAATAGATCAATTCCCCCTCCTATAGTTTTGAACAACCAGGCTGTAGAGAGGGTGGATACATTCAAGCTCCTTGGAATCCAGTTGTCCTCTGACCTGAGATGGGATGCACAAGTTCAGTCTATGCTGAAGAAGGTTCAGCCACGGGTTCATTATCTGAGTGTGGCCAAACGGGCACAGCTCCCCCAGATGTGCTGACCCAGGTATATGTGACCTTCATCAGACCAGTACTGGAATATGCTTCACCTGTCTGGGCCGGCCTATCAAAACACCTGATCCAGGAACTGGAAAGTCTGCAGAGACGGTGCTGCCGCATCATTGGGATACCAACTGACTCCTTTCCCACTCTGGAGGCAAGGCGAGAGGAGGTTATCCTGAGGGAGTTCAATCGGCTGCTGAAAGATAGGACCAGTCCAATGATCCAGAGCCTGTCTACAAATTCAAGCCGCTACACATTGAGAAATGGGAGGACACTCACACAACCTGGGAGTCACACAAAAAGACATCAGATGTTGTTCCTCCCAAGAGCCTACAAGCTGTACCAGAAGTAATAGAAAGCTTTTTAGATGTGTTGACAGTTGATTTTTGTTTTGTTTTTCTTAATGAATTGAGCGGTCCTCTTGTATTTTAAAATGTAAGAAACATCATAATTCATATTGTTATGCAATGATGTTTTTCAAATAAACTTGAAACTATTAAGTTTAGCAGGTGTGACGGAGCGTTGTCCCTACTGACAGTGGACAGCACATGAAGCCACACACACGCACGCACACACACACACGCCAAACATTTCCCTCTCCGTCAGCATCACTAATTACCCACTAAACTGCGCTACGTTCCCTTTTCTCTGTTAGATAGGGTAACCAAGGTTGCACACTTGGAGCTCCATCAGTAAACTTAAACATACATTCACATAAATATTCATCCTTCCACGTACTTGCCTGGGCATCCATTTCAGCCATCATGCCGGGTCATGTTTCCAAATGAGGAAACAGAGCCCATGATTTGAATCCCTAAAAAATAATGCTTCATTGATTTGTGTAAAAACTTGTAAAAAAACAATGGCAAAAACTTACAGAAAAAGGTCTAAAAGTTAAAAATGGTGAAAATGGTTTAGATGTGAATAAATATGTTTTTTCAAACTTATGTAATTGATAACCCCCACTGGGAGGGGCTGTGGGGGTTAAAAGAAAGCTGCCTGAGCCTTTCTTTGAGTCTGGAGTTTGTTGTTTGTAAGGTAACTGACTTTTGTAGTGCTGCTGTGTTTCTGTTTTTTCTCTTGAGTGAGAATTTTGAGTTATAGTGGAAAGCCTGCCTTGTTGGCATTTTCTTTTTTGCCTTGTACATATTTATAAATAATATTTGATCCTTTTTTTTGCACTTTTGCAAAAAATTTTGCACTGCACCTTGGAAGGCTGGCTGTAAATAAATCTTATTACCATCACTGTGTTTTCTGCTACGCCTGTGTTTTTCCACTGTATTGTGATTGTTTGAGCAAGAACCCAGTGACAGGGGGCTGTGCTATTTAGTAAAATACTCTGGGTGAGGTGGCACATGTGAAAATGACTTTTTTTTTTTTCCTTTTTCTAAAAAGATGACATCTGTGAGTGAGGTGGTGATGCTATTGCACCAAACAACATGGACAGCTCAATCTGAGGGATTATGTAATATAATAATTATCTTTGTGCTTAAGTAACAATAAAATGGGTACATAGTTGGTTTCCCACCATGTGCACTGTCATGAGAACAAAATATTTGCCCAAACAATAAAATCCACCATCCCCCCAGAATTTTTTTTTTCACCACTCAACTACTGTAGACACTCCCCTAACTCACCTGAGGAAGCTGTTAATGCACAGTAAAGGTTAGTCAACCTGGCAAGCAGACATCAATACTTACGCATGTAACTAAGAAAAAAGGAACACAATACAAAAGAAAACCTCACTTATACCACAGATTAATTTCCCTCTCAACTGTTTACTTAAAATATCCCGGACGAGCCCCCAAATTGTTTTGTACCAAAGATGTGAAAAGGGGGATGAGGGAAGTAACGTGACCACGGACAGGTGAACATGGCGTTGAACAATGAGGAACAGCCCATTAACAGTTTAGAGGAGGACTTTTAAAAAAGGGAATGTTGACGACCTTGAATCACGCAGTAGGAGAAATAACATCAGAATAATAGGCCTGAGAGAAGGAGCTTAAGCATATGACCTGATGGGGATGCTGGGCCGTGTATTTCAACTCATACTGGGAGGGAGCGAACCAGCACCTGAAGTGGACCGGGCCCACCGAGCTTTTCGGCCGCAGCCAGACCAAGGGCATCCACCCTCGCAACATCGTGGTCTGTCTACTCAGATGGGGTGATAAGCAGAAGATCCTTGCTGCAGTGAAGAAAGGAAAACCTCTCTCCTGGGAAGGCCAAACTGCCCACCTTGTAGTAACCATAGATGGTGAAAAGTTTACCTACAACAACCCTAATCTGGCACAGAGAGAGCTGCAGAAGAGGCTGCACAGCCCCTGTACCAGTGCACCAGAAACCAGCCTGGGATGACTTTGTGAGTTCATGATACTGAGAATGGTGATCTCTTCTTTTGATTTATTGTTATAATACACAGATATTGTGTGACTTCGATTATTTTAATATCTGTAGTCAAACGGGGGTCACCCACACATTATAAACAAATTGTGGGGACTTTTTTTTTGTCTTTTTGTTTGTGGGTTTGACCGTTTAATGTCAAGAAACATACAAACCGAGAAATACATTTAACTTAAGTCCTCTCTCAGCAATTTGACTGTTTTGGATAATAAAGATTGTAGAGATTTCTCATTCAGGCATAGCCTAATTAATTTGATTTTTGCAGGGTCTCCCTTGTATAAAATCCTACTAATTGAAGCGGACATGGTCTGGTTATCAATCATACTGCACCTACACCCGGCTATCACGGATTTAAGATGATTTGGACTTTCATCTTATTGTTAATTATTTCTAATCTACCTTTTGTGGATTATCTGTGTTGTCAATGTGTTATTTTTGTTTTATGGGTTTTTGTAAGTTTTCCCTCTTTTCTCTGTAGTGCATGCTCCCTAGTTACACCAAAAGGGGTTCTCTTCTATTAAATATTCTTAATGGATATGAACAAAATTAAAGTAATTTCTTGAAATATAAATGGAATACAAAACCCAGTGAAAAGATTTAAGGTCTTTTCCCACTAAAAACTCTTGAATGTGACATAGCAATGCTACAAGAAACTCATCTTTCCAAAGAGGAATCTTTAAAGTTAAAACAACGCTGGGTGGGACAGATTTTCTTTTCTCCAAGGACAAGTGCCTCAAAAGGGGTTTGTATTCTTATTTCTAAAAAAAATGTGTTTACTGTTTTGGATGTGATCATAGATAAGGAGGAAAAAATGGGTGATAGTCTCAGGAGAACTGGAAAATAACAAAATTATTTTGGTGAATTTGTATGTCCCAAATCTGGGACAGGCTAGTTTCCTGTCCACAATTAATGTGATGCTAAGTCAGTTTAAAAATATACCACTATTAGTGGGTGGGGATTTTTATTTGGTTAGCTATGCATTAATGGACTGTTCAATTCCACCACTGCCAATGGATAAATCTCTCTCTCTTGCTTTTAAAAAGCTATTAGAAACACAATAATTAACAACGATTGGCGTTCTCATCATTTAAAAGCAAGAGAATATACATTTTACTCAAAGACTCACAACTCCTACTCTCGAATTGAATGTTTTAAATGTTTTTCAAAAGAAATCATGCCAATGCTACTTTGCTTGTATAACCAGATTGTGGACCAGATGATAATGCCACCAACAATGAGATCGGCTATTACTTCATTGCTGCCTAAACCAGGGAAAGACCACTTAGATGTGAAAAACTATAGACCAATAAGCCTGTTCAATAATGACTACAAAATATTTGCGAAAATGTTGGCAAGGCGAATGAAGTAAGTTATTACATATTTAATTAACAATGACCAATTTGGCTTTATCCAGGGGCGCCTGTTATTAGACAACATGCGACGACTCCCGCAAACTATGCAGAGAGCGAGCTTTCTTCAGCATCCAGTGGTAGCAATATCACTGGATGCTGAAAAAGCCTTCAATCGAATTGAATGGTTGTTTTTGTTTGAGTCCCTTTCAAGACTTCCAAGGTGTCTACAATGGATTAAAGTGTTATATGAAGAACCTGTCTCTATAATATAAAAGTAATGGAATACTGTCAACTCCCTTCCAACTATGGCAATCTACTAGACAAGGTTGCCCCCTTTCCCTGTTGCTTTTTATTTTAGCCCTTGAACCATTGGCTTGTGCTATTCATCAAGATAAGGAGATTACAGGTATTTGTATTGGTGGTCATGATTTTAAATTAAATATGTATGCGGACGATATTTTACTGATGTTGTCAGATCCTCTACATTCTTTACCCAAAGTCTTAGAAACCATTAACCATAAACTTTCAGGCTATAAAATAAACTTGAATTAAGGTGAAGCCATTCCCCTATTCAAATTTACACGTTAATGATCTTGGTTCTGCCCCTTTTATTTGGAGATCAGAAGGTATGACACATTTAGGAGTTGAGATCAGATCACCTATTAATGAATTAGTGGACTTAAATGCCAAACCCTTATCGAATAACACAAAGGAAGACCTCAAAGATGGTCTGCCCTGCCTCTGTCCTTATGGGGCAGAAGTGCTAAAGATGAATGTCCTCCCCAGACTAAATTTTTTAGTCATCTATTCCTCTGTTTATTGAAAAATCCTGGTTTGACTGTGTTAACAAAATGTTCTCCTCTTTTCTATGGAACAAGAAGCCTAGAATTAATTGGAAAAAATTATCCCTACCAAGAGATAAAGGGGGTCTCGGTATATCAGATCTTTATTTATATTATCTTTCTTTTAATGCCAGATACTTAATTACTTAGGGATATAAAAAGATTAGAGACAAAGGAAGTTGGGATTGACTTGAAGAACATCTTGTAAAGGAGAAGAACAAACTAGTGTCACTATCTTCACTCTGGTACAGTCCTGTTCCACCTAAGAGGATGGATAATTGCATTATTAAGTTTTCATGTGACATAGGCAGAGAAATTCACAAAAGATTAGATATTGCAAATTCATGCATCCCATCTTCCCCGATATGGTTTAACAATGACTTTAAAGCTGCGGGGAGTCCTCCGTTTAATAATAAATGGTGTAATCACAATATCGTAGAGATCTCTCAAATTGTAGGGAACAGAGAGATTCTACCCTTGGAAGAACTTGTGAAAAGATATAACATGAACCTGAATACCAAAAGTTTTTTACAGTACTCCCAGTTTAAATCAATTGTCTCTAAATGTCCTAAAACCAATTTGGATTATAATTATGAAACTGATAGAAAAAATTCAAAGTTCTGTCATCAAATAGAGGAGTAGTCTCAGGTTTATACAAATTGTTACTTTATTCCACTTCAAACTTAAACTCTAAGACAGAGTCAAAATGGGAACATGACATATGGGTTCAGTCATCTCCTGAAGAGTGGGGAAACATTTGGCGTGACATGAAAACAACTTCCAAATCGCTCAGAGGTAGAGTAACACAAATGAAAATTCTCCACCGAGCCTATATTACTCCCTCTAGACTTAATAAAATGGATCCAAGTACCTCAAATCTGTGTTGGCATAAATGTGGGCAAGTGGGAAGCCTGATTCTTATTGTTGTGGTTCTGCCCTGCTTTTAATTTGTTTTGGGAAGAAGTTTGCAAGTTGATTTCCAAAATTTTTAATGTTAATATTTTGCCATGTCCAGCGTTATGTCTGTTGGGTCAGAGGGATGAACAGCTGAAAACTAAACAGGAAAGGAAAACAGTTGGCATAGCTTTTTTAGCTGCCAAGAGAAAGATTTTATCTAATTGGAAAATTCCAAAACCAAATTGTTTTTCTGTAGAAACCTTCTTGTCTGTGAGTTGCTCTATGCTTACAAGGTTGAAAAACTCAGACAAACTGAATGATAATAGAGTAAGATCTGAGGTAATTTGGAAACAGATGCAACAGGGTGTGTTGTCTTCACTATCACATCACTGCATTCACATCGATCTCCAGAGGTACTTTACTAATCCTTGCAAGTCGGTGTCGGGGTTCACAGGAGCACATCTTAGCCTTATCTTTCAGGTCAGTTAGCTCTTTGTTAAACTCTGGGGCTTGGAGTCAATCTTAACTCCCCCATCTGACATGGCATCCTGGCATCTTGGTGTGTTGTATCTCCTCAATCTCCAGTCATGATAGCAGCTGCCATTTGTGAATGTTGGAACACGAAGCTACTAGCTGTTTTGGTGTTAGCATTGACTGTGGGTATTGTATCCATCAGCCTGTTCATGTAACCCCGCTGGTTAGGGTTACTGGAGTAGTAGCATTCCAACAGAGCCTTGTTCTCATCTCGTGTCCATTGCCTTCTCTATGTTGTTTCAGTAGCCTATTTGTCATGACAGTGCCCTGGTTTCTCAGCATGTGACGCAGACCTTGTTAGCGCAGGAACCTAGGAACAGCAAAGATACTGCGCAGGACCCTCAAGCTCCCAGGCCTCTGGTAGAGGACCCAAGCTTGAAGAGACACAATACCGCCCAGGGTGGGCGAGAGAAGAGTTTTTTATATATATATATACTGTATATATATATATATATATATATATATATATATATATATATATATATAAGGTCACCAGGTCACTTTAATTGCCATTAGGCCTAGAAACCATGCAGTCAACCCAACGTTTTGACCCAGTTATTGGGTTACTCTCAGAAAAATAGCCCACAATTATTAACCCATTCAAATAACCCTCAAATTAGGTTACAATAGAATCCATATGACCCAAGAAATGGGGATGGATCTGAAAAATAACCCAGAAATTTAACTCACCACAAAAAATCCAGGAATTGGGTTGAAGAAATAACCCATTGTTTTTAGAGTGAACTGGCACAATACAGGATGTTTTCCCGACCAGCTGTAGACTCAGGTTGAATATCTTGTGGAGAGGTTGACACAGTTCTGCAGCACAGTCTCTAAGCAGCCTTGGACACACACCATCTGGGCCAGCTGCCTTCCCGGGGCAAAGTCTTATGCAAAACTTATGCAAAACATTACATGGAATTTCTTCAGTTGATTTAGGTGGGATGTAAACAACTGTTGTTATGATATGACTGAATTCTCTTGGGACATAATATGGCCGAAGAGCAACTGCCAACAGTTCAATATCTGGACAACACAACTTCTCCTTGACAGTTATGTGTGAAGGGTTACACCACCCACTAGCTTGAGCATCTCTGTCTGACCTAATGAGAGTGAAGCCAGGTCGATCCACACTGGAGTCCAAATTGTTTTGATTCAACCAGGTTTCAATAAAACACAGGAGACTGCACTCACAGTATGCTTTCTCAGTCTTCACCAATATCTCCTGCTCATCACTTTTGTTGGGTAGAGAGTTGACGTTCCCCATGAAGATTGATAGAACAAAGGGTTTATATCGCCACCTCCTAGCTTTGTTTTCACCTTTGTACCAGCACATTCTAACACCTCCTGATGTCCTCTGGGATTGTATGTTGTTGTCTAGATTTTCTTTTTCTCAATGAAAGTAGTGCCTCTCTTAAGTGAACTCTTTACCCAGCAGAAGTATCCATAAGCAGCCAAAAAAAAGGATATATATATATTTATACATTTTTTTTTTTAGTATTCATACCACTTCACTTTTACCACATTTTGTTATGTTACAGCCTTATTTCAAAATGGATTAAATTCCCTTTTTCCCTCAAAAATTCTACTGAAAGTACCCCATAATGACAAAGCGAAAAACTTTTTTTAGAACATTTTGCAAATTTATTAAAAATAAGAACACTCAAATGTTGCATATACACAAGTATTCACACCCTTTACTCAATACTTGGTCGAAGCACCTTTGGCAGCGATTACAGCCTCCAGTCTTCTTGTGTATGATGCAACAAGCTTGGCACACCTGGATTTGGGGAGTTTTTCCCATTCTTCCTTGCAGAGTCGGTGCACAGCTACTTTCAGGTCTTTCCAAAGATGTTCAATCGGGTTCAGGTCTCGGCTTTGGCTGGGCCACTCAAGGACATTTGGAGACTTGTCCTGAAGCCACTCCTTTGTCTTCTTGGCCGTGTGCCTAGGGTCACTGTCATGCTGGAAGATGAAACGTCGCCCCAGTCGAAGGTCTTGAGCGCTCTGGAGCAGGTTTTTATCAAGGATATCGATGTACTTAGCTGCATTCATTTTTCCCTCAATCCTGACAAGTGTCCCAGTTGAGTGTTCTTATTTTTAATAAATTTGCTAAATGTTCTAAAAAAAGGTTTTCGCTTTGTCATTATGGGGTATTTTGAGTAGAATTTCTGAGGGAAAAAAGGAATTTAATTGGAATAAGGCTGTAATATAACAAAATGTGGAAAAAGTGAAGTGGTATGAATACTTTCCGGATGCACTGTACATATATATGTATATATATATATATATATATGTTTGATCAGGTCCAAAGTCAGCACAGCCATCTAACATCTTTATGGTGATGCTGATTTCATTTTCCAGCAGGACTTGACACCTGCTCACACTGCCGAAAGTACTGGTAACTGGTTTGAGGACCATGGCCAGACACTAGACCCAACAGCGCTGAAGAGCTGAAGGCCACCATCAGAGCAGCCAGGGCCACCATGACACCTCAGCAGTGCCATAGACTCATGGTTTCCATGCTATGCCGCATTGCTGCAGTAATTCATGAAAAGGGAGCCCCAACCAAGTACTGAGTGCTATACATGTCTTACTCTTCAGTAATCCAACATTTTTGAGTTGAAAATCCTTTATTTTTATTAATCTGAAGTAATGTTTTGATTTTCTGAGATACTGAGTTTTGAGTTTTCAAGAGCTGTGAGTTACAGTCATCAAAATGAAAACAAATAAACACTTGAAATATCTAAGTATGTGTTATGAATCTACATAAGTTTCAATTTTTAAATCTGAATTACCTAAAAAAAATAAACTTCCCCATGATGTGCTAATTTATTGAGGTGCACCTGGAAATTTTTATTATGTTGCACTGACACTTCAACAATGTTTTAATGCACGCATAATAATTTAATTCAACAGTACTGTTTTAACCTGCATTTGTTTCAGCATCACAACTCACCAGGTAATGTTTCCAGAGCTGGTGACAATCTGGTTGTCATCCAGGAAGTGACAGCAGGACAGATAACCTGACAGAAATCAAACAAAGGAACTAATTTACTGATTTATGATGAACTGTTCTCAAGAAGTAGAAACATCTCTATAATTTCTTATCACATCCTTTGAGATTAGGACCCTATGTTATACTTGACTACACTCTCATGCTATTACTTTGTAGTAGGTAGACGTTATGTCATTCCAATCACAGCAACTGATTTAGTCAATGATTTGTTAACTGAAAGGTTGCAAATGAGGAGCCTTCTAAGATTATCAAGATTGAAGGAATAGTTTCCAGGCCAGCAGTGTGACCAGAACAATAGCTAGAGCTTTTTATCTATTTTTTACTATTCCTTGCGCTGCCACCCAAAATATTGCTGCCAGAGGGGTTGGGGGCAACTCTATTTCACGGTTTTTCTTAATCGCTGAAATACATTTTTTTTACATCCACCATGCTTTTCTCAACACTACAAGCACAAAACCCAATTATCAAATTACACTCACCAAACCTTTAACGTCTTCTGCAAAACCAATCACCTCAAAACAGTTCAATATGCACTCAAAACCAGGCAATGTTGTCAGATCATACCCCAAGCCAATCAAAATTAAAAACACTACTAAGCAGTCATTATACACTACAAAAAAAATGAAATACACAATGCTCAAGACATAAAGCTGTAAAAATCATTGTTCACAGTAGGCTAAATGAACTTTGTAAAAACAAAAATCTTCTGAATTTAGCACCTGTATATAGTAAAAATACAGAAAAATCTTGACGAGAAGCACATTACAGTGTAAACTACAATATCAAATTCCAGTGCTTACAGTAACTACAATCATTCAGCCACAGCATCATGTCTTTGTGCTGGGTCAGGCCACAGGACTTCACATGCCACATTCTCCTTGATCAGATAACGGGAAAAAAAAACCTGAACTGGCTTATATTGCTTTCCTTTCATCATTAGCCACAAGAGTGATCAATTTTGAGTCATTGGGACCCCTGTGCTTCAATTGTGTTGAACTTTTTGCTACCTGTGCTTACAATTATGCAACACAAGTGCATGTGTTTTAGTTAATGAGAATGTGTTTGCAAGTTGTGTCTAACCAGGTGAAAAGTGTTAATGGTTTTGCCAAGAGAGTGACTGATTAAATCAATGAGTTCAGGCCACTGAGCATTTGGTTCAGACAATACTGTTTGGAATTTTAGCAGTTGAGAAATACTGAAAGGGCTTTAGAAAAAAAGTCAAAAACATTCCCAAAAGGTTGCAAACTTTTACACTGTAGGAAGAGATGAGACAAGGTTCCCTAATCTATAAAGCATTTCACAGAGTGGGGAAGCATCATGCCATCCTCAAATGTTTTTGTCTTCTGGTACGGTAGAAATGCGATCTTTGAACCACTTAAAACCATAGTTTAAAGTTTTCTACACTTCATCTATGATTTTGATACTTAATTCTCTGTGCCAGCTATCCCTCAATAAATTAAATTATGGATAATTCAAGCTTTGTAAAATACTGTAAAAGTGAGACACAAAACCTTTAGTAAATGGCTCTACTTTTAGGAGACTATCCAAAGCTGCATGATTAATTTTTTGATCATAGTGTGGGACATAAAACCCTTGACAGGACAAATGTGGTCGCAGTATTTGAAACTTCTGCTGCAGTTGCTGAAATAAGGCAAGGTGATCATCACTGTTTTAAAGAGATAACTCCTGTCCCCTTTCCAGTTGTAAATACAATAGGCTGCTCCCCTGGGGGTGCCAGAGGGCTTTAGGGGAGGCGAGGCGAGAGAAAAAATAAACCTGAAAAAAATGTGTAAACATCTGAGTCAAGATGGATCTAATTTTAGTATCGCAAGTGAAAATGAGAGATTCTGGGGCAAGCAGAAAACGGAGAAAGTATGACCCTGATTATTTAAAGTTTGGCTTTTCATGTATTTCATCTACACACACACACACACACACACACACACACACACACACACACACACAACAACAACAAAAACAAAAATAAAATATTTCTCTATTGCACAAATCCTTCAATAGAAAAAAACACTTTAGTTATTTATCTTGTGCAGAACAGGAAGGACACTTTTTAAAGTGCATCATCTCCACCTCCAACATAACAACAATAAAAAAGAAACTTAGATTTCTCAATTGCACAAATCCTTCAATAAAGCATTTACAAAACACTTCCAGAAAATCCAGTTATTGTATCAGGAAAGACACTTTTTAAGGTGCATATTCTCCACCTCCAACATTGCAAAAGACAATAGGGCAATTCTGCACAAAACAGGTTATCAGAGCTTAAATAATAAATATACACTATATACATAAAAGGGGCAAATATTTAAGAAAAATGTAACAAGACAGCATGAGAAGAGAAGAATAATATAAAATATGAAACAAAATATAGACTAATAATCTTACATAGCAAATCACACAAATTTGAACACACTAGAGAAAATTTGATTGTTCTACGAACAGAAAACACAAACTAAAACTAAGACCTGACCTTTCTTGCCTTCCTTGATGCAAAATCATCAATAATCTCATCAGAAGAAATCTGCTACCCTATTAACCCATTAAGATCTGAACCCTGTCTGGGACACACCTCTGAAATCCTGAGGGCAATTTTGCGCAGGGCCCCCAGATCCTGAGGTTTTTTGAAGTGTTGAGGTTTACAAAAAGCTGATATCTCAGCTTTTCAAACCTTCATCACATTATTGAAAACCTTGAACAAACAAACTTAAATGAAATAAAGCAGCTGTTTAAATAAAAGTAAAGATTCTGCACTGGAGAATAACAAACTATTTGCTTTCAGTAAAACAAGTGGCAGTCATGATAAAGTGTCCACCAATGCAAATGTAAATATAAAAAATAAAGTGTTGAAAGGGTATAATGCGAGTACAAAAGCAGCACTGAAAAAATAGAAAATGAATAAATGAATAAGTGTCTAACAGTGTGATCATGTCTGTGCTCACCCAAAGTCATGCAACACTCATAGAAATCGCCGATAGTGTGAGCCAGAGCAATGGATTAAAACAGAGTGGCGACACTCCCATAGGCATACGTTGTACAGCCCGGCGGACCCCACTTCCGGGTTATGGAACGCTTATTAGTTCCAACATGACCGCCTGTCACGTCGGATGCCGTTCACTTCTGTGGCCACAAGACAGACACTCACCGAGGTAAAATGATAAATATCAACAAGTTTAATGCCAATAAGTGTGTTATTGATATCGAGGGGACCCCTTTGTATGTAAAAATGTATATCCCAAATGTAATTACGTTTTTTAGTCAGGAATTGGGATCGATTTTTTTAGCCACTGCTCGCTCCCACACTCCATGAGGTAAAATATTGTATCAATGAATTTAATGCCACTACGCGTGTTAATGGTATCGAGGGACCCTTTTATATGTAAAATGTTTTTAATTTTAATATGCTCAAATTGTAATTACAAATGTAAGTACGTTGTTTTAGTTAGGAATTGGGATCGATTTTTTAGCCACGGCATGCTAGCTGGACGTCGTCAGCTGTAGAGGCCTGCCAAAATTTATTGTGTGACTGAGTTATGAATCACAGATAAATCATCATCATCAGTCATATGTTGAGATGGTTACTTCTGGGCTTTATTTTAGATTTCAGTCTTTATCAGAACCCAATGTTATGTGGAATTTATTCTTTTTAGACTCACATAAGTGCTATGTAATTTGATTTCTGCTTATGTATACCATGGGATGATAGAGTAAAAGGACTGCTACTTTTTAAATTCTGTCAGCATTTAAGGCGTATGTTTAACATGGAGAAATGTTATGCAGGCCATGCTGCAAGACCAAAACATTGCACAATTGTTTAAACAGCTTGTAACACCTGTTACTTACCACTTTATTGTATTATTTATTGTATTATTTTTCTCTTGTGAAAAAGTAACAACTGTAACATCCTTTAATTAAATCTAATCTATTTGAACTTTGAACAGGCAAAAGAGGAGGTCATTGAAAACTGCTCCGTTGGATTCAGCTGCTTGCGGTTGCTGCTGCCGCTTGCACCTGGCTGTGGCACAGGACTACTGGGGTCTGCTGATGGTGGATGAGATCAGGATAAATCCACCTTCTCCTTGACCTGCAAATTGAAATGTAAATTATTATCCTACTCCCTTAACACAAACTGACATGAGGTTGACATTTTTAGGTTGTTCTCTAGGTTCACCTCCTCCTGCTGCTGCCCCTGAGAGCCGCAGCTGGTGTTGGCTAGGGGTGGACACCGTTGGCTGGTGGCTGCTGCCAGCGGCTGGTCGCAGCTGCTGCAGCGAGGGACTACTGGAGTCTGCTGGTGATGGAGAAGGGATGGAAAGCCCGAATACGTCCATGGCAACCAGTAAGGAGCTTGGCAGTGGCCTAGATGACGTTGCCATTGTTGCAGTAGATGTAGCTGTTTTTTTTTTTCCCCTTTTGCTTTGGCTCTTGCTGCTAAAGCACCCTCTCTGTGTGTCTTTCTTTTTTGCAGCGGAGATGAACATAGAGGCAATTCTCAACCTCAGCCGGATGTATCTGGTGAGAATTTTTTTCTGCAGCTCATGGCATGAGGGAAGGTTGCTGTCAAGTTTCATTGCCGCTTGTTCCAGCATTGCCACTGCATTGGTTGATTCCATGAGTGAGTCAACTGAGGTCGCCTGGAACAGCTGCTCCACACTCTGAATGAGAGTGAAAACCTCATCAGATGGCCGGTATAGTGCCCCCCTTTTAAACTCCTTCAATCTGAGAAGAACATCTCTCTCACTTGCATTTTCACTTTCTGTTAGGGAGCTCTGGCATTCCTCACAAAGTGAGCAGCTGATGACCCTCTTCACAATGTATCCTGCCAGGTGGTAGAGGACACAGGACTCTGTTTTTGTGAAGTCAGGTGGTGATGCTGGGTCATCCAGCTGCTCCAGACGCAACACGGGAGGAGGACTGCAGCTGCTTCTTTTTGAATCCAGGAAGTCTGCCAAATGGTCAGATCCGTCATCAAAGTAATTGCCGGTAGGTATTGTGGTGAGGAACTGTCCAACAGTGACAGCTCGCAGTGCGTAGTGGAACTCTGCTGGTGTTGGGACAGGGTTCCTCTGACGAATGCAAGAAAAGGTGTTCTCCAGGCAGTCCTGTGTAAATCGACTTGTGAGAACAAATTTGTGCCCTTTGCTCAACAGGTCTTGCTGGACTTCCAGGATCACTCTAGTGGCCATCACAAGTCCTGTCTGGACTGGTTTCCAGCTGCCCAGGTGACTGATCTTCAGGCCCCGAAACAGGTGGATGCTGTCCTGGAGAAAGTGGATGGCTTTCTCATACTCCTCCATTTTGAACAGGCTGAGAGCAGTAACAACATTCCGGGAAGACATGAGGTCAAACCAGTGGTCCATCTTCTACAAAAACCATGATGTCACAAGGTAGGATTGTGGTCGCTGCTCCTCCTCCACAAGGAACCTCAGGGCAGCACTCGTTGCCTTGCTGAAAATATGCATCGCAGAACTAACCTTCATTTTTTCAAAATGGTTAGGCTCAAGGATGGCACGGGACAGTTTTGGTGCCAGTTTAAGTTCCATGCTCTCCTGGAAGGAAACAAGATCCTTTAGGGGATCAACAGATACGACACTGGACGCCAGCTGCTCTTTGTGCACCACATCTTGTGGAATGGTGATGGTTTGACCCCGGATGAGGGCACTTCTCAAATTCTTGACAAGATGTGGAACATCAGCCATGAAATAGAGCCGCCTGTGTTGCTCAACAGGATGGGGTATCCATGGCTTATCCTGGGTCACCCCAAATGACTTCCACATTGCCCGATTGGGACTCCCCATGTCACTGGTGATATTTATAACATGAAGCCCCACAGATGCTGCAGCTTCTACGATGGAAATGATGATGGGCTGATAAACTGAGCCGTCTGTAGAATTACCGCTGTAGTGGTAAGCAACAATTTGCTTCCAGCGTGTTGTTACACCAGCGAGCATAAACACACAGGCATGCGTTGCTTGCCCTGTGTGACCAGGAAGTGTTACGTTGCCAAATAGTCTCCCCATTCCCATATGCAGCTCCACACCTGGAGTGATGGCCATCTCGTCCAGTGTGAGTACACATTCCCTTTCCATGTTGTTCATTCCCTCTGCCTTCAGCTTTAACATTTTGAACACCTCCATCAACACTCAAGGCTCCATCTTAACATGCTGCATCCTCCGTTGTGTAGTCCTAATGTCAGGTAGTGGGATTTTCATTTTTTGTAATGTTTTGTAGCCTGTTGTGCCAGCAGTAAATCGAATTTGTATGGCTTTTTTCAGGGTCTGATTGCTCCAGCGTATCCCTCTCGTCTTCTCTCTTCCTAATGACTGAATTTGGTCTGTGTTAAAAATTGATTTGAACTTTTTTTGAATTAAACTGTTCTTCTTTCTTAAACCCAAATTTATTTTCTTTTGTTGTTTAAGAGCCCTCTCTGCTCTCTTTCTTTGGAGTGTCTCAATCCTCAATTGCTCTCTTAGGTCATCAACAGTTGCCCTGTCATCACTGGTCCCTGGATCGCTTGCCCCTGTCACAGTGGCTTCTTCACTCGCTGCCCCTGACTGACTGTCCCTTGGAGCTTCGAGGACCTCACCAACGTCTACCTGTGGGCTGCCTACTCCTATTTGCTCTGCCTCAATTTCTGCCTCATTTTCTGTAATAATGACATGGTATTGTTTCAGTTAATATGCATTTGCTTCCTTTACATCACCGCCTTCTTTCATGTCCTGTTTCAAGGGATAGTTCGCCCTGATTTGACTAGTGTTGTTTGTTTTCAAAAGTCAGTGTGGTTTATCAGCTGCTACTCAACCCCCCCAGGAGTCCCATAAGTGTGGTCCTGAACAGGTTTTGATGCTACAGAAAGTAGTTCCATGTAGTTGAAACTGAGAACTAAAGAACTGCGCTCACAGGACTCTGTGGGCAGTGAGTCGCAGCTGTTGAACCACACTGACTGTGGGAAACAAACACAACCCTTGTCAAATCAGGGCCAACTATTCCTTAAATCCAAATTTTTCATTACAAATAGATCAAGATGCCTGTAGAGACAACTGTGTATCATACCAAAATCATTTCTTGTACAGTAGTTGTGGTCATCGCTTGGCAGGTGAACCTCTGTTGAGGACATGTGCCGTTCGGGAGCTCTCCTTCTCTTTGGCCTTTGACGATGGCAAAATAAGGTGGGTATGGCATCAGGTTTTAACCTGAGGTGTCCTTTTTTTGTACAAATAAATTGACTGTCCTCAAAATGCACCTGCAGAGAGACTCTTAAAATCAGTGTGAAATGTATACGCAAGATAGAATTGAAATGTTGTTCTGTCTGCTCTAATAAAATGACCTTATAAATTTAAACTGTTGTACGTCACATTTATAAACATTTACCTGACATATCTTTCTACTGTTGCAGTTGCCAGCCTTGACATCAAAATTTTGTCTGCTGACCATCGCCAGCCATCTCTTCTGCCTCTCCTTTTCTTTAGGGAAACCATACATTCGATGGCCCCTCTCTGAGCGGTTGGTGCACCCAAATGCTGCACAGCCAACCATCACTGGTCTCTACACTGTACAATGGTAAACATAAAGATAATTAGCTGTCAAGCCTCAAATGTTGTGTAAAAGTGGACAATATGTCCCTTAACAGTCATCCCTGAGACTTGCATTATAAATCAGAGCTGAAAAGATGACTACTTTCATAACAATGCTGGACAGTCTGAAGAGCTTCTCTGTTATTCACTGCTGCTGTAGTGTGGAAATGTGGGAAAATGTGGCCCAGTGCTTCAACTGATTTTCAAGTGACCAAATGTGTGTTTGAAAGTGGTAATAGCTGCCTGTATTTGACATTTATTTTATTAAATGTGTTTATATGTAATGTTTTGTATGTATCTGTGATTGTCCAGTAGCATTGGTGGTAACAGTCCACTCTCACCTGTATTGACATTAAATGATACATTATAAATGCATACACGTTATTGATGACAAATACGTCTGGGGCCTGTTGCATAAAAGTAGGATAAGGGATTAAGCCGGGATATGTTGTTTATCCTGAATCAATTTATCCGTGATCCAGTTGCATAAAAGTAGGATAGGGGAAAGTGGGATATGTTATGACATAAGTTACCATGGAGACTTATTCTGTGGAGCTAGCCTGCTAGTTCCAGGATCTGTTCAATCTTATCCCTTATCTCAGTCAGCAGTCACCACAAATGGACACTAATATTCATGCCACTGCCCACTACACATTGTTATCACATTTAACTACACCCGCTGTCATTATTTAAACATTTGGGATCATTAATTGCAATCATTTTAGATAAATGATTTTGCTATTATTAAATCTATGTATACAAATAAAACACACAAAGAGTAACATGATGTTCCTTTATTGAATAAGGATGAATCAAAGCAAGTAAACCATCAGCACTTTTCATCATTGCATTTCAGGTACATTATGTGCATTTCTTCTAGTCTTAATAATACAGTTGATCATTAGTGTTTGACTTCCAACCAATCATAGCACTTAGGTAGGATGGCAGATGGCAATTCCACAGTCTGATTTAATGGCAAGTCTCATATCTATGGTAGCCCTAACTGCATACATTAAACAAGCAGACACCAAAATCTCATGTCAACTTTTATTTCTTGTTCATCTTCTTGTAGCTGGGGAGGAAAGGAGAATAATGATAAATGCATTGTATTATGATTAAATCATAATTATGATTAAAAATTCTACTCATTTGATTCCACAAATTTATTTACTCAAATGAAGTCACTAAATTTGACAGCTTTAATGAAGAATGAAACAGAATGAGCATGAGGAGCAAACATGGATTTACACAATTTCTCTCTGCAGTCACTTTCACTTGCAATTTCAACTGTTTCATAATCAGAGTAGATTACAACTATGTTTTTGGAGATGTTAATTAACTATTTGGATTGCAATTGTGATGTTTCAGAGGAATAGTGAGTGTGTATTTGTGCAATACTTACGCATTCAGGCGGTCTGCAATTCTTGCTGTTTTATGGCAGTGGCGGTGTTTCTTTTTTTTTTATTTGATCTGTTACCTCTTCATACACTTCCATAAATATATCCTGCTCCGACAGGGAGAAGTATGCGTCTCTGGTTGTCATGGTGAATAGGTGAATCTGATCGATCGCGGATGAATTGATGAATCCGTTTCTTCTCATCCTAGATTAGCGTTTATGCGACCGAATAAGCCTGGACACTCTTGTTTTGGATTCGTTGAGCACAGCTCAGTCACTTATCCTGGATATCTTAATCCTACTTTTATGCAACAGGCCCCTGGTTTTACAATATTAGTTTATTTTGAGCCGTCTCATATATTTTTTGATTGATTTTCTTCTTGTTTTCACACACACACACACACAAGGTTGTGACATTCATTTAAATTGCCCACATAAAATCTCTGAATGAAAACCATCATTTATCATCATTGTCCAATGTCAGAGAGTGTTCAAGAATAGCCTTATGTTGCTAAATAAGAGATCGCTTTGCATTAGGTTACGACTTAGTTCCTTATTCTCCAGTTAGTGAAGCTAGCAAAGTTTCCCTCCAAAAACACACCCAGACAAACTTGTCTTATTTCACTTTATTTATTTATTTATCTTATTTCACTTTTGTCATCCAGCCACTAAATATATGTACGTGACTTTGACGTGTACACAGTAATCCAATAAGAGTTGAAAATGTTGAATTTTCACGGTTAATTTTAATATTTACCTCTCAAATGCGCGCTCACTGCAGTCTGTCCCGTTGAAGAGCATGGACAGTGCAGGCTTCGCTTGGAACTATTGAGGGGTACATGAATCACGTGACCGCTCCGGCGGCGAGATCTGAAGTTGTCGCCACTCTGTTTAATCCATTGCTCTGGTGTGAGCCATAGACCTCAATATGAAGAGGTTGTTCACACTGCTGGATGCTTCTCCTCCAAAGCTGCTCTCTGCCTCTGTCGTTGTTTACTTTCCTCACGAAGCATGTAGTAGGATCCGAGCATGAATCTGATCACTTTATTAGCCTATCAGAGGCAGACAGGTATGATGACTTGATTCGCCACAATTCCAGAAATAATTGAAAAACTACAGAATGTTACAAAATGACATATCCACACTCCCAGCTTTCCAAGGAGAAATGTGCAGCGCGCTCCCAGTTTGGAAGGTTGAAATGCGTACATGCTGTCCCGGTTTAAATGAGTGATTGATGCTGATGACGGCAAGGCCAGTGAGCCGTTCCTGAGACATGGTTGACCTTTGGTACGACTTTATCAACTTCAGTTTTGAGAAGCTCCTCTCTGCTTGAGCCACCAGGATTGCTCTCACTGGCAGAGTGAGAACAATCCTGAGAGCAGAACTGTCCCCCGCGAACCCCTCCCCGCTTCGTCTCATACAGTCTGTCAGCCTCTGTGCAGCACCTTCGCAGCAAGCAGGGGCATCTACAGCAGCAGGGAGCACCAATTTGACAAGGGTTAATACAAAACCGCTTTGCGCCACAGATTTGTTATTAATATTATTGGAAGTGCTTGTGCCGCCCCCCATGAGTCATGACACAAATGCCCCGGGTGGCTGCCTGGTTCACCCGTGCCTAGAACCGCTAGTGCTAACAACAGTATGCGACCATGTAAACTCCAGCATCATATTGAAACCAAGCACCAAAGTTTAACGACCAAGCCGCGGAAGTTTGTTGACTGGAAACTTAATGAATTGCGGTCACAGAAGAAAGTCATCGAGGCATTTGGCACTGTGAATACCAAGGCAACTGAGGCATCATACTGTGTAGCGTTACGCATTGCAAAGGTGGGGAAACCCCACAACATTGGTAAGACATTGCTCCTCCCTGCTGCCAAAGATATGTGTTCGGTACTAATGGGCGAAGCTACTACTGCCAGGCTGGATGCCATCCCGATGTCTGACAACACCATCCAGCGCTGCATCTCTAAAATGGCAGCTGATGTGAAGCAACAGGTGCTGGATGCTATCCATGAGAGCCCTTCCTTCACCATTCAACTGGACAAGTCCACTGATGTTGCTAACTGTGCACAGCTAATGGTGTATTATGCTTAATTAGAGAGCCCGGTGTCCAGGTGGAGTTTCTATTTTGCCATCCTCTGCCAGCTCGCACTACAGCTGCAGAAATTTTCAAGGCTTTGAATGACTTCATTCAGGAAAATCATATTGACTGGAGCCACTGTTGTGGAATATTTACTGATGGTGCGAGGGCAATGAAAGGCTGCCACAGCATTCTGGTGAAACAGCTGCAAGCAGTTGCACCCGCCGCTGTTTGATCACACTGCATCATCCATCGCCAGGCTTTGGCGACCAAGAGGATGCCCAAAGAGCTGCGCGCGGTCCTGGATGAGGTAGTAAAAATTGTCAACCTAATTAAATCAAATGCCATGGATGCCCATCTCTTCTCCTCCCTCTGCAATGAGATGGGCGCTCACTTCCATCAGCTGCTCCTGTACTCCGATGTCCGGTGGCTGTCGTGGGGCAAGGTCCTCACCCGCTTGTGTGATCTGCGCAAGGAAGTCCTCATGTTCCTCCCAGAAATCAACTCCCCACTGGTAAAGCATATGGAGGACGCATGAAGTGGTTTGCAATGCTGGCGTATCTGTCTGATATCTTTGACACACTAAACACCTCTCTGCAAGGCAAAGAGTGCCAGGTCTTTTTGGCACACGATCAAGTCTCTGCATTCAGGAAAAGTTAGATCTGTGGTGTGCTTGTATTGAATGGGGCTCTGTGGAAATGTTCCCAATCTTGGAGGATGTTGTGGAGAAGACAGGACTGCAACTGGACTGTGTGCAACAGGTGGTCATTGCACATTTGAAGGGGTTGCGTGAGCAGTTTGGAGACTATTTTTGAGAGGAGACCTTGGCAAATCAGTGAGTGAGAAATCCATTTTCTTTCCCAGTGGCACCCTGTGATGGACTGACCATGCAGGACGAGAAGGCCCTTGTCGAGCTGAACTCTAATATGGACTTGAAACAAAAGATGAGTGTGGTGTCACTTGCACACTTCTGGCTGTCTGTGGAGACCGAGTTCCCCCACCTCACCAAAAAGGCTGTGAAGGTGTTCATCACCTCCACTTACTTGTATGAGTGCGGGTTTTCCGCATTGACAATGATTAAAAGAAAGTACCGGTCATGGCTGCAGGTAGAGGATGATCTGCATTTATTCCTTTCCACAGTGCAGCCCTGCATCAACCGCCTGTGTGCATCAAAGACACAGACTCATTGTTCCCACTAAAACAGAGGTGAGCAAAATAAGGTGGAAAGATTGGCAATCTGTTTATTGCCGTCATGGAAAGGAGTTATGCATGATGTTGAGACCGCGATATGAAAAGCAGCGCTGTACATGGTGCGCAGTGATAATAAAAAAAATCTCTGACTGACGTTGATCTGTTTATTATCTGATTTAAGGAATTACACAGAGGCCTTAAATTGAATGTATTCAAAATAATATAAAAAAACTGTTAGAATATGTTAAAATATGTTAAAAACAGATGCTAAAATGTGTTAAAGAAAAGATGTTAAAAACATAAAGATGTTAAAATATGTTTAAAAACATGCTAAAAACAAAGATGTTAAAAATGTGTTTAAAAAAGATGTTAAAAACATGATGTTCAAATGTGTTTTAAAAAATGTTCAAAACATACAGATGTTAAAATGTGTTCAAAAAGATATGTAAGCACATATACATAAAGATTAAAATGTTTTAAAAATATGTTTAAGAACATATAAACACTTTGAAGATGTTTACAAAAAAAAAGATGTGTGTAACATTTATTGTTTAAAACCTTTTTTAAGCCTGTGTGGAACATACAAAGCGACAACAATAATAGTAATAATAATTAGGGGGGGTAAAGGGGGGGCGGCATGCTTTTGAGTTCTCTTTGGGGGGGCTTGCTATCCCACACTTCGAAAACCCCTGCACAGGGTTATTCAGACCTGATCTAAATGCATGATTGAAGCACATTGGAATGGTCAGATGTAATTTAGGGGCCTTCAGTGTTAATAAAACCTGGAACCAAATCTTGAAGGAGTCAAGCCGCAAATTTTCTTAACAATTTCTGAGGAGGCTTCTATACATCTATATTTATAGATCACTATGTGATCACTAATCACTATTTAATGAATTATTTCATGGACCTGTGTTGCAGTGCTTCATGAATTTGTTTTATCTGTTAAATTCACCCATCAAAGTCAGTAGGGACTAATGCTGATCGAGGAATAAGAACTTTATTGATCCCGAAAGGGACATTCAATCAGTCGTCTCATTTGTCATGTCTAAAAAGTTATCTACTATTTGTAAAAGAGTAGTGAAGTCTGATGGCTGTGGGTACAGAAGATCTTCTGAACTTACATCTCTCCACCACATCCTCCAGTTAGTCCAACTTGAATCCAACCACAGAGTTTAATCAGTTTGTTCAATCCTCCTGGATTTTTGTGTTTGGTTCTGCCTCCCCAGCAGACTGCAGCATAGAACAGAACACTGTAGACACCACAGACTGATAAAACATCTGCAGCATCTTACATTAGATGTCTATTGATCCTCTCAGGCAAAAGAGGCAGCTCTGACCCTTTTTGTAGATGAAGTCTATGTTCTTGGACAGGTCCAACTTATTATCAAGGTGTACACCTAGATATTTATATAATGTCACCACTTCGATGTCCACTCCACAAGTGCTCACTGGCTGAAGAGGGGGTTTGGATACAAAAGTCTATGATCATCTCCTTTGTCTTTGAAGTGTTGAGGGGGAGATAGTTTTTGTCACTCCAATCACTAAAGGCTCTTATCAGATCCCTGTATTCAGCTTCTTGTTCATTTTTTAAACATGCCTTGATAGCGGTGTCATTTGAGTATTTCTGGATGTGGCAGGACTCAGTGCTGTATTTGAAGTCTGACGTATACAGTGTGAACAGGGATGGTGCCTGGACTGTTCCTTTTGGAGCCGCTGTACTGCTCATTAATGTCCCAGAAACACAATTCCCCAGCCTGACAAACTGTGGCCATCCTGTCAGGTAATCTGCGATCAAGGAAACACTGGAAGGATCCACTCCTATCTCTGTGAGCTTGTCTTTGAGTATGGTGGGTTGGATGGTGTTGAATGCACTTAAAAGGTCAAAGAACATGATCCTCACATAAACCACAGGTTCCCCCAGATGAGACAAGACACGGTGCAGCATGTAGAGGACAGCATCATCCACTCCAATGTGTTCTTTGTATGCAAACTGCAGGGAATCCAGTTTGTCTTTGATCTCAGACCTCAGAAGGCGTAGAATCAGCCGCTCCAGGGTTTTCATGATGTGTGAAGTGAGGGCCATAATTCGATAGTCATTGAGTTCAGCAGGACATTTTGTTTTTGGTACTGGCACAATGCAGGATGTTTTCCACAGAGCAGGTACCCGCCCCAGCTGTAGACTCAGGTTGAAGATCCTGTGGAGGGGTTGACACAGCTTTGCAGCACAGTCTCTAAGCAGCCTTGGACACACACCATCTGGACCAGCTGCCTTCCCAGGGCAAAGTCTTCCAAGCTCCAACCTCACCCCTGTTTCTGTGACAGACATTGTTTGAGGAGGGAGGCAGTTGCAGTGGTTAAGACATTTGAACAAGATGAAGGAGGAATGGGAGAAGTTGTAGTGGAGATTTGTTGCGGAGAGGAAGGTGGAGTAGCAGTGGGTACGTCAGCAGTGTTGAATCTGTTAAAGAGTTCATCAGCTCTTTCTAGATCACCCACCACTGGCTGTCTTTTCTTTCTATTGCTGTGGCCAGAGATGGTACTGATTCCTCTCCACACTTCATGGATGTTGCTGTGTTGTAAATTCCTCTCTTTCTTATTTTTGTATTCCAGCTTTGCCATCTTCAGTCTCCTCTTTAATTCTTGTTGCACTTGTTTGAATCGTTCTTTGTCAACGTCTCTAAAAGCTTTCTTTTGTCTGTACTATGCTGCTGTAAATTTGGAATTTCCCCCTGTGGGACCATTAAAGGAACATCTTATCTTATATTACCTGTTTTTGGTTAAGGGTTTCTTTTTGCTACTTTTGATCCAGGGTTTGTTGTTGGGGAAACAGCCAACAGTCTTTGTCAGTATAGCTGTGTCTCTGCAGAAGTTGATGTATTCAGTAAAGCAGTCAACCTGTCTGTCAATGTTCATACTGTCATCATCTGTTTCCAGCAACAGTCCTTTAGAGAGCTTCAGTAGCTTGAGGTGTATGTGCATATATACAGTGTGGGGGTTACTGCCCCGAGTGCCCCCGTGACCACAGGCACCACTGTTGCCTTCACCTTCCAGGCTTTCTGTAGCTCCTCTTTGAGCCCTTGGTACTTCTCTTTTTCGTGTTCCTTCTTTCTGATGTTGGTATTGCTTGGGATGGCGACATCTACCACAACGGCTTTCCGCTGCTGTTTGTCTATGATTACAATGGCATTAATAATAATATCAGGTGACTTCAACCATGTCACCCTCTCCTCTCACCTCACTGGATTCACACAGTTTGTGAACTGTCCTACCAGAGAAAACAAAACCCTATATCTGCTGTATGCCAACGTCAAAGAAGCCTACAGAGCCACTACCTTACCACCACTGGGCAAGTCAGATCATAACTTGGTCTATCTGCAAACCTGTTACAGACCTTGTGTACTGAGGCAGCCTGTGACCAAAGTCAAAATCAGAAGATGGACACCTCAAGCTAGTGAAGCTCTAAGGGACTGTTTTAAATCAACAGACTAGAATGTGCTGCTGGAAACAGATGTGGATAGTATGAACATTGACAAACAGGTTGACTGCTTTACTGAATATGTACATTTCTGTAGAGACACAGTTATACCAACAAAGACTGTTTGCTGTTTCCCCAACAACAAACCCTAGGTCACAAGTGACATAAAAGCAATCCTTAACCATGAAAAGAAAGCTTTTAAAGATGGTGACAAAGAACAACTCAAACAAGTGCAACAAGAGTTGAAGAGGAGACTGAAGATGGCAAAACTGGAGTACAAAAAGAAGTTAGATAAGAATTGACAACACAGTAATCCGTGAAGTGTGGAGAGGAATCAGTACCATCTCTGGACACAGCAGTCAAAAGAAAAGACAGCCAGTGGTGGGTGATGTGGAAGGAGCAGATGAACTCAACCTATTCTTCAACAGATTTGACATGACTGTCACACTCACTTCCACTGCTACTCCACATTCCTCTCTGCAACAAATCTCCACTACAACTTCTCCCCTTCCTCCTCCATCTTGTTCAAATGTCTGAACTACTTCAACTACCTCCCTCCTAGAACATCAGTCCTTGTCTGTCACAGAAACAGGGGTGAGGTTGGAGCTTGGAAGACTTTGTCCCGGGACAGCAGCTGGTTTAGATGGTGTGTCCAAGGCTACTTAAAGACTGTGCTGCAGAACTGTGTCAACCTCTCCACAGGATCTTCAACCTGAGTCTACAGCTGGGGCGGGTACCTGCTCTGTGGAAAACATCCTGCATTGTGCCAGTACCAAAAACAAAATGTCCTGCTGAACTCAATGACTACAGACCAGTGGCCCTCACTTCAGACATCATGAAACCCCTGGAGCAGCTGATTCTACGCCTTCTGAGGTCTGAGATCAAAGACAAATTGGATTCCCTGCAGTTTGCATACAAAGAACACATCTGAGTGGATGATGCTGTCCTCTACATGCTTCACCATGCCTGGGGATTATGTGAGGAACCTGGGGTTTATGTGAGGATCATGTTCTTCGACTTTTCAAGTGCATTCAACACCATCCAACCCACCATACTCAAAGACAAGCTTACAGAGATGGGAGTGGATCCTCCCTGTGTTTCCTTGATCGCAGATTACCTGACAGGAAGGCCACAGACTGAGGAACTGTTTCTGGGACATTAATGAGCAGTACAGGGGCTCCATAAGTGACAGTCCAGGTGCCATTCCTGTTCACACTGTATACGTCAGACTTCAAATACAGCACTGAGTCCTGCCACATCCAGAAATACTCAAATGACACAGCTATCAAGGCATATATCAAAAATGAACAAGAAGCTGAATACAGGGATCTGATAAGAGCCTTTAGTGATTGGAGTGACAAAAACTATCTCCACCTCAACACCTCAAAGACAAAGGAGATGATCATAGACTTTCGTAGATCCAAACCCCCTCTTCAGCCAGTGAGCACTTGTGGAGTGGACATCGAAGTGGTGACATTATAAAAATAAAGTGTACACCTTGATAATAAGTTGGACTGGTCTAATAACATAGACTTCATCTACAGAAAAGGGCAGAGCCTTCTCTTTTGCCTGAGAAGACTCAGATCAAAAGACATCTGTAGTAAGATGCTGCAGATGTTTTATCAGTCTGTGGTGGTAAGTGTTATGGTCTTTGCTGCAGTCTGCTGGGGAGGAGGCATCAAACACTAAGATGCAAGACATCTGAATAAACTGGTGAAAAAGGCTGGCTCTGTGGTTGGACTCAAGCTGGACTCAGTGGAGAATATGATGGAGAGATCTACTATGAGGAAAGTGGAGCCTTTTTCAAGAACATGGATCACCCACTTCACAACACCTTGATGGACCAAAGGGGCAACGGTGGTGGAGGGCTCCTTTCTCTTTGCTGCAGGACAGAGAGATTCAAAAGACCTTTTGTACCAACATCCATTAGACTTTATAACTCTTGTGTAAATAGTAGATAACCCTTTGAGACATTGTCTGAGACAACAGACAATTGAATTTCCCTTTGGGGATTAATACAGTTCTTCTTCTTTTTCTTCTTCTTCCTCTTCTTCTTCTTCTTCTTCTTCTTCTTCTTCTTCTTCTTCTTATGTCTGTGTGTGTCCATTCGTACATTATCTCTTAATTTCATAGTCAGTGTCTGATGTTGGTCCATTGATCACAGTGGTACATTAACTTGTGGTTATATACTGCTATCTGAATTGGTTTCCTTACCAGATAATGGTTGATCCGGTTGTTTTTTTCCCCTTCTAGAGTATTTGTTCAACAGTATTGTGACACAATTTTGAACATGCTCTATATCTGGATGATTTTGCACTCTCTGTCTTCCTCCTGTGTAGCATCAAGACAACCCTGTGTGTGAAACTCACACCTTTCTCATAGGAAAGATTCCTTATCTTGTCCCAGGACACAGGATAATATAAAACTTTCCAGACTTGTTTGTACCTTCAGGTTACTCAACTGACCCAATCGGAGGTTGACCCAAACTTCTGGCTCTTCACAATTGCTCAATTTGGAGAAACCACCAGACCTCTGTCATAAAACCCTACTTGACCATGTACTGATAAAGACTGCAAAACTGAGAAAAAATACAAGTGACTGATAATGACATCTTATGCATTCAGCAGTGTACTAACCTGTCTAATCATGAAATTTGTGTTAAAATGAGATGTGTCCTGTTTTTCTATGTGCTCCAGAAGCCAAGCTATCACTCTGACAGAATAAATCCTTTTTTTTTCTCGTTTCCTTAGACCAACAGCTTTTCAGACTGTTTCATGAACTTTTAAGAGTTAAATTTATTGAATATAAATCAGAGCTTTACTCTTAGTAACAAGGATAGTTTAGAAATGTTCAGGTTTTCATCATTTATTTAGTATTTTTAACCATTAAGTGGCTATAATGTCATTGAATGATCTGAATGTTAGTAGAAAGAATGCATTATTAATCACAATGAAGTTCATTCACATGTGTTTACTCTTTTTTTGCTCACAGTTTCTATGTGTTACTATCTGTTTCATTTCAGAGTAATTTAGCATGTTCAGTGTGATACTTCAAACATAATGAGAAAGTTTCATGTCATTCTACATTTCTTTATTACCTCCGTCAAGGAGGTTATGTTTTTGCTAACGTTGGTTTGTTTGTTTGATTGTTTGTTTGTTTGTCTGTTAGCAACTTTACGGAGAAAGTTACAGACGGATTGACCTGAAATTTTCACCAGAGGTGTGTCTCAGCCACAGGAGGATCCCATTACATTTTGGTGGTGATCCGGATCGCCTTCTGGATCCAGGAATTTTTTGAAGGATTCTTTATCATCGTGAGATAGGGCAAATTTGGGAATTTTTGCATTGAACTCTATAAAAATGGCCAGAGTCTTTAGTAAAAAAATTACACAAAAGGATCTCAATGAGTTTTATGAGGTGTCAAAGGTTGATCCTGATCCAGACAAAATTCTGGATACTGTGATCCAGAACACACAAAAATAAGGGTGTCGTTGGAATTTTCAATGCTGAAAGATAACCATTGAAGATACAAGGAAGTGTACGATTACAAATATTGCATAATAAATCATGCATCTATGTATCTAATATGAGCTTTGTTGTTTTATGAACATTATGAACAGTGAACATACCAGTTTAAACACAAATAAAAGTTAATAAAAGACACGTAACAGTAAAAGTTTTGGTGTGAATCACAATATAAGGGGGGACATGAGCGGCTTGGCGGAGGTCTGCGCTCTCCGAGTGCTTTTCTAGTATGGGTTTAGTATCAAATCATTTATTATGAACCAAGAATTCGATAACATTAATCATAGCGAGTGAGTATCACATCTGACAGCTTTACCAGCAGCCAAAAGTATAACTTTGATTAAGTAATCAGGGATGTTGAAGGTCTCCTCTAAAGAAGCTGCAGCAGGAGACCAGCGACCCCTCCTCTCTCTCCTCTCACACACACCCCAGAGACACTCCCAGTTTGAAGAACATACAACTAGTAAAATTGGGGTGCTCTTGTGCTGACTCTCTTGCTCTTTTGCTTACTCTTGCTTCGTCTTACTCTCATGCTTTTGGTATTTTTCCCTCCTTACAATGTTCTCTTCTGCTCTTTGCATTTTTCCTGCCAAGTTTTCCAGTTGTACACCATGTGGTCATTCTTGTTCAGTAATTTTTCTTTAACACCGTCCTCATTCAAGTTTTAAAACTTCAACTGTTTTTGTATGCATGACAATTCATGATTAAGGGCTCTATTTTCAGGCCTCGCCGGCAGCGTGGCGTAGGTGCGGCGTAAGTCAGGTCTGCCGCGCCGACAAGGCGTGCCCAAGCACATTTTGGTATTTTGGTGAGCGGCGCAGCCCAGCGTCAGTATCCCCCCTCCCTAACTCAGCTCCTCCCAGTGGCATAAGTCATAGAGAGGGAGGGGATACGGGGTGGAGTATGTTTAACACAGCTGAGACCTGTTTTTGCCAATCACATAAGCTCCTCTCCTTTAAATCTGCCACCGGCGAGGCGTATTACAATTTTCATGAAGTATTCAGAGATCAAGAGATGGCTGAAGACAGCAATGCCACACGATGGCGACAGAAGGCAGCACCTCAACAACTGTCGCTGTAAACGCTGCAGAGGGCGTCCTGCACACTGTCTCATATAAGCACAGAGGGATTTAGTGTGTGTAAGGTTGGACCCACTGGTAAGACAAACACCCTTTTCCACAAATAAAGACAATCACATAAAGTTGTATATATTTAAACTTCACGTGACAAAGGTGGGTTGTGTGCACAGATCACAACATAAATTCCAATAATGGCATTAAAATCGGAACCATCTGTGCGTAAAGGATGCATTGCACTCTGTGGACTGGCTCTTTCTTTCATTGATGTTGGCATATAAAATAAATTTGGCTCACAAAACTGAATATTATAATATTCGTATGTAGGCTTAAAGTAAATAACTCATCTGATCACTAAAATAGATAATCTGTTCAGCTGCCGCAGCAGCAGGTGCAGCAGGACAGGGAGAGGGCACGGACACATGACCAGGTAAAGCTGCGTGAGAAATAAGAGGAAGATAGAAATAGGGGGTAGATGAATTAAATATCTTGTTCACTTCATCGTGTGTCTATTTACTAGATACTTAATTCAATTTAATGTGGTTTCAGCTGTGTTTATTCTGTGAAATTGAGTGTCCAAAAGCATGCCAAACGCACTCATTAGATCAGATATAGATCAGAATATATCTATAGATCTAAATGTATTTGCTGACTCAGAATATTGGCTGTTGTTGATTATTTATTGCACTGAAACCTGCTGGTGAGGCTTTGGTGACGTATGCGCACTTCACCGCTGGTCTACCAAAATACCACTAGACCAGCTGCGCTCCACCTGTGCTGAAAGCTGACCAGGTTTGAATTGGCGAGTTTTCAGCGCACTTTCTATGCCGCCGGCAGGCACGAAAATGTCACTGCGCCAGCTGATTCTGTCAGCACCTCCCCCTGCCGCGCCATCACACCCAGCTTGGCGGACCTCGGTGCGCCTCAGTCAGAGAATAGAACATCAGAATATATTGATATAGATATAAATGAATGTGATGACTCAGATAGTAGCACTAAATATTGGTTGTTGTTTATTATTTATTGCACTGGTCTGTGCCTGACTCTGAAATACAACTGTGCGGGGTGCGCCACCCTCCGCCGCACATGAAAATAGAGCCCTGAGTGTCTATCTCACCATACCATGTGTGTTTGTGTGTAAGTGTATATTTATGAATATGTGGTGTGCAATGCTTTTGATGTATTGTACAAGAGAAATAAAGACTATAATGGGAAAAATATATAGATCACACTTTCTTGTTTCATTTTCTTCCCATTTATTATATGATAGTGTTTTGGAAAAATATAGCAATTTTTGATAGAAAGATCACCAGAATTACAAACAAAAAGCACTTTTAAATTAAAAGCTGACAGTATGTCACAGGAAAGAGGAGTCAACACTTTAACCTTTTGGGACTAAACAATTCAAACTAGTAATGAAATAACCATCAGTTTCCAGAAACTGAAATAAAATGTAATTAAAAAAATTCCCAAAACTGAATTGGTTTTTAATTGCTTGTTATGACAGTGTAGTTTTCCAAACGTATTTCAAATGGAACAAGAGAAACAAAATTGCTGATATCAGTTAAAAACTACAAAACATTTATTCTCAGCGACAACAAACTGTAAACTGATTGATAAACAAATAGACTTCACCATGTTTTTCAAGCAACTAAATACATATACAAAATCAAAGCAAAGTTGATTATCAAAAATGATTGCCGATTAGAACTCATTTGGTTTACTTGAGTAATACATACCATAAACATTTATTAATCGCTGCCTGAAAAAGTTTATTAGATTTACAGATATGAGTTATTGCTTTTAAGACAATTAACAGAATAACATGATTTGCAAATCCCTCTATAGCTACATTCGATTGAATACACTACAAAAACAAGATACTTAATGAGACCAAAAGAAAAAAAGGAAGGGGTGGGGGGGGCTTCCTGGACTCAAAAAAGGTGAGGTGTAAGTTTGAGGTGCTCTTTGGAATAGGATCCACAAAGTCACGTGGCAAAAAGAGAAAAAACTCCAAGGCACTCTCTTCATAAAATAAACTATACTATACTAATGAAATAGCATGGTCTTAAACCTATCTCATGCATTTCAGCATCAAGCCTTTCAGTAATACTAACAGATGTTAGGCTGCAGGAGGTCTTTTAAAGGGGTGCTTCACCAACAGGGAGTTGCCACATGGGCTTTGGGATTTGACCTGCAGGTGGTGACAAACATACCAACCCTCCAGCAGATGGTGTTATTTAGGTCAATAGCAGTTCCAATAATGTCTAACCTCAAAACCATGACACTAAAAAACAGATAAAAAGAAAGTAAAATTAACAACAGCAACCCCACTTTATTACGAACCATTGGCATTGACCACATCCCACTGACCATCAGAAAGGGTGACAAAGAAAACTGAACCAAAAGGGGGCATTCTGGATTAATAAACTACAAGTCACAAAATACCCTGGTCTAAATGAAGAACAGGATTTTACTGTGTTCTTGTAAAGGAAGTATGTTGTTTAAACAATGAGCCATTGTGTTTAAGTGTGTATCCATTGTACAACTGTCCAAACCAGACCTATTGTTTTTTTAGTGTCATCATTTTGAGTTTAAACGTTGTTGGAACTGTCGTTGACCTTAATAACAACATCTGCTGGAGGGTTGGTATGTTTGTCACCAACTTCAGGCAAAGTCTCTAAGCCCATGTGGCAACTTCCTATCAGTGGAGCACCTCTTTAAATGGACCTACAGCAGCCTAACATCTGTTTGTATAACTTCCTGATGAAGACTTGATGCCAAAAACACATCCAATTATGTTTTTCAGGTCCACATGACCATGCCATTTCAATAAGAGTATGAATAGAGTTCCTTGGATTTTTTCCCCTTTTTGCCTCATGACAAGATATTTAATGTTCAAACAATACAGTGTAAGAACTTAATTGAGCCCCAAAAGGAAATACATTGATGAACTTAATTATCTTTTTTTTTTTCTTTTTTTTTTGCAAATACTCACTTGTTTTTACTTTGATGCTGCACAATGTGGCAACCAAAGTCTGGGAAAATTTAGGAATGCTCAAAAACACCAGTTTGGAGGGTCAGGATTGGGTATAAAAGGAACATCTCTGAAAGACTCAGTTGTTTACAAGCAAGAATGGGGCCAGGTTTACTACTTTGTCAACAACTGTGTAAGCAAATAGTCCTACAGTTTAAAAACATTTTTTCTCAGTGTACAACTGCAGGAATTTAGAGATTTGATCATCAGTCCAAAAAAGATTCAGAGAATCAAGAGAAATCTCTGCAGGGAGGCAGCAAGTCCCAAAACCAATACTGAGTGACCATGACCTTTGACCCCCCAGACAGCGCTGCATTAAAAAAAACCCTGCATCATCCTTTAAAGGGTTTTGCCACGAGGGCTTAGGAGGAAGGGCTATCCAGACTGTTCTCAGGTCAAAGGTCAAAGCCAGCATCTGTGATGGTCCTTGGGTGTGCTAGTATCCATGGCTAATTGTCACATCTGTAAAGGCTCAATTAATGCTAAAAGTTTAGGAGCAACATCTGCTGCCATCAGAGTCCCGTCTTTTTCAGGAATGTCCCTGCTGATTTCAGAGAGACAATGCCGAGACATATTCTGCACCAGTTACAACAGCGTGGCTTTAGAGTCAAAGAGTCCAGGTACTAGACTGGACTGACTGCAGTCCAGACCTGTTTCTTATGGAACCACAAAATACCACAACAGAGACCCCAGACTGTGGATCAGCCTTACTGGTCCATGAATCAAGACTGTGAAAGACTTAACCTCCAAAGCTTCAACAGTCAGTGTCCTCAGTTCACAAAGGCTTACTGAGTACACACAGAGAGAAACATGACCCTGAACCAGTTTTTAGGAATGAGTAACAGGATCAAATTCGAAAGGAGTGAATATTTACAAGAAAAAAAAAAGTTTATCAGTTTGAACCATAAATATTTTAGTAGTGTTTTCAATTGAATTTAAGTTGAAAAGGTTGAAAATTATTGTAGAATTTATACCTCATGTCACAACTTCATTGGAACTGGGGTTTACAGGTAATTAAAAAGATGCTTAAGGCAACTCAACCCTGTCTGTTTGTCTGGAACAACTGTTACGTTGTGGTATCCTGGTCCTTTGAAGTATTGTTAACATGAGCACAAAAAAGAAATGCTTGATATATTTTATGATTCAAGTATCATGTGCTTCAGACAGCAAAAACAACAGTGAATGGTGGTTATGATAAAAATGCAAAATATATATAATTAAAAAGAATACAGGAATGTACACCTTTATCATTAATGCGACTTAACATTAATTACATAAATATGTATAAGGCACAGTCTTTACAATTGGACCACTACTCAAGTGTACTGTAGATGTACTTTAAGTTTGCTCTTACCCATAGTAGACCTAAAAGACATGTTAAATAACAGTTGCATTCCTTGATGACGTATCACTTTTATTTCCTGATTTGATATAGATAATTTGAAAGTTTGGTTTGAATATTTAAAAAAGTTTTCCAGAATATTACAACACAGCCTACAAAGAAAAAAAGTACAAGATTTGTCCCTGCTATTCATCTTACTAGGCTGTATTGGGACAGAGGATAAAGTGCCTAGAAAGTGAATCTCGTTCCACTTCAGTGGGGCAACATAAACTGTGATTCATAAAATAGCTCTATTTATAGTAAGTACTAAAAAAAAATATCTACTCATGCCAGCCAGTCCATTTTTAGTAATCAGTGTTTCGGTGTCGAACTATTTCCTTTCTGCGGCGTAGTGATACTTGCACACGCGCAATTGAATATGCAGAGGGGTGAAGCGATTTTTGTCATGTGGATCAATAGGAGCCGAGTCTCGTTGCCATAGTATCAGAAATACACAACCATGGCGACGAGCGCATCTAGCTGTGAGACAAGCAAAGAGGAAGAAAAGAACAGGAAAAAAAGAAAACAGCCTTCAAAAGTGCATAAAAAAGGAACGAAACGATGCTATATGCATCTATCATCTGTCCAGAGTGAAGACGTTCTCGGCTTTACAAGGACACGTTGGGAAACTTACAGAACTAGTATTAGAAAGTGGCTTTCTCTACAGGGTGAGACAAAGTTTCCCAACGTGTCCTTGTAAAGTCGAGAACGTCTTCACTCTGGACAGATGATGGATGCATATAGCATTGTTGTGTTCCTTTTTTATGCACTTTTGAAGGCTGTTTTCTTTTTACCTGTTCTTTTCTTCCTCTTCGCTTGTCTCACAGCTAGATGCGCTCGTCGCCATGGTTGTGTATTTCTGATACTCGGCTCCTATTGGTCCACGTGACAAAAATCGCTTCACCCCTCTGCATATTGGATTGCGCGTGTGCAAGTATCACTACGCCGCAGAAAGAAAACAGTTTGACACCGAAACACTGATTACTAAAAATTGACCAGATGGCATGAGTAGATATTTTTTTTTAGTACTTACTATCAATAGAGCTATTTTATGAATCACAGTTCATGTTGCTCCACTGAAGTGGAACGAATCAACACGATCTCACTCAGCCAATACAGCCTATACAGATCAGAAAGTGCTGTGAAGGACTAATAAAACCCATCATGAGTATTGCTGTATTTGCTAAAACCTTGCTTTGTCTTTAACATTTTGATAAATATTCAGAAAACTTTTGCCCTGTCTCCAGACTATCCATTTGTAATGGTGTACAGGATGCAGATACACAGACAGCCCTGGACCAAAAGTGAGGCCAAACTCTGTTCAAAGCCACATTTTTTACATACACATAATAATGATTGAATTTTAAAATTCAAACTTTGTAATGTTGTCTTTATCCTCTACTCTTTTTTCTTTCACCAGACAACAAAGGGCCCTAAACCTCTTAAAAAGAAGTTTCGACTACTGAGTGGCAACTACTTGCTGCTAGTTCCTGAAGGCTCAGACATGTGGACTCAGGACAGAGATCTCGTGCTACAGGTACTTCTATGAGAAAATTGCATAACTATAAACTTTTGGACAACAGAAGACCCTACTACAGACACAACCATCTTGCTGCAGTCATTACTAATTGCCTTTCATTTAAATAGGCAAGAGGTCAAAGTTGGCGAACAAACCTGTCTGATTAGTTAGGAAGGTCAGTACATTAGCAGCCTAGTTGACCTCTGAAAGTAGGGGTAGTGCATTTGTCTGTACAATGTGTTTGTTTTCTGCGGCAAGGGATGTTTGATACATCAAGCTATAAAGATTGTTGTTGTTCTGGGAGCTGTTCAACTACTCAAATGCTTTATTAGCTCCAAATAAGATGTAATAAATTTCAATGTTTACTGCAAGAATAATTTTGAAAAAAACTGTATTAATGGTCAAATCAATTAATCTTGTCACCATACTCAGAAATACATTGTTTTATATTGATTCTGAAGATTGATTTACTGAGTATATTTAGTGGAGTAGTTGAGATACACAGTACAAGCTTTATTATGACAGACCTATTTGAATGCAAAAAAAAAAAAGGCAAAGATCAGTCAGGCTTCATCTAAGAGTCAGGAGTCTTGGCATCTTTGAGAAATTCATGGATAAGGCCTCAGAATTCCTCATCAAGGTAGTTCTGCTTCTTTCTCACATTCCAGTGTAAACACTGGGCTAAGCTCTCAAACCAGTCATTCACTGGGTCCCGAAAACAGATAGAAGGAAGAGGGAAGCAGGAGGTGGTGATGGTAATACTGGAACAGGGATAACAAAGAACACACAATGATTCTGTCATGTAAGCTAAGGTCAGGATGAAGACTGAACATTCAAGGTGTTTGCATTCACAAAATAAAAAGTGCCCTTATTTGTCCAATTGTGCTTCAGATATCTCAGTTACTAAATAACTTGTTATAAGACCCAGAAAGATAGTTATCAGAGTAACATAGTCCATGGTTACGGCACATAAGACACCACCGGTGAAAAGGCTTTTAAAGAGGGTTTTATGGTAAAGCCTGTATTTGGATTTAATCTAAAATCTAATTTGAGATGATATGATTTCCTTCTTCTATCTAGCTTCAGTCCTATCAATGCTCTTTGTTTTCATGGCTGAGATTTTCATGGCTGAGGTGTTATAATTAGCTTACTATGTGGACTAACCTGTCTCCATGGCAAATCTCTTGTCTCTTTCGTCCATCAAATGACACCCAGGCTGTGTTTCTGGCATCCTGTGACAGCATTACCTAGAAAAAAAAAACACAATGAAGCAAAAAACAAACATTAAAAAATTTAAAAAAAAAGGAAAAGGGGCAAGGAGGAAATTCTTTTAAACTGAGATTATTAATATTTTATAATCAATATGCACTTCATGTAATCATCTAATGTTGAAATATGTTATACTACTAAACAAATGTACACAAGTAATCCAAAATTATTCAAACTTCAAATACTATAAAATAGCTGATAAAATCTATTAAAATAAAATGGTGAACATCCTAAACCCTAATAGTACTTTTGTAGACATGTTTTCACTTGCGCACAGGACCCAAAATGTTACCACAAAATACTGGTTTAGGTTTTGTAGTTGATGTTATAGAATATGATAATTGGAATAAGAGAGAAATACACATTGAATAGAAATCACTGGAAAACTGAATCTGCTGAGAGCTCATCAATAACAATGTCCGAGACATTATGGTGAGCTTATTGCTTCACTCTCTCTCACTTTGGTGATCTCTCTGACAGTGATTTAACTACATCATTGAACTACTGGCAGTTAAGTCGGTTTCCACAAAATTGTGTGGGTTTCACAAGATAATTGGAAGTTTTTTGTGTGGAAAGCAGCAGACTGATTGATCCAGAATTGAGACATTGAAGCAGAGCTGTATCTTTCCTGCTCTTCTGCACTTCTATAGTTTGCCATAAACATACAGTATATGTACTGAATATAGATGCTGTGCCGGCCTGCTGCTGTGAACACAAATAAGTAGACATGAAAACGTTTTTTTTTTGGTTTTTTTTAGATATAAAGCGCTTATGTTGACATGTAAAACATTTGGATTAATGGTTTTGGTATTCAATGATTCAATGGGTCTGTTTTCCATCAAGTTATCTCCTGATAACTTGATGGAAAACAGACCCATTGAATTGAAAGTGTACTCCAAGGCAGAAAACTTGGGGGTCCTTTTTTCTTGTGTACAATAACATTTCATTGTAAAAAAAAAAAAAAAGAAAAAAAAATGTAGTAGACTGCTGTCTGTAATATGCCTAATGTAATGAGTCAGTCAGCCATATTTTGTCTAATCAATACTATGTAAGTGCTTTAAGACATGTTGACCAATTAACAAGTGAAGGGATTTCTGTTTCCTCTTCAAAATATGGTATTAACTTCAAGCCAACTCAAACAGAAACACTGAATGGACCAGTTGGTGAGTTCATAATTAATTTTACATTGAATAAAGGTCTTATTACTTACTTTTATAATAGTCTACAGAGTTATAACCAACACAATATTGATGGGCTTGTTGAGCGATGAGAGGAGGACCTTTTAAGAGTATACAATGAAGATGCTTGAGAGGGATGTATTCAGACCACTCACTCTCTTTTTCCCAGCAATAAATTCAAAGAAATGCAATATAGAATTCTTCATAGACAGCACAGGACACTTCATGTTAAGAACAAAATTGACCCTAATAGATCACCATTGTGCCTTAAATGTAAGTTAACAAATAGAACATTTATACACTGCTTCTGGAGCTGTCCTAGAATATCAAAGTTCTGGTCATGTGTATCTAAGGAAGTGACAACAATTTTCAAAAACAAGGTATGTAAAGATCCAGGCCAGTTTCTATTGGGGCTGCCACTTACAAATAGAGTTATGGATGTGACAAGATCAAAATTATTGAATAAACTCTTATATTTGGCCCGAAAGTGTATACTATTTAGTTGGACTAGCAGCAAACCTCCCAATGTAACTCAGTGGTACAAAGACATTTTTAGAGTTTTACAGATGGAAAGGCTAAGTACCAAATTAAAATGGAATAATGATATCTTCATGGACACATGACGGCCCCATATGGATTACTTGCCTATAGGTCTAAGTGAAACTATACTGAGGGGAAACAATGGTTGAGGAGGTCCCAGACAGAGCTAACTAATGAAAAAAAATACTTTTTTGTAAGTACAAGGACCGAATTTCTTAAATTGATGATACATTGTTGTGTTGTTGTTGTTGAGGTTTGTCTTTGTTTACCCTTCTTTTTGTTTTGTTTTGTTTTTTTCCCCTCATGTTTTATCCTTTTCTTGTCATTTTCTACCTTATTTGAATTGAAATGATGTATGGTTTTATATAAATTCTGAAAATAAAATAAAATCTGATTCTTAAAAAAAAAAAAATCTTTGGGTTAGCATAAGGCTTGGAGTGAAACTATGATGACCCCAGTTTTAAAAGTCTCAGTTGCTGCTCCCTGTTTGGCACTGGTGAGAATGCATCTTGACAAAATTCACACCTTGAACCTTAGTGTTTGCACAAGCCACTAAATGTCTCATTAATCTCGAACAAGTTTGATTTAACTTGAAAACACAGAAAAATATGGAGAGGAAATAACTCTGTTTGTTCAGCATGTAACATCTTATAACCAGGTGCTAGAATTGTATTCAGACTTTGAATATTGCTGTTTTGAAACGGCTTGAGAAATTGTGAGGACAGTGTAAGTAGACAAACAGAAAACAGAATAGATAAGGGAAGAAACCAACAACTTTTGTGACATGAAGCATAGCGATTGTTCAGGCAGAACATGAAGTCAGCTAAAGGATACAGACAGCTGATCTTAAGCCAGCCCTCAGTCAGCTGAGAGCTCAGCTGATCGCCTCCACACATCCTATTGGCAAATACCAAAATGGCGCCCTATTTAAACTAATTCTCCTGCCTACTCTGCCTGCTGCAACCACTCTGCAAGGCTGCAACCGCTCTGCAAGCTCCCACTGATGAAAACACTCAGATCTGCATTTCTGCTTTTTCCTACCTTGCTCTTCATCATGTTGATCCCTGCCCATGACGAGGATCCATGGCAGATTGACTGCTTTTCTGAAATGCTACATCAGCAATGCGAAGTTGAGGCAGCCAGTCCTTGCAATGACAGCTACGTTCCCTTCTGCAGGAGCTCTGGTCTAGCAAGTAAAACTTCTATTTCCTCCAGCTTCATGAACGGCCAGTGTCAAGGGTCCTGAAAGTCCTTTAAAAATAACATCACAGCTCCAGATGGTGCCTCACATCAAGAGCTTTTAACTTGTTTATGGAAAATATCTACATAGAGCCTTCACCTGCAGTTCTCTCTTCCTCCTCTGTCAACAGAAAAGCGATCAAGAAAAGATAACACTGCTCTCACAGCATCATAGCAGTTCCAGCTTCAGCCGCGGCGCCATCCCCTCAGAGCAAGGGGCCCAACCCTCCAAACTCCACAGGTGGGAGCACTCAATGCACACTTTTGATTGGATGCTAGTTGCCTAGGCACACACAGAACTGAACTGGACACATATCTCGCCATCATTTCTGACTAAGCCATGACTTATGGAGGAACATTATTCTAGGAGTATCACAAATCATTTTCAGCAAAGCTGCTATGTACATTCAAACATTCAACCAAAGACTTGATTAGTCCATAGGCGACTAGCTCTAATCAGTAGACATTTTACTGGGCATCAAGCTTTTTTCTGCTCAATCTGCGGGTCTAAGTAAGCCGGTTCGCAGTGGTACGCCATCCGGGAAGACATAATCAGCAGTTTACAGCCAGTACACAGACTTCCACCCCTGCAATGTATGTATGCTACATTTGCTTAGTGTGTTGCTGCATGTCAGTCTGCACTCTGCATTGTAACCGTAGTAATTCAATAGGACCATGCTGCTTGAGAGTGAGCCGCATTTGCTTCCACAAACAAACTCCACAAGTGGGAGCACTCAATGCGCACTTTTACTGGTTGCCTAGGCACTGGGGCCCACCTCCCGCCTTTTGTGGAAGGGGGGAACTTCTAAAGAGACAGCTGCTTCAATCTTAATGCAAAAATAAGACAAAAGGGAAAAATAATAAAATGATTTTATGTTCAAGAGAAAGAGAGATGCAACAGATGATGATACTGTGCCATTAGAGTCGGCACCTCGTTAAACTTTGGTATGCTCCTCTTGTACAAAGCCTACGGGTACAGCATCTGCAAGAACCTTATCCTACTTTCACCCCTGCTCACACCTTCAATCTGTGCCCTAAAACTGTGGCTACAGGCCAACCACCCAAGCCTTCTAAGCCTACCACTCAGAGAGGCCAAGTTACTGCAGGGACAGGCATCTGAAATTAGCATGCCCAAGACGCACCCGCCTTGTAAAAAAGGAAAGAGAATAAAGCTGTCTACTCTGTCAAATGTCCCAGAGCAGGGGAAGGCAGTGCCAAAGCATCCTAACTGCTGTTTTGTGAATTATTTGATAACAGGACTGGTTCAGGGGTTCCTAGCAGGTTTGGTCTGGCTGCCAAAAGTGTCTCTGTGAGTAAAAAGTTACAATCTGCTTTAAAAGATTGTGAAATAGTTGCTGGAGAAAAGGTTTAGAAAGGATTCATAATTGGCCCCTATAGTCACCCTTTCCAATTACCCCTGTTAATCCTTTAGGCATAGCTATGCGTAAATACTCAGGGGAAAAAGCATCTTAAAAGAGAAGTAACGGGATATGCTCGAGAGGCAGTACATCTACCGATAAGAGAACTTCTCTCTTTGCTTGGGCACATTAATCTGCCATGCGCGTCATGCCTCAGGGGAGGTTCTTATATTTTTAGACTTCTTGACCTCGCCAAATCAGTTGAGAAACTCCATGATAGGGCAAGTTTAGATGAAGGTTGTAGTTTCAAACTGCGGTTTGGTCACCTCTGTGAAAAAAATGGAATAGCTTCTCATTCTTTTACAGTGACTATCAGGAATCTTCTCCTGCAATTAAGCTATTTACAGTCGCAGCACCATCTGTTGGTTTTGAGGGGGTTTTAATAATCAGTGGTTTGCTGATGTTTGGCTGTATGAACTGTCTTCTGTGCCAAAAAATGTGTCTTCAACTGCTCTCCTCAAATTGTATCCAATTTTCATATCTTGCCTCCTATGGGATAAACATTGGTCCAGGAAACTGATTTTTTTTTTTTTTGTGACAATGAGGCAAACGTTAATATCATTAACAAAGGGCACTCTTCAGTTCCATTTATTAGGTTAATGAGGCGCCTTACCTGGCCCTATGTCTTGAGTAATTTCATTATTTGAGCAGTCCATATTCCAGACATTGATCACCAAATTGCTGATCCCTGTCCAGAGTCGAACTTTAAAAATTCAGCCAGCTGTGCCCAGAGGCAGCACTATCCAGCCTGACCTGTCCCCCATTCATTCAGACTGTGTTAGTCTGAGTGAATCTTGCAAACATATATGCCCTCTGCTGCCTGCTATACGAGAGCTGGTTAAGCAAAATCAGCATTAAAGTTAAAATAATTCTGCATGGTCTCAGTTGACCACATTCCTCTCTGCAACAAATCTAATTCCTAACATCTTTGAAGACCTGGACATCAACGACGAGCCCTTCACCCTAGATGAGTTCAGGAAGGTCAAAGCTTCACTCAAGCTGGGAAAAGCAGCTGGACCGCACAACAGCCCCCCAGAAGTCTTCAAATGCTGTGACTTCGATGAGATCTGCCTCCAGTTTTGCAACGACGCGCTTATGAAGAATGACAAGCCTGACCTCTGGTCGTTCATGAACATTATCCCTGTGCCCAAGACTGGTGATCTGACTAATACCAACAACTATCGAGGTATCAGTCTAATATGTATAGTCGCCAAGGTTTACAACAGGATGATCCTCAATCGTATTCGCAGCGTCATTGACCTGAAACTCAGAATTAACCAAAATGGCTTCCGTCCTGGGCAATCCACTGTGGCTCAGATTCTCACACTGAGGAGAATCATTGAAGGAGTGAAGGCGAACAATCTGCCAGCCATCATCACCTTCATAGATTTCAAGAAAGCCTTCGACTCAATACACCGAGCGAAGATGATGAGGATCTTGAAGGCATACGGTATTCCACCCAACCTGCTCAGAGCAATTGAAGCCATGTACTCTAACACCAAGGCGAGAATCATGACACCTGATGGAGAGACGGAGCAGTTCGACATTACTGCTGGAGTTCTGCAGGGAGATACGCTCACCCCATTCCTCTTCATCATTGTGTTGGACTATTGTAACCCAGGTTACTAGGCTCTGATGAAAGGATCATCAATTTATTAAACAAATAAATACATAAATATCGAGGTTGGTTACATAAACACGCCTAAAATGATTCTACATGGAATAAATAAATCAGTTCATGGTTTAAAAATATTAAAAGGTCAATAAATAGGTGAAAAACAGTAATAATACACAAATTATTACATCTATTAAAAAGGGTATTTTAGTTCATTTGAATGTGCTTTTTTTTTAAAAAAAAAAAAAAAAGAAAAAAGATGTGTACAAGATTCGGGTGACATGCGGAGTTCACATGACGCAACGTAACCGATCAGACGTGATCGGGGTCAGGGGTCTTCTTCCGGTCTCTCTCCCTCGGACTTGGACAAAGTAGCTGCACGCTAATCCTTCACCGCAGATTAAAAACTAACTTTCAGTGCAAGAGAGCAAAATTTTAGGAAGACGGAGGCTGTTTTAATTCGGCACGGAGACCGGAGTCTTTTCTTTCTTTCCCGTGGGTCGGGTTGCGGACCGTTAAACTGTAAGTTCACTATCAATGAGCGCTGTTAGCTTGAAGAAAAAAAACGTCATGCTGAACTCTCGTGTTGTCCCCGTTTCTTTTAAGTGAGAGCTGGACTGCTGATGAGCCGTGTGGGTGACATTTAGTCTGAAGAAGTGTGTGTGTAAATACTGCTTGAGTTTCTGGTGAGTAAAATGTAATGATGTGAGCCTCATCGGCAAAGTAAAATGTTCCGCTATAAGCGGATGTAGTTGCTGAAGTTAATGAGTTAAAGAGACGTTATTTCATGTTTATGTGTAAAGGAGAAAAGGGTTACATGATGTGTTTTGTCTGCATTACTCTCACACTGTTTTTTATGTGAGTGAGCCAAAAGAGAGATGAACAGAGGAGAATTTATAAGCTATTTTGTTCATAGTAGTATTTTAAAATATGCTCAGAGAATTTAATGTACAAAAATAATAACTACAATGATGCTGGTTACATTTATGCTTGTTTATATGCATATAGCTCTGAAAAAAAGTGTTATAAGAGCATCATAGTGATTTATTTCTGGCCTATTATAGGCCGGGTCTTTTTCTTCCCTGGATTCAAGAAACGAAGAATTCTTCCGCTGGGTTCTTCCCTGTTCTGTAAGGTAGAGGGGAGGCTCAGTGGTTGTGGCGGGCCACCCAACAAGGACTGTGATCTTCGATTTTGCTTGGAGTTTATTTTGTGAATATTGTCACTGAGCTCATATGTAGATGAATGCTGTTCTCTGTTTTAAGGGTTTCTATTTTTTTTTCTAACGGTTACTAATACAATTCAACACAAAACCTACCTATTGTCAGTTGAGTCCTTTACTCTGTCATTCATTACAAATTTCAAATACCCCTTTCTCCTGTAGCGAATTTAGTCTTCTGATTTACTGGTCCACTGAGTTGTTAATATTATAAAGAAACATATCTGTATCATCTAGCTATTGCTAAGGACAGTCAAAGCTGAGGTGGGTTACACTATGCCCTGAGGAAAGCGATGGCAGATGGCAAGGAAGAAGAATTGGGCTTTACCATCACCCCACGCAGATCTAGGAGGCACCCGAAGGAAGTCTTAGCTGACCTGGACTTCGCAGACGACATTGCCCTGCTATCTGACGCCGTGGAACAAGCCCAGGAACTCCTCCTTAGAGTAGAGACTGAATGCAACAAAGTAGGTCTCGGACTCAATGGCACAAAAACCAAATACCTGGCCTACAACATCGATGATCATCCTCCTCTTGTCCGGCACTCTCCTCTGGTCACTCGTAACGGCACCGTCCTAGAGGAGAAGAACGATTTTAAGTACCTTGGATCCTGGGTAGATGAATCCCTGAAGGACATCAAAGTCAGAAAGGGGTTGGCCTGGAAAGCCCTCAATGATATGGACAGGATATGGAAGTCCAACATGAATCCAGGTCTGAAGAAGCGTTTCTTCGTCGCCAGGGTCGAGTCAATCCTCATATACGGGTGCGAGAGCTGGGCATTGAATAATGCAATGGAGAAGTCCCTCAATGGTACCTACACACGCATGCTACGCAGGGTCCTAAATGTACACTGGAGCTCACACACAACCAATGAAGTGCTTTATGGCGAACTGCCCGCAGTCGCTGACAAGATAGCAGCCAAGAGACTCCAGCTTGCAGGACACTGTCACCGCCACCCTGAGCTGAGCACCCAGAAAGTCTTGCTATGGGAGCCAAAGCACGGCCACAGAAATAGAGGGCGGCCACGAACATCGTATGTGGATACCTTAAAGAAGGATACTGGAGCGAAGAGTGCCAGCGAGCTAGCTTCACTGATGAAGGATTGTGACATTTGGCGCAACCATGTTCACTCTCGCCGCGTTGCGACCTAAGTCAAGTAAGTTAAGTCACAAATCTCCACTACAACCTCTCCCCTTCCTCCTCCATCTTGTTCAAATGTCTCAACCACTTCAACTACCTCCCTCCTTGAACACCAGTCCTTGTCTATCCATGAAACAGTGGTGAGGTTGGAGCTTGGAGGACTTTGCCCTGGGAAGGCAGCTGGTCCAGATGGTGTATGTCCAAGGCTGCTTAGAGACTGTGCTGCAGAACTGTGTCAACCTCTCCACAGGATCTTCAACCTGAGTCAACAGCTGGGGCGGCTACCTGCTCTGTGGAAAACACCCTGCATTGGGCCAGTACCAAAAACAAAATGTCCCGCTGAACTCAATGACTACAGACCAGTGGCCCTCACTTCACACATCATGAAAACCCTGGAGCAGCTGATTCTATGCCTTCAGAGGTTTGAGGTCAAAGACAAACTGGATTTTTTACAGTTTGCATACAAAAAACACATTGGAGTGGCTGATGCTGTCCTCTACATGCTTCGCCGTGCCCTGTTTCATCTGGAGGAACCTGGGGTTTATGTGAGGATCATGTTCTTTGACTTTTTAAGTGCATTCAACACCATCCAACCCACCATACTCAAAAACAAGCCTGTGTTTCCTGGATCACAGATTACCTGACAGGAAGGCCACAGTTTGTCAGGCTGAGGAACTGTGTTTCTGGGACAATGATGAGCAGTACAGGGGCTCCACAAGGAACAGTCCTGGCTCCATTCCTGTTCACACTGTATACATCAGACTTCAAATACAGCACTGAGTCCTGCCACATCCAGAAATACTCAAATGACACTGCTATCGTAGCATGTATCAAAAATGGACAAGAGGCTGAATACAGGGAAGAGCCTTTAGTGACTGGAGTCACAAGAACTGCCTCCTCCTCAGTGGTATTTTTGTCCGGCAGTGCCCAGTGCACTGCCAGTTTGGTATTTTCGTGGACTGAGGCGAACCGAGGTCTGCCAAGCTGGGCGTGGTGGCGCAGTAGGGGGAGGTGTTGAGAGAATCAGCTGGCGCAGTGACATTTTCGTGCTCGCTGGCGGTGTGGAAAGTGCACTGAAAGCTCGCTGATTCAAACCTGGTCAGCTTTCAGCGCAGGCAGAGCACAGCTGGTCTAGTGGTATTTAACTCTTAATCATATTTTTTAAAATAATACATCAATGCAACACTGCACATGTTTATAATTAACAAAAACATTAAAGCATTTGTTTTAATTCAAACAGCTGTCTTTTTTAACATAAAATGAAATGAGATTTTTAACATAAAATGCAATAATTTACTGTTTAATTTAAACAGCTTTCTTTTTACATAAAAATGATTTACTGTTTTTAATTCAAAGAGCTCTCTTTTAAACATTAAATTAAATTAATCACTGTTTTTAATTCAAAGAGCTCTCTTTTAATACACTTTGAACTTTTTTTTTTTTTAAACACAGGTTCTTAACCTGGGTTATACAACACACACCAGTGGTTCCCCCAGGATGTGAATCTAACTGTGGTGGTGAGTTAACCCATTATGACCTGAGCCCTGTCTGAGACACAGCTCTTGAAATCTTGAAGGCAATTTTGAGGCCCCCGGATCCTGAGGTTTTCTGAAGTGTTGAGGTTTACAAAAAAGCTGATATATCAGCCTCTGCGGCAAATACAAACAAAATTCAAAAAGTATTTGAGAGCTTACACCTGTGGCTTTCAAGATAACTATCTTTTATTTTCCCAAACCTTCATCACATTATTGAAAACCTTGAACAAACAATCTCAAATGAAATAAAGCGGCTGTATAAATAAAAATAAAGACTGCACTGGAGAATAACAAACTATTTGCTTTCTGTAAAACAAGTGGCAGTCATGATAAAGTGATAATTCAACACAAATGTAAATATAAAAAATGAAGTGTTGAAAGGGTATGCACCTGCCCCAGTATAGTGCCAGCACAAAAGCATTACTAAAAACTAAAAACTTAATAAATAAATACTTGGCTGACAGTGTGTTCAAATCTGTGCTCACCCAAAGTCACACTTTATTAGCCTATCAGAAGCAGACAGGTATGATGATTTGATTCACCATGACTCTAGAAATTATTAAAAAACTACAGAATGTTACAAAATGACGTATCCATGCTCCTGGCTTAAAAAGTAGAAATGCACAGCGGCGCTGGCTTGGAAGGTTGAAATGCGTTCACGCTTCTCCCAGCTTGAAGGGTTGAAATACCCACATGCATCCGGCTTTCCGAGTAGAAATGCGCAGCCACGCTCCCGGCTTGGAAAGTTGAAATTCGTAAAGAAACGCAATCTCTTCTTTGTCACAGTCCTTTTTGCTGTCCATTTTGTACTCTTTTTCTGGCTGCAGCCTGCAGGTGCTCTGACTATTTTGATTGACTGGCAGGCAGGAAGGCAGGCAGGCAGGCAGCCGTGTCATGTGCATCTTTCAAAATTTTGGCGGTACCCGGAAACCACTGACAAACCACTGAGCCAAAAAAAATTTAAATAAAACATAATATATAAATAAAGAGGTAACGAGCCTTTTGGGAAAATGCAAGAGGTAGAAAGTACCGATATTTGTATTAAAATGTAAGGAGTAAAAGTAAAAAGTTGTTAGAAAAATAAATACTTCTAAAAGTACAAAGTACCTGAAAATTTGACTTAAGTACAGTAACAAAGTAGTTGTACTTGGTTACTTGCAATCACTGTGGACCTGGACATGTCTCTGTGTCCTCCCCCCACCCTGCTGCTGCAGCAAAGCTGACCAGATGATTTATTTTAGTGACCAAATGAGTTATTTTACTTTAAGCCTACATACGAACATTTTAATCTTCAGTTGCATTAGCCAAATTCATTTTATATGCCAACATCAATGAAAGAAAGAGCCAGGCCATAAAAACGTTATTCTTATTCTTATCGTTCTATCGCCCAGCCCTACTTTGCACTAATGGCTGGTGGGGAAACAATGATAAACTTATAATAAAATACAAGCCCAAGTTTTAAAAGTCCCATATTATACTCCTTTTCAGCAGGTTCACATAGGTCTCAGTGGTCCCAGAACAGTCAACTTAAAGTTTGTTGTCTAAAAATCAATTTTTTTCCTGGACTTCAGCCAGCCTGAAAACTTTCTCTAGTGAGCTCTACCGAGAACACGCTGTGTCTGTGTGCCGCGCCTGTCCATGCTTCCTTCAGTGCAAGCCCCACCCCTCCCTGTCTCTCTGGAAGAGGGAGTCGTGGCTAGCGCTACGGTACCATACGCTATTGTTTACACATAGTGCTAGGTATGGCTTGTAGAAGCACTGTCTTCCAGCCGTACCAGTTTGATCCAGAGTCTGACCTAGAATATTTTTGTTTTTCTTTTTTCGTGTGTTGGTACTAGAGCATGACACGGGACCGGATTTTCACTCCAGTCCCATCCCACTCCCAGAGAAAAAATCCTGTCGCGTTCCAATCCCGGACCAGAGTAAAAAAATGAATCCCGTCCTGTCCCCCTCCCGTAGAATGACTCCCACTCCCATCCCGCTCCCACTCAAAATAACTCCCACTCCTGTCCCACTCCCGTTTGAATAAAACCAAACATGTTGAGAAAACGTTGCATTTTCTATTTTAGGTAAAAGTGCACTGCATATAAAAGGCATTGCCTTTGAGTTTCACATGCCTGACATTCGGTCGGTGTAAACAAAGTGCATATATATACAGTGGCGGTTCGAAACTTAATTACTCCCCAGGCGAGAACCCCTCCAAGCCTCCTGGCTTGAAGGGTAAAAATGTGCAGCCGCGCTCCCTGCTGACAGGAAGTCAAACCACTGTTGTAGTTCTTTTGTGTTGCTAGCGCGGTCAAGAGTGTTGGCTCTCACTGAGAGATGACTACAAAAATGGACGCATCTGTTTATCTTGTTGATTTACACGGCAGAAAATTATCATCTATTAATGTTGTTCCCGCTCCTGCCCGCTCCCGTGGCTTTTTTTCCCCCATCCCATCCCATCACGGAATCAATTAAAAAATGACTCCCATCCCGTGGGATTCCCGCGGGAATCACGTGACCCACTGGAATTCCCGAAAAATGTCATTCTCTAGTTGGTTCACAGTGACTTACATGTAGTTAAGAAACATTAGCTCTTGGTAATAGTTACATCTCCACTGTCTTCTCTGCTGTTACTTGGAGCTCTTTTGGTAAATGGGCAATATTGTAAGTATAGTTATCTCTGATGACTATGTTCTTGCAGTCTACGGAAACAGACTTCTGTGCTTCTTTGTGCAGCCAACAACAATCTTGAGCAGGGTCACCAACCTGGAGGGGAGGAGTTATCACCGTCCATGACATCATGAAAGGCAATAGTTTCAATCCGCCCTTTTGAGCAGACATTTTCTGAAAGGCGGAACAAGCAAGAGAGCAAGGGGATAGAATTTTCTCATTTTGGGGGGGTTTGAGACAGGCTGAGGATTCATATTATTGTAAGAAACCATTCTAAAGTGAATTTTTGCATAATATGAAACCTTTAAAGCTTTGAAGGACATTACATAAAATTTTGAAATGATCTGTAACATCTGCAACCTGTGATAAAATGTTAGCAAGAAAAGAGCGCAAATCCTTGAGTTTAAATAATCAAAATTAATTCAAAGCTCTTAAAGTGAACTGACACATAGTCCTTTTGGTAGTAATACATATGACTTTTACACTTAAAATGATTTTTTTCCTGTTAGAGAGACAGGCATTAGAGTATGTCTATCTCTCTGACAGAAATCATCAACCAAAAAACGAAGGTAACATGTTGGTCATGTTTTCAAAAAACAGAGTTAAAGAGTTTTAAGGTTGCTTAAAGACCCACTCCAATAAAAATCATGTTTTCTTGTCTTTTACATGTTCATATGGCATTTTTCTGATGCTACAGGTCAAATCATGAGAAAAATAAGTGCACAATTGCATTTCTGAGTATTTCTGCATTCAAATTGCTGTGAATATCTGGCAGACCCAAACTGCAGGCTCAGATATGGTGAGATTTCATATGTCACAAATCCAAGCTCCAACCCCAGAGCCCTACTATGCAGGCAAGACTCAGAGAAATAGAGAAGACAATGGCAAAAAAAGCATGTGTGGTCGCAGATTGCAATGCTTATGATATTTTAGCTTTCATCATGTCCTTAAAGACATTAGTGTCTGAATCTGACTAGCTTCTATGTTACCTGCTTCTTCTACATCACAAGCAATGTTAAGCTGCAAACTAGCATGAAGAGGAGTGCGCAGAGCAGCGCTGTATCCGCCCACAACTCAGTGGTGATTTGCTAATGAGCTACTGAAGCTCTGCAGAAGAAAAGCCCTTGAAAATAAGACACAGGTAATGCGATTTTGGCTAAAAACTTCATAATCACAATTTAAAGACCACGGAAAACACTAAGTAGTAAAATCGTGATTTTGAGTTTTGCCATAATTGAGCGGTCCTATGATAAACATTATTATTAGGATTGTGACCACAAGTCTACATGAGTTTTTTGTTATTTTTCTCTATCCATCTGTCTTTCCACATCTCCCTCTCTTCGCTTTCCAATCCCAACACGGTTGGGGCAGATTGCTGTTCAACAAGAGTCCTGCTAAGGGTTTCTGCCTGCTAAAGGAAGTTTTTTCTTTTCACTGTAACTTGCTTATTTGTACAGAGTGCTGGGCTCACAGTGTGTTGAAAAGAGTAAGAGGGAGTCTTAGCCTGTAAGATGGAACTGAATACAATTATATCTTGATGTTGAGTCTTGGCCTACTGTATTTGGAAAGTGTCCTGAAGAGAAAATTTGTTGTGATTTGGCACACTATAAAAAAGATTGATTGATTGATGCACCAAAGTGAACTTTGACTTAGACATTGCTTTTTTGCCCTGACTTCCTAGAAACACTCCAACACTAAAACACTTAACTGTAAATACCTTGAGCTCGACTCCAGCAGGCACCACTATGGGCCTGAAGGATAGCGAGTGTGGGCAGATGGGGGTGATCATAATTGCAGGGACGTTAGGATGGATCATAGAAGCACCTGCTGCAACTGCATATGCCGTACTCCCCGTAGGTGTAGATACTATCACACCTGAGCAGACACAGAGAGACAATGCAAAAAAAAAAAATATCAAAACCAAACACAAATTCAGTACCCAAATAGCTGGCAGTGTAAGTTACTCTGAAAAACATCTACAGAGTCTATATTCTTTCAAACTAAAGCCGAGTCTCCACAAATAAGGGAACCCTTCTTCTATTTTTAGAAGAAGGGTGACTTACGCCACTGGGAGGAGCTGAGTTAGGGAGGGGGGGATACTTATGCCGGGCTGCGCCGCTCACCAAAATACCAAATTGTGCTTGGGAACGCCTTGTCGGCGCGGTGGACCTGACTTACGCCTGCAGCACGTCTCCGGTGAGGCATGAAAATAGAGCCCTATAAGTCTACTGATTGATGCAAATCTCTCTGACTTTTGACTTGTGAAATGGGAGGGATAGTGATACTAGACGGACTCCACTCAAGTATTTACATTCTGCTGAACCACTGACTATCAACATACATCCTCATACTTACCATCTCCCTGCACTGTGGTTATAAGGTGTCCATCCAAGAACAGGTCAACATTGGAGAGATAGGAAGAGGGACCTCTGTCCACCACTACTTCGTTGAGAACCTGAAACAGATCCAAATGTAAATATTTTAATTTTCTGGTAACATGTCTCCACCCAACTTGACGTGGATGGGTTGTTATGAGCTAATCAGTGTCCCTGTTAAGTTTTTATTGATTCTGTGTGAAAAAAAAAATATATCCTGCTCTCAGAAATCTGACTTTATTACCTCAGGTTTTCCTTTGGAAACCACCAGTGTGCTGCAGCATGCAAACACCTAAACGAGGCCTCAAATATTCTTTCAAAAAGAAGTGTTTGATAATGAAAAACAAACACAGTGGGGCTGCAAGGTCACAATGACGATGATAAATATTGAGCTGATGATTATTAGTAGGGATGCGCCAATCCTATACATAATATTAATACATAATATCCTATACACAATACAGGCCAAAATTGGTGGATTGGAAATTAGAAAAAGTTGAAACTGTTCAGTCAGATCCTTTAGCCCCAAGTTACTGAGTACAACATGCCATTCAGAGGCTGGCTCCTCAGGGCTATGGCGAGCTGCTGCAGCACGTGTCATGTAAACAAAAGTTAGAGTATGGAAGTGGCTGTGGCTGGATAAGTATTAGCAACTGAGCTTGGTAAAGGCACAGCAAAAACTTAATAAGCCCTCTCTGAGCAGATCAGTAGCACTTTGTGTGCTCCGCTTTGTTGTTTTTATAGGAATCATATGTACATTTTTCTTACCAAAAAAAGTATACCTCAAGTACATTTTATGAAATATACTGAAGATCATTGTAGTACACAGCCCAAAGTATACTTTGTACACTGGTACAAAAATACTACCAGTGTACTTAAAAGTTAACTTCTTAGGTCTAATTTGGCCCCAATTTGGTTTATTGAAGTATACTTAAAGCTTACTTCAAGTAAGCTGCATTGAAGGGGTTTCCTTCAATGGGTAGGATAGAGTGGCAATGGGGATGACATGCAGCACATAGTCGGACCCGTGACCACAGTGGGGCGCGCCTTAATCCACGCCTTAATCGGCTGTCTGTGCACTGACCCTGAAGAATAATCAAAATTACTCTTTGGTATGCTCTTATTTCAATAGTAGTGCATATTTGTATACTTGGCTTGTACTGCTTATCTTTTCTAAGAGTATAATCTTATAAAGATATATGGAAGTATTCCCGGACCAAGGCCACTTAAACCCAAGGCACAAATACATACTTGAGTATATCTTGATCAAAAGTTTATGTATACTGTAAGTATAGGTTAAATATATTTGGACTTTTAGTATAATTCTTAGTACAAGCCAAATATACTTAAAAAAAAAACATTAACTTTGTTAAATATATCTCTGAAGAGTGTATAAAAAGTAAACTGAAATTATACTTAGTTTAAAAGCAGTATACCGGAAGTACATCAAAACATACTTCTTTTTGGTAAGGGTTTACAAAGGTGCTTGCGGAGCTCTGTGCCTTTTTTTAAGGTTCAGAGCCAATATTGCATAAAAAGAGCTTACTATAGAGGTTTAGCAGTTTTAAGATACTTAACACCTGCTACGCAGGCAACTTTGTAAAAACTTGCAGTATGCTCTTAGCTCATATTTCCTGAGATGACAACAGAGGTAACAAAATAAAACACAACCAATTAAATCAAGAGTCATCATGCCAAAAAGCCAAACAGCTAAAAAATAATACAATAAAAGCAGAAATAAAGCTGACATTGCTGTCAACAATGGACAACACACTTTAGTACATTGAACAACACACTTTAGTACATTTGAAGGACACAATCCTCAGTGCATTCTATTGATAGATCAGCTTGCACATTTGTTTGCAAGGCTTTCAAGTCTGCACAGATATCTAAATATGCAAACCTTTAGTTAATCAGGTCCCATGTGACACTATGCAAACAGTTATCAACAGAGTGAAAAGACATTTCACAGCAATGAGCTTGACCTCAAATATCTGCAGCACTAACATTTGGCACCCTTATGGCTTCACCACTTACACATCAATGTGCTATGCTACAAACTACCACAGCTCACACAATTATTCATTCAGACTGCCATTAGGAAAATGCTTTATCATTTGACTTAATCACATGTCAGTTTGCAATACTTTGTGGCATATTGACTCACTGTTAAATGTTTCATTTTCTCGTTTACATTGTTTTTTTTTTTTACTAAAGTGGTTTTAAATGGCTTGTTGATAAAATTTCTGCCAACCTAGATGACAAAAAAAATCCCACTTGGCATTTTCTTGGGCTTGTCAAAAGCCTTTGACCTTGTAGATCATCATATCCTTGTTGCAAAATTACAAATACATGGTTTTCAAGGTGTTGCCCTAAATTGGTTGGAGAATTACTCAATGGCAGAAAACAATTGTGTAACTGTAAATAGGCAAAACTCAATGCAAGCATAGCTAATACACAAGGTACCTCAGGGTTCAATCTTTGGACCTCTTTGTTTCTGATATACATAAATTATTTACCCAAGGTCTGCAAGTATACATTACCTTTATTACTTGCTGATTATACTTGTGTCGTTACTTCACACCAAGTTTTTGTACACTGGTTCAGGAAGCTAATGAAGAATTATCATCTATTTCTGAACAGTTTCAGAGGAACCAATTCTCATTCAGTAAATCTAATTTCATGATATTCTGTCTTGAAAAATATGTAAGAGATAAAACCAAAATATTAATAGACAATATAGAAGTTTCTCATATCAACCATAGCAAATTTTTAGATGCCATAGTGAATGGAAAACTAACAGGGAAGAATATTATCGAATGTGTACGCAAATAGGTCATGAAGTCCATCGGTATTTTGAGTAGTTTGCTCACTGATACACCATTCTACCATTAAAACTTTTACTAGTTTTATTTATCCTAACATTTTGTGTAAAAAAATCTAATACTACCCACCTTACCTAACAGATGGTCAAAGCAACATATACTGTTTGATGACAGTGTATTCAGAAATGGACATGATAGAGATCTGATAAGAGCCTTAGGTGACTGGAGTCACAAAAACTACGTCCTCCTCAGCACCTCTAAGACAAAAGAAATGATGATAGATTTCCACAGATCCAAACCTCCACTTCAGACAGTGAACACCTGTGGCTTGGACATTGAAGTGGTGACATTATATAAATATCTAGGCGTACACCTGGATAATAAGTTGGACTCATCTAAAAACATAGACTTCATCTACAGAAAGGGGCAGAGCCGCCTCTTTTGCCTGAGGAGACATCAATCAATAGACATCTGTAGTAAGATGCTGCAGATGTTTTATCAGTCTGTGGTGGCAAGTGTTCTGTTCTACGCAGCAGTCTGCTGGGAAGGAAGCATCAAACACAAAGGGCTCTATTTTCGTGCCCCGCTGGAGACGTGGCGCAGTGCAAGTCAGGTCTGCCGCGCCAACAAGGCGTTCCCAAGCACATTTTGGTATTTTGGTGAGCGGCACAGCCCTGCTTAAGTACCCCCCCCCCCTTAACTCAGCTCCTCCCAGCGGCGTAAGTCACAAATAAAGACACTCACATAAAGTTGCATTCATTTAAAACTCACATGACAAAGGTGGGTTGTGCACACAGATCACAACATAAATTCCAAAAATGGCATTAAAATCGGAACCATCTGTGCGTAAAGGACGCATCGCACTCCGTGGCCGTGCTCTTTCTTTCATAGAAGTTGGCATATAAAATAAATTTGACTCACAAAACTGAATATTATAATATTCGTATGTAAGTACGTATTAATGTGGTTTCAGCTGTGTTAATTCGGTCAGGTTTAGTGTCCAAACGCGTGCCAAATGCGCTCATCAGATCAGATATAGATCAGAATATATCAATATAGATCTAAATGTATGCGCTGAGTCAGAATATTAGTTGTTGTTGATTATTTATTGCACTAAAATGTGCCTGACACCGTGGAAACCTGCCGGTGAGGCATCAGTGACGTATGCCGATACGCCACTGGTCTACCAAAATAGCATTTATATCAGCTGCGCTCCGCCTGCGCTGAAAGCTGACCAGGTTTGAATCGGCAAGCTTTCAGTGCACTTTACACGCCGGTGGCGAGCACAAAAATGTCACTGCGCCAGCTGATTCTGTCGACACCTCCCCCTACCGTGCATCCACGCCCAGCTTGGCGGACCTCGGTGCGCCTCAAACCATGAAAATACCAAACTGGTTTTACGCCTGGCTCCGCCAGACGAAAATACCACTGCGCGTGGTCCGCCACGTTGCCGGCGGACACGAAAATAGAGCCCAAAGATGCAAGACGTCTGAACAAACTGGTGAAAAAGGCTGGCTCTGTGGTTGGACTCAAGCTGGACTCAGTGGAGGATGTGGTGGAGAGATCTGGAGAGAGGAAGGTGGAGACTATTCTAAAGAACATGGATCACCCACTTCACAACACCTTGATGGATCAAAGGGCTAGTGGTGGTGGATGGCTTCTCTCTCTTCGCTGCAGGAGAGAAAGATTCAGAAGATCTTTTGTACCAACAGCCATCAGACTTTATAACTCTTGTGTAAATAGTAGATAACTTTAAAAGACATATTATGTAAGACAACAGACAATTGAATTTCCCTTCAGGGATTAATAAAGTTCTTCTTATTCTTGATAATGCATCAGATTTTATATAAAGCTTTATCAGAGACCCTCAAAGCGCTTTACATTGGATACATCATTAATTCGCTTTCAAAGTCACACCCTGGTAGTGGTAAACTACCTTAGTAGTCACAGCTACCCTGGGGCAGACTGACAGAAACGTGGCTGCCAATCTGTGCCAACAGCCTCTCAGACCACCACCAAACGTCACTCACAATCATACACCAGTGGAGGACACACACTGGGAGCAAGGCGGGTTAAGTATCTTGCCCAAGGACACAATTGACAGACCAGGGATAGGGCAGAATCGAACCACCAACCTTCCAGTTGTTGGATGACCGCTTTACCTCCTGAGCTACTGCCGCCCTAATTTTGCAACATGTAGCCCATGATGTGTTAATAAATTGGGATCGTCATGGGCTATCATCATTTACATGCACTTCTTGTATGTGTAATTACAAATTTTTACGGTTACAGTTTCAATAAGTAGAGGCTTTTGTCCAAAACAATGTATATCTGTAGACAAGGAAGGACACAACTTCAGTAACAGCCAAAAACTACTTCAGGAATGATAAACACAGGGTCCGACAGGCAGTGCACAATGCTCAGGATATAAAGAAGCTGATTTTTCTGTCATTTTTCTTAGCAATAAGATCAACAACATTATAAACATTAGGGATTCACCAAACATTTGGCCACTGAAAATTTTTGGTGCATTTTCAGTTTTTAGCTCAAAGACTTTTATTACTGAAATAACACGGCCAAAACAGGATGTTGTGATGATGCAAGCAGAAACCTCAGCCAGCGCACACTTGTATAGAAAAGGGCCAACATGTCTGCGGTGTGGATGTATTTCAATATATATGAGAACCACGGATAGCAATTAGCATACCGTGTAATACTAAACTCTCAAGAGGCGGTGCACCTGCAAAGAGTTTCTTCACGTCAGGTTTATCACCTAAAATGCAAACATCCCGATCGCCATTCTGAATATGAGAAGAATTCTGCATAGAAAATGAAAATCCCTCCGAGCATGCCCACTCTGTCTGTGGCAGATGTTGCAGGCAAACACACAAGCAGACGCTCGGGGAGGTTTCACTTCGTCTCACTTTTATTCATAACTTTAACAGGAATGAACATTGCAACGCAAACTCATGACAAAGATCTGTTTCAGTTCAGGGGTACTGGGTATTTACTCTTTACGAGTAAAAAAGTATAAATTTTTGCAAATCTTACATGATCTATTTACAAATGGTACTTGTTTTATGTAATGCTAATACCTGATACTGCAGAGGTTTTTGACCACTATCCACATCTCCATTAGACAGGATGATATCCTTTTCATCCATTCTGGCCTTCTTATCCCAGTTCTCCTTAAGTACCATGACTTTCAAGCGACTTCGCAAGACAATGGCAGCATTACCTGTATGTGATACAAATACATTAAAGTTTCCTTTTGGAAACAAAAACTGACACAGACCAGTATTTTTGTAGAAGATAGAGTTTAACAAAGATGTTAACAAAGATGTTAGAAAATTCGGTACCTTCAATAATTTGGGTGACTTGAGACTGATAGGTATCAAACTTCAAAGGTGTCAAAAAGCCCAAGGAGCCCAGGTGGAAGGCCATTACTGGTGGGACACTCTCCTGCAAGTAAATAAATGAAGAAGATTGGTTTGCTAAGCCAACATATGTTAAAAATGTAAAGAAACACAACTGAATACCTGGAAGAGCGAAGATGCATAAAGCAAAGTCCCATCTCCACCAAGACAGATGATAAAGTCAACTTGATTTGAGATGTCGTCAAGATCTGAAAATAGGAGCAAATTGTATCTTTTGTTAAAAAATATACATCAGATCTACCTATATTAACATAGTAAATATGACTGGCCGGGTTTCATACCTTCTCTGAAAGTGCAGAATCTTTTAGTTATGGCTTCAAACTTTTCATCAGCTGAAATGGCTGGATCCTCAAGAACCTTTTGTTCCACATAAACAACCATGTTTTTCACCTTTAAACAAACACAAGTTCATTGAAATAAAGCATAGCTTACTTTGGATTCTGACAAAGATGCTAAATAAAAGATGGCAACAGACAGCGGTGTCAATCCTCCATAATAGTTGACTGATAATAGTTTTTCAGAGGCTGATGCCTGATACCAATTATGAGAGAGCAGGTCAGCCAATGGATGATGTACAGACTTCAGAAGACTTGATAAACAGTTTATAGGGTTCATGTCTGGGGATTGAGCTGGCCACTCGAGGACCTGGATATTGTGCTCAACATTAGCAGGAGGAGGATTAAGTTGAAAACTGGACTCGTCAAACCTTAGAATCTTCTTCTGGTTCCTGGTTTCTCAGTTTTTGCATGCTTGGTCCCACAGGTGCCAGGCTCTGTCTCTCATTTATCAGGGGCTTCTTGACAGCCTTGCAGGACCTTAATCCATGATAGGGGTCAACCACAAACCATGCGGATGGAACACTGGACACCAATTCGGTTTGACCACTGCTGTTGAAGCTCATGTGATGCACATGCTGATCAGGATGTAGTAATTTCTTGCTGTTGAAACCATTAGATGCCTATATTTCGGTTTGTCTTCCAAGCTGTTGATCTGTTTGTATTTCTGCAGAGTGTATCCAACAGCTGAGTGACTACATCAGCTCTTACTGACTATCTAGCAGCAAATGTACCTTTCCTAGCAAGTGTATTCTCTGCATTAGGTTCTGAAGAACTTTCAAAGATGCTGGTTTATACAAACACAAAGCACAGCAACAAAAATAGTGTCTTCAATAAAAGCTATGACTTAGGTCATTGTTGATTAGTGGTACCAAAATGGCTCATGACTCAAAATTTCTGATGTATTGCTTTGGAACCACTTAGTTTTAAGTTTTTAATGGCTTGTTATGATTGGTTTAGTGTTGTGGCTGTGGCTGTGACTGTGCACAAAGAAATTGCACTGGTAGACTTAAGAGTGATTCTTGGAGCAATATATCACAAATGCATGAGGTGTCCAAAAATTTTTTTCCACTTCTATACAATATTTTCCAGATAGATTTTTTATAAATCAATGAAAAGACGCAAATATTGGGTTATGCTATAGATTGCTGACAATATTAAATATAATACAATACAATATTCAAACACTAGTCAATGACTGTTTTGGGTTTCACATGCTGTTAATGGCGAATAGGAAAGATGGTGTTATCAGCTTTGTGAGGGCCAATGTCGATCATGTCAAAATTAATTGACTAACCGATTAAGCATTCCATACCTAAGCCTAAACACTTCCTTGTTACAAACAAATTTATTTAGCCCACCGTACATGGTCTTACCTCAGTGAGGAAAATGCAGAGCTCTTTGAAAGGCTCATGTAGACTGGCATCTCGTATTTTCTTGATGACAAGGACACTTTTTGGTGGCTTGTTCCATGTAAGTCTTTGGCTGGCTGGGTCCTGAATGTGCCTGAACACACAAACACCTATGTTTAGGGAGCAAAAAAAAAAAAAAAATCCAGAGCAGTTTTTGCTGGCCTCAGTTGAAGCCAACTTTGTTCCTTTTGGAAAATAAATGAAATGTATTAAACTCTGACTTGTATGTTTAACATATAATTCTTAACAAATGGCAAAAATATTGTGTTCATGCTTCTTTGTTCAATGAGAAGGCATTAGGCAATACCATTTAAATAAATACAATAACACCAGAAACTTTGGTCTTGGAGGTGTCATAGATGGTGTGCAAAGACAGCTAATTCTTGAAACAGACAGCACTGTTACACACTGGCTAATGTATAAAAGGTTCCACAGTTAGAGACAAAAATCAACATGTATTAAAAGATTTCCAGATTAAAGGGAAATTTATCATATATGACATGTACTAGTCGTACTATTGAAAACTACAGCTGTATAGGCTGGGCACAAATACAAGTAAAGGATAAATAGCAAACCCTTCAACAGCATTAGTAGAGGTGATCTGCAATCAAACCGATGGTTTGTCCAGACCACCTAAAACCACCTCCATTCTCATCTTCATCTCATGATCAGATTTGTGTTCTGTCCTAATTACAGGGCCTTGCTGATGAAACCGTCTGGACGGCTTCAGCATGGCTCTGTAAAGTAATAAGTTTAACTGTACCAAAAACTTACTGCAGTGAAGTTCATCTTCAGTGGGTTGCTGACAATGCACTGCCTGTTACTGCCATTTAAATGTCAGCAACCAAACATGTTCTCTCTGTTGAGAAAGAGACAAGATACCAGAGGCTCCTCTCACCGTTTCCACATTTTGTTTCCGTCTTATTTCCAGGAGTGTCCTGTAAGAGGCACTGATTAAACTTCATTGCTGTCCACATGTAACAAAGATGCTGCTTCAAATGGACTCAGCCAAGGCCTGCGCAGACAGAACAACTTCCTCTAACAACTTCCTTGAATGCCACCCATTGTTAAAACAGCTGAAGCAACTGAGCTTGTTCACCTCACACAGTCTAATACAAGTCCATTCCGGGCTGTCTGAAAGGCAAGGAAGGGGTAAGAGTCTCTCTATGTGCTGTGGCTGGGCTACAAGATAAGCTCACAACTCCTCCAGGTGGATTCCCTGTGGCTATATTTGTCCCACTGAGGACTTAAGACTAAACCTTCCTAGTGTATTTTACAGTTGTATTACAGCTCTCACACAGCTTAAAGGCTGACTTTATCTCAGTCTCCACCCACTTTGCTAAACTCAACTCGCCCATTTAAGGGAAGGACCTCCCTTTTTAGAGAGGTGTATTGGACAACAACTATGGCATGGTTGTCTATGTATATGTGCCCCAGCCTATGGTTGCAAATGACATTTATGGCTATTCATACACTACACCCATTAAAAATATTTGTACAAACATCAAAATTTAGTATGGACAGTAATTTACTTAATAAGCCCACGTAAATTTGCACCAATGAAAGATACATTTTAAAGTCTCGTTAATGGTGAAATTTCAACAGAGGTACAAAAAAAAAAGACTAAATAATACTCAACTCGGCACAAGAGTAAAGAGAACCAGAATTTCTTGACTGGATTTCAGTGTCTGGTATCATTGACACAACTCTCTCCTCCTCTCCTTTTGCCTTGCCCTAATCATCTGTCTGTCAAGAAATGCTTTCCTCCTGATAAGTGTTCATCAGTATGTTTTAACCAAACAAGAGACGAGTGCTTTGGAAAGAAGGCTTAGTATGTGTTCTGGGTCTGCTGAACCTTACATGAAACAAACACGCAGTTTTTAGTTCTTGACAAACATTGCATTTACTTGTCAGGCCCTGTTGTGACTTGTATTGTGAACAAAGCCTGCTTGCAGGCAGGTTTTCTTCATGTAAGTTTTTCTGAGTGACTTCTCTAAATTTCTCCGTCCCTCCCCTCTTGTTCAACCTGAAGAAGCTGTCTGACATGCTTGGCTTTTCTCAAACTGGTCCCACTCCCGCCCTCACACTTCCACTCTACTCCAGAGTGAACTCTGTTTGAAGTCACACCCACAGCTGCAGCTGAATAGAGCACTATTCACGACAGTGGAGAAATCGGACACAGCAGGAAGCTTTGGGCCTAGTTCAGAACACAATCTCAGAAGCATGGATGTCATTTAACAAACGCAAAAATCACAGGTCATATCAATGAATAACCATTGGGCGCACATAAGGTATATTTTTTACACATAATTTTTAAATTCCTTTTTTTAAATAAAGCACTTTTCAATCAAATGAACATGTGCCTTCCCAAGACTACGAGAGCGGTTAGTGAAAGATCCTTAATTAAGGGTATTTCTACACTTGGATCAATTAGAGAAGTTGTCCTAAAACAGTTTTTCTTAGTTTTAGTGTTACTTCTAGTTTTTTGTCTAATAAAGGCTTCTTTGGGAGTCAGGTAACACCGCTGAACAGCAGTGGCGGACAAAGTACTTAATTCAATACTAGAGTCAGAGTACAGATCCTCCTGGTCAAATATTACTTCAAGTCAAGTGAAAGTTTTATGTTCTCTATGTTTATTGATGGATCGCAACACAACGTTAAGGTGCATATCACTGTCTACCGAGAAGGCCCAATGCACGCAACTCCTGGATACCCCAACCAGAGATGGGCACAAGTCTATCTGTGCAAGTCCCCGTCAGGTCAATAAATATGAAAATTAAACTACACAGTCATAGAGTGGAGGGCCTAACTGATTGAAAAAAATGATTATCTTATTTATTTCACATCATGTCGGATTGATATTTTGTCACCTCTAAGTATATTATATTGAATATGGATATAATTAAGATAAAAAGTTATACAACAACCTGGCAACATAAATTAAATTTTCCGAACTTAAATCAATATAAGCTTAAAAGAATAAGTAATCCTTGACTTCACAGCTGAAAGTGTGCTGAACTCATTACTAAAAAAGCTACACACAGTGCTTTGAGACACAGCCAATAACCAAGATAGAAGGTTGTAATAAAACGTCATCTCTGATTATATAGGGAGAGATTTGTCTCAAAATCTAGCCACAGTTACTTTTAAAAAGTTATTTGATTACTGATTACTCCTTCAAAGAGTAACTAAGTTACTTTACTTTACTGATTACTTGATTTTAAAAGTAACTGTTAGATAATAGTTACATTCAGCAGCCTCAACATTAAAATGACAACAATTTTCTTTCCAAGTGTAATTTTAACAGGAATGTCAAAAAAATGCAAATTTTTAAAAGAAATATAAAGATAGTCTTTCTTGACTGACAAAACATAATTTTTTTTAAAATAAAATATAAAGACAGTCTTTAAAATAGTGGCTGTATTTCCAGCTTGAGAATGTGCACCTCTCTCTTCATTGTTGTTTATGTTTGTTTTGCTGTGGCTGCTTTATATAGTATGTATATGTGTGCATATGTATTAGACATGAGTGGTCCTTGTGCTGTAAACGTGATTTCTCGCCTACGAGACTCATGTCAGTCCCCCCAGATGAAAACAAATGTCTTTTTCTAAGGAAAATGAGCAGTAATGCACACAGTGACATGGACATGTAACTTAAATGTAATTACTGGTTTGGAAAATAGTTAAGTGTTAGATTACTCCTTACTGAAAAAGTGGACTTATTAGAGTAGCATGTTACTGAGTAATGCATTACTGGCATCACTGTTCACAAATATATCCATGATTTCCACATTTTTTAAATCCACAAGAATATCCATGATTTTCATGTGTTTTTTAATTTTGTGTGCATTTATCATGACTTATCATTTGTAAATCTTCAGTTCTGCTAGTAAATTGTTCTAATTGCATTTGTGGATTAACAGGCATGTGAATTAGTTTTGAGACAAACACCACACAGTTACAAGATATTCACACACAGGAGTCAAAGATATTCACATGCAAGGAAAACACCACCTCTCCCATCCGCTGGGAGGCTGTGTTGCTCATTCCGTTGAGAGCACATACAGTGAAGAAGATGATAGACAGCTATCCACTATAGAGGCGGAGAGAAGTCAATGCTATGATTCAACGTCAACAAGCCATTTTTGAGTCTTCAATATGATAAAGAGGGATGCATAAATCCCTCACATCAATTGGCATGGGCAAACTTTAGATTTTAATTTATAAAAGGGTGTAGTATGTTTCAAACCTCTTTCCCATCGAAATTAGGGTGGCTGATCATGCTTTTTGAACCCGCTTACTATCGTCATGAGATCCTGGGTTCAAAAAGCACAGTTAGCCACACATTTATGGAGAAATGTCATCTTTTCTGGTGCAAGAAACACAGAGAAAAGATCTGTTTCCTTAAGGAAAAAGGAATATGATTTGGATGTTTGGGCACTGGACACATAAGGGACTGTGCTGGACATACTGGACTGTGCAAAAAGCTTGGTCTGTGAGATTTGCAACCAACAAAATCCTACTGCAATGCACATTCCAAAGCTCAATGCTGAGTCAGAGCAAACAGCTTAGTCACCTGGAGTTGAACCATCAACATCTACTCAAACATGTGGACAAACAGGGGCCAGGGAAAGACCGTTTTGCATTCTCTCCATTATCCCAGTGCAGGTGAAGTCCACAAAGAGAAATGAGACCTTACAGATGTATGCACTTTTGGATCCAGGTAGAACCGCTTCTTTTTGTTCAGAAAACCTGATGCAACAATTAAGCATGACAGGAAAAAGAACACAGACATTGTCACAGCTGCAGAGATGAAAAGGTGGCCTTATTTGTCAAGAGAAGGTACTGCCCTAAGTTTCCCTTCAAGAGAACTGATGTCAAACTACCAAATAGCTTTGCAGTGGCTAAACAGCGGATGCTGGGGCTGAGGAAAAGGTTTGTTCATAATCCACAATTTTATAAGGAGTATGCAACCTGTCTCAATGATGTCATTGCAATGGGCTATGCAGAAAAAGTGTCACAGGAGTGTTTACTGGGTCGACAGGGAAGTGTGTGGTACATACCCCACCATGGCGTCTATAATCCCAGAAATGGTTTGCTTCTAGTGGTGTTTGATTGTGGAGCCACATATCAAGGAACATCATTAAACAGTGAATTGTTGCAGGGCCTGAAACTTACCAGCTCCCTGCTTGGAGTTTTCACTCGTTTCAGGCATGAGCCCGTGGCATGTAGAGATGTATGGGAGACATACAGGCTATGTTTCATCAGGTAAAGGTTGCAGAACAAGACAGAGACTTTCTGCACTTTCTCTGGTGGCCAGAGGGAGACCTCAGCAAAGACCTTGCAGTCTACAGGATGATGGTGCACTTGTTTGGAGTGGTTTCATCTCCTAGTGCACCATCTCCTATACGCTCAGGAAAACTGCTGATGACACCAGGGGCTTGTTCTACGAAGCAGGTTCAACCGAGGTAGCCTTGGAGGTACCTCGCTCAACTTAGCGCAGTAGCCAGCGGTCTCACTAAACGGCAGAAAAGTAATCTTTGATGCCATTATCACCCTGAAATAGCACTGTTCAACATGCGCTTTTAACTAAGGTGACCAGACGTCGCCGATTTCCGGGGACAGTCCCCGAATTGGATGATCTGTCCCCTGCTAAAGCTGTCCCCGAAAATGTCCCTGATTTAAGCGTTTCATGAATGAGAACAAAAATGTTGCATGTGGGCTAAAACAACGGTTATTACAGTAGGTAGGAAGCACAAGTAAGCAGTCCTGAACAACAGTTTTTACGGGGGTTATTACAAGGGACGTGCGCTGCTACTAAATAGTACCGAGATGTTGTCTGTGATCACGCAGCCCCTGCAGCCCATGCCCATTTATTTCCAAGATGAATTCATTCATTTGTTCATTCCTATCGTGTTTACATTTTTTGTGTGATATGTCAGCCATATGAGCCTTTCATAAAGGTAGTCATCCGAAAAAGTAAGTGGGTCCGTGCAGTCCCTGTAAACTCTCGCGCGCCGGAGTGCTCCTCGGACAATACGAGCACCGAGGTCTACAGGATCCTCCAAGAACAGACAAGCCATTTTTCGAGAGAGCTCATTGGTCAGTGGGCGGGGTTTTTATACTCTGTGAGTTCAATCTGGAACCTAACTTGTCCTGGAGCAGGTTAGCCGTTCAGCGTATGTTGCCATGGAGACTCCCCTCGCTAAGAAGTGAACCCGCGTCGTAGAACAGGAAACCCCGTACTTACCCTCAAAGTTACCTCGCTAAGCAGTAATCCTGCTTCGTAGAACAGGCCCCAGGTCTAGCCCATCTGCAGCAACTATTCAAGCTGTTAAGCAACACTTTTACATGGATGACTGCTTAATAAGCTTTGGCTCAGAAGAGGCAGCCATGCAAAAAATAAAGGAACTTGGTGCTCTCTACAAACGTGGCAGTTTCATTAAGGAGAAATGGGTGAGCAACAGTCATGGAGTGTTGCAGACAATTGCAGAAAATCAAAGGGCAAAAGACGTAAAAGAACTGGATCTGGATAGAGATAATCTTCCTGTTGAGAGAGCTTTAGGTCTGCTCTGGTGTGTTTAATCAGACTCCTTCAAATTTAAGATGGAAGTAAAACAGCAATCTCAAACCAGACATGGAATGTTATTCACAACCAATTCAGTGTATGATCCTATAGGATTTTTGTCACCTGTTACTCTTTTTGCCAAGATGTGGCAACAAGAGCTCTGCAGGAGAAGCTGTGGGTGGGACGATGCTATACCACCTGAAATCTTAAATAAAATGGGAAATGTGGTTGCAAGAAATTAAGTTGCTGTCTTCAGTCAAGGTTGACAAATGTGTAAAGCCAAAGGACTTCGGAAACCCTGTGTACAGCCAATTGCATCATTTTGCTGATGCCAGTAAAGATGGGTACACACAAAAAAATGCAAAGTTGTTTTTTTACAACCCAATTACTAGGTTGAGCCTGTTGGTCAATTTATTTGGGTTATTTTCATGGCGTTGGGTAGTCTGAGTACCCAATTTGCAAGGTTATCTATTAGGCCTTGAGCTAGGACTCCAAATATGGGGTCATCGGTATCAACTGGGAGGAATAATTCTCATAGTGATTTTTGGGTAGGTATACACCTCTAGTACTAGAAAAAATGTGATAGCATTGCATCTGTGGTAGCTTTCTGTGTGTTATCACTCAATTTATGACCACATGCCAAACACAGTTTTCAAAATCCGAATTAATCATTCTACTTCAAACTGATGGTTCTTTCTTATTAACTGACCCTATCTCTGTGAAAAAATGTCAGAATAAAGCCCAGGCTATATATTGTTCAGTAGAGTTGTTGGAATCAGCATCTCTGTTTTTTTCTCTTATAAGCAGTGACAACATAGTGACAATATATGTCTTCCGTTTTCATGAAAGATGTAACACAAAGGTTTAATTTGTACACAACCTAAACATGTTAATACATAAAACATGGTAAGTAATGCATAGGCTATATATTTCTACTTTATTCTTGCTGCGATTTAAGTTGTCACACTCACACCTGGCCTGAGTCAGTCTAAATGGATGGAGCAGGGTGTGCACAACACACACATGCTGTGCATTGAGTTAATTAAGGCACACAGTATAAATAGGCCAGTCAGTGGTGGTGGAGTATTCCTGTACAACACAATTCAGAGAACAGCAGAGTGTTTTCATGTCAAGGAGCTGAATCACTTTGCTTTATGATGGAGGGTCCTAAGCAGATCTACTGGCCTGTAACTGTCCAAAGAAATGTTCACTCCCAAAATGTGTCTGTATTGCAAATGGCCTCAAGTGTACTGACATGTGTAGACTGGCAGACTGTGAGAACCAAGCATCCACCTCAGACAGTGTGAAAAGTTCAGATGAAGAAGACATGGAAGAAGTTGATGAAAATGATTTTGATTATTAGGTAATGAACGTATAGAAGTCAAAAGTATGATCTGTATAATTGAGAATTGGAGAGATTCAGGCCTACACTATTCCTGAACGGCAAACGTAGGGATATACACCAAAACCACCTTTCTTGGTTTAAATCAGTCCCAGAACAAAGCAAAGAACAAGCCAGGAACTGACATGTAGAAAAGGTGGCGAGGATCCAGGCAAAAATAAACATACAAAAAATAAAAAAATAAAAAAGTAAAAAAAATAAAAAATAAAAAATAAAAAAAACACAAAAAAACCACACCCTCCCCTATTGTTGCTACCTTGTCGTGGTGGGGAGGCTTGTGTGCCTCAGTGACCCTGAAGACTACACCAGCCGGGGTTATACCCCTGGTAGGTACAACCAAGCCAGGCAGTTTTCAGGTTAGAGGCCAGTCCAAAAGCAGCATTGCCATCACCCTCTTTCAATGTGCTTTCACTGTGATAATAGTTCAGGGGAAAAGGAGTATTTTGGGCAAATTTTAATGAGTTTTGAGCTCATTTGCGTATTGTTGTCTGGCGAAGTTAACATACTTTTCCAACTAGGATTTCATAGGACTTATATTATGTTTCAATTTCTTGATGCACTTTGGAGCAGAGGCAAGTCGTGTAAGCTACAAGAATGAGCTGGCACTTCATCTACTATATTACTGTATCAAGGAAATTGACCAAAAGTGAATCATAAAATCTGGATTCCCACGTGCAAGTATTGGATGCTCTTTCTCAAAGATTTGCTTGTACTGAAAGCCAGAAGACCTAGACGACTAAGTAATTGCATATTTCTCCTTTCTCATATTGTTTTGTCTTGTGCTGGTGGTTTCTGTGGTTCATAACCACCATTCTTTTGATTCCAAGAAAGAATAAATTAATTAGAATTCATTCACAGGTTGTGATACAACTTTACGCATTTTTAGTATTGGCAAACAGACAGATGGGCACACTTTGTTTGAAGTCATGCCCACAAATGTATGAAACACTTGCCATCAATATGGAGGGATCAGGTACAGCTGCAAGCCACAGGACAGACTCACTCCCTCCCTCCCATGGATACAGGAAATCTATGTAACCATGCTTACATACCATACTGTAGATTACAGTTTACATAAATGACTATCAAAGTGAAAAGACTGACACAGACTGACAAACATTCTCCATCTTCTTTGGTGCTATTTAGTTTTGGGTCAGGAAGCCAGTATCAGCGCAAAACTCACAGATTAGGTAAACAATGTCTGCTGGATCACAGAAACCAGTTATGCTCGAAACCAACTAATAGCACATGCTTCCTACAATGACAAGTAGGACCAGTGTTCTTGGTATTTGTTTACTTATGCAATGGGAAAAAGAGGCTGTGAGGTGATGATGTAATAGTGTGTACTTAGGCCTGCTTAACAACATTGCAGCATAAGTACAGCATGACTAAAGAGAAAAACACAACAAAATATTTTTTCATCTGAATCTGAAGAAAGCCATCAAGGTGAAGGCCTGAGGCCTGTACTACGAAGCTGGATTTGGTCTTAGCGAGATAAATTCTGGATAACTTCTGGGTTTTCTGTACTACGAAGGTGGATCTCTTTTTATCCAGGTCCGTTGCCCCGGTAACTTACGCGGAACGCCAAACCTGCTCCGGAGCAGGTTATGTTTCAGGATAAGATCTCAGCAGGTATAAAAATCCGCCCGATGACCAATCGGATCTCTTGGAAAATGGCTTGCCCACTTTTGCCGGATCCCGGGGACATCGTTGCACGGATAGTGAGAGGAGCGCTCCGCCGAGAGCGTTATATTCATGATCGTTCAAATCCGTTTGATTTACCTGATGACGTTCTCTATGAACGTTACAGGTTTTCCTCGGACGGCCTCAATATTCAGGTAGCAAGAAGTCTAAGCAATACACTAATATTTGCCAAGCTCCAGGTTCAAATTTGTTAGTCATCTTTCAGAATTCATTGAAGCAGATAAGAAAACTCTTAACCCCATATGTGTCTGCAGATGACGTGACCATCAGATGATGGAGAAAAAAAAAAGGCAGTGTGAGGAAATCACTGTTTACGCGTTGAAATATGTACAAATAAAATCTTCCAATAAACTTACAAACTACTTTAAAGGATGTTTTTAGATTTATTTTTATTTGCTCCCACGTACTCTTTTCCCCACTGCTGTTGTATCTTAAATAATGAGGTCAGTGATGGTGGTGATCACACACGCTGCATGACAATATATTAGGGGGCCATAAATTTATGAACGCACAAATGTAATTTACACAACCGGTGATTTTTTTTGCCGGCAGTCCCTCCGGCTTTTAGCGGCTGTGTCTGTCTCACTGTTTAAATAAAGCTCTGTTCTTCAGCTGTGAAAAATGACGTGCAGCCTTCTCCATTGTGGAGATTGGTCCGGTGGCACTGACCCGACCCCCTTTACGTGTGCGCGCACAGATCTGAACTGGATTCAGTTATCGAGTTGATATCCTGCTTCGTAGTACAGCTGATCGGGATCGCGGAGATCCGGTGAAGTTGAGCGAGTTGTCGCAGAGTTATCCTGGATTTGTTAATCCAGCTTCGTAGTACAGGCCTCTGGCAGCACACTCACTCAACTTTTGTATGTTTGTATTTTGTTGAGAGTTGTTTATGTCTGTGCTGGTTATAACATATAACTTCTCCAATGTCAAAAAAAAGACATAAATGACATAACTCCAAATGTATTACTCCTAAGCAGGTTTTTGTAGCTATCAATTTAATTTCAGGGATAATTCCAGCTTTTCGGTTCTACAATGTGGGGCAGGGTGACATGACATATTAATAATGTGGCAATAGATGATACATAAATCATAAATCACTGCATAATGTTCCACTCTACCCTTTGATACAAGAAATGACACTAGTATGAAGATTCAGTTGGGCCCTTTTTTTGGATTTTTTCTTTATAAATGTGCATGCATAAAGGGGAAAATCACATTCACATTGAAACGAATAACATAAAATTAATTCTGATTAGCTTCTTTATTATTGATTATTAACACAATTTTTGTGAATAGATCTTTTAGATGTTCTACTCAGAAATATTATTCATTGGGGCTGCTTGGAATGGGTGGGTGGTGGATGCTGTCCAAGATCACATGTAACTCAGACAAGGAGGAAGTTGTAAAAGCTACATGTAATCTTGGACAGCATCCACCACCAGCTCCATAACATGCTGGTTAAACACAGGAACACATTCAGTGCCAGCTTCATTCCCCCAGCAGAGCGTCACAGGAAGTCATTCTTGCCTGTGGACATCAGACTTGATAACTCCTCCCTCTGAGTGTCACAAACTGTGACTGTCACTAGACTTATTCTCATGTAGTCACTGCAAAATTCTCTATTATATATAATTACATTCAACGGTGCATTCTGTGTGTAAATCAGTCAAAACTTCAAAAATCTAAGTGCAATACTGGTAATGCATAAGCTTTACTGCTTTACATAAGCAATATTCTGTTCAACTGTGAAAAAACTGGTATTATATACATGACTTTTCTGTTTCCTGTGCTTGTACATTGCTTATTTCGTAAACTCTGTGCTTTGTAACTAGCTCTAGTTTCAATATTCTGCACTTTGTACTTTTTAAATATCTTATGCTAATCTCATTTCTATTTTCCTTCTTGTAACATTTGTTTTTTCAAGAACAAGTATAATGACCAAAGAACAAGTGTAATGACCAAATCAGATAAATAAAGTATCTGATTCCGATTCCACGGGGAACCCAGTTTAACAAAAAAAGAACAATTTAGCAAAAAAAAAAATTCTTCAATTCTCAGAAATTTCATACCTGATATATATATATATATATATATATATATACACACACACACAAAATATATATAAAATGATGATAAAAATGATGAAAAAACAACATCAGTAAAAGTGCAATTTAAAAATCAAAGACAGTTTTAAAAGCATATGAAATATGTCTGCAAAAAGAAGCAACTGAAATGTGATCAACATTTTTTGTCACACTGGCCCCGTTTACATGGGTAGTTTTCCTCAATCTGATTGAAATCAATCGGATTAAGTGAATCTGATTCCATCTGTATACATGAACTTTAAGTAAAGAGATCCACGTTCAGTCCGCGTTTTCATGGCCCCAGCTGAATCCAGTTGTATTGTATTGTATCAATGGGAATTGTTAATAGGAACCATTGTTTTAGTTCCGTTTTAGAGTTGCAGCACGGACGTGTTTGTGTGTGACACCGTCGGAGTTACCAGTCTGAGCAGAGTAAGGAACCCTATGTGTTGAAGTTTAATAAAAGTATAATCCAGCCGGGTTACACAGCAAGAAGTGTACGCTTCGTCAGTCGCACGAAACAACACACTTTAACACTCCACCGTCCAGTTTTTCTGTTTGTTCGCCATGTTTGTTTTCGTTTGGGCGCGCTCTGCGTACGTCAATGTGCCTGTTACGTACTACTGAGCGCCTGCGCAGACCGAACAAGCCTCTCTGCAAACCCAGTCCGCTCCACTCAGCCGTATATATGGAGCATAGAGCGGATTATCAATCGGTGTAGACTACCTCTTACAATCCGACCCGAAATACAATCAGATCCGGGTGAATCAGATTGGCTAAAGTGTTTATATGAGACGTTTTGAATCTGATTGACCTTTCAATCTGATTGTAAATAGGATTTTTTGACCCATGTAAATGGGGCCACTGTCAGACTGCTTCATAGGTCTGCTGGTTTTTCTTTTTAACAAAACAGGTGATTGTCCATACATCATTTACAAGACATTCAAAAATGAAGATGTGTTTTTTTTTGGGGGGGGTCTTTCTCATTAGTTTCTACAAACATAAGACATACAGAAATGCTTAAATAAACTGTTTAAAACTTTAAACTCTTTAGAAACAGTTAAAAGGGGGACCCCCTCCCTGAAATTTGATCATAAACCCCATTATACATCCCTCAAATCCTAGACTATGACTGGCTATTTGAATGTATCCAAACAACACTGGCACATAGAGATGCTGCAGCACAGGTTGTGAAGTATTTAACCCTGGTGTGTGCTTTGTGAATTGGACTGAGTCTTTTGGGCTCTTGCACCATATAAGAAGGTGATAAAGCAACAGATCCTGTTGGTGAATCAGGCCCTCACTGCTTTACACTTCTGCCAGCACAAGAGTTCCTCTGATTTTGTGTTCTCTTTGCTGTCGGGGGTAAAAAGTTTTTTCAAACTTAAATCATAAGCCGTTGTAAAACTTGTCCATGATAGGCTTGGTTTTACAAATTATTGTGATAACCAGCTTTTATCTGTTTTAGCTCTAGAAATTAGCCTTTTTCTCATCGTTACATTACAAACATTTATTTATTTTCAAACTACACCAACCCATGGTGAAGTTGGTACAGGTGGCTCTTGTTTAGTTTGCATGGTAATATGAAATCCCACCGTCAGCTCCAGTCTTTTCGGGCCATTCAAGATTTAAAGTAATTTTAGTGTCTTCCATTAATTTCTGTGTCATAAAGACCAATTCGTAGTGTAACCTAAGGTATAAACAATGCTGATGCAAAATATATTTCTTAGGTTCAACTTACATTACTGCATGAGGATTCTGGAGCATACATGCCTTTGGGCCAAATGTGGTCACAGGGCTTGGTCCATGAAGTGACTGGGTTCTCCTGAGAAAGAAGATGACACAGACAAATACTTGGGTGTGGTCACTGAAAGCAGTCAGTGAAGTGTGCAATCATATGTTTAAGATGTTCAAGTTTTAAACCCAGAGCCAAAGCAATCTGCAATGTCGAGCACTTGCTGTTCCAGTTGAGCTAATAGGACCCCAAGAAAACAATAAATCACTCAGTACAACTAGGGGCAGCTACTACTAAGGCTTGATCATCCCTGTTTTCAGACAAGTTCTCAGAACATCCTGGAGCAGCTCATTGGTTGAACTCAGTGTTTTTAGCTGGACTGTGAAGCTAAATAGGGTAGCACTAATCCATTTAGACTCCCCAAAAAAATCAATAACTTGATGTTTAAATCAGCCCTACAATGATCCAACCAGTGCACAGCTGTGATGTGGTGTCTCTTCATCTCTCCAGACATTAGGGGAGCTGCAGCGTTTTGAATAAGGTGCAAGTAAATATGTAACTGCTCTAAGCCCACATACAAAGAATTACACTCGTAAAGATGAGATGTTACAAAAGCTTGGACAGCTCTCTCCAAATCTTCAGTAAAGAGATATGCCTTTACTTTGTTTATCTGCAAAGCAATTAAAAGACTAATTATATTTTCAGAAAAATTGAACCAAAAGTAAGACTGAGCCAAAAACAGATCCCTTAAAAGCCTAAAACCCACAAGATGTATGTTGGACACGTTCCGTCAGTGTTTCTTACTACGCAGCAAATCCGTTCCCATTCTAATCAATGCAACATCACACACAGGAAGCATTGCAGAGCATTTCAGCTCTGTTGCACAGCTCTGCTAAAGATACATCTATCTTCATCACACCCAGCACACATCAATCTGCACAGAGAAGATTGTTTTACACCCGATGTCACACACAGGAGAGGCTCATGTCATCCGGTAAATCCAAAATAAAACACCATATGCCAACTCCCCCCTGTTTGTCAGTTAATGAAGATGAGAAATACTTTCTGATTATGGATTTATCATTAACACAAAATAAAACCCAATTGCCTTTTCCTGATCCATGTGGACCCCAACAAGACTTAAAGCTGCTAACTCTGTCTGAAGGTAACATCACAGCATAAAGGAACATAGTTTACTTTACTCCAGTAAACCGGCAAAAAATAAAACTTTAAAATCACGTTGCTTGTTCACAAACAGTCTGAGCACAGAAAGATTTACAGAAATACATATTCTGAATACTAATTAAACACATAAAGAAAACTCAGTTTCTCATACACAAACTGAGACATGAAAACATCAAATCTAGTAATAAATCTGGGAATTATCTTGCCAACCAAATTGAATGCTACTAGGAAAAATAAATAATTTCATCACCTACAAACTCAGCAATGAAGTTTGTGCACACGCCATAAGAAATTAACAAAATATTCCTCAACTCTCTATTCATCAATACAATGACCGAGTTTTGAAGATCCTGACACTTACCTAAAAACATTGATTCACCACAACTCACATAAGACCAAGCAGATGGTCTTGATTATCTATTCAACATGACATAGTTCCATAACGCATTATAGCTTATTCCAAACTACAAAGCACCATGCGTCACCTACTGAACTCGACAAACATTTCTGGGATATCCTTGCACCTACAGTATATTAATAGATTAATAATAAAAATTGGAAAAATAAATAAATAAATTCCGGGAGGCTCACAAGACACAATACTTTTTGTGTTCAATTTATGGTTAAGGTTACTGTTCACTTTCAGATCACACAAAATCCACTTAAAGCACACTTGTTTTTAACTGGTCACAACCTTATGATTACAAAGTCGAAAATTCACAATTTCTAAGTATATTTTTCCTTGTTTCTAAGTTTGAACTCTGATAATTACTTTAAGGTATCTAGACATGTACGCCTTTTTACATCTCCTTCTATGAAAAATCATCACTGTTGCTTGCACATTGCAACACAGCATTCACTGTCAACCAAGATTTCAAATATCCTAATGTGGTAAAGGGGATTTTACAGGTGTCCTCTTATTTAACAAATGTCCTGGTTGGTACATCACAACTTATGTCACCAAGCTATATCAAAAATAAGTGAGGTGTGTCTAGGAACACCTAGTCCTGCATATATGTCCATATATAAAGTACTGTTTTTAAAAACTGATTTTTCTCTCTCCATTTTTAAAAATAATCCTGTCCTCACCCAAGGTGTTTTTGTAATAGTTTTCTGTCCATATGGCAGTGCAGAAACAGTTCAAAACTCTCACATTTGCATGCTGTACCAGCTATGATATAGTATCAGAACATCAAAATACCATAAAACAACATTCTGGAGCATAAGGGTCAATCCTTTCAATTTTTTAACAAAAAACTTTTAATGAAACTGTGAAAAGCTAAATTAACATGATCAACCACATTATCAAATTAGATACATTAAATGACTGCACATTTGCTTGAGGATGAGTTAACTGAAGGGAAATACATCTCAAAAGTAAAAGCCATGGGTATAGACTATTACCACTAGTGCCTTAACAGGTTGTGTCCCTGTGAGCACCTGTTCAAAACTTACCTGTATTCAGGAGAGTTGCTTGTCGAGGAGGTGCTCAGGCTGTGGCTTTTTTTGTTCTGTCGAACCAGACTGTAACCAGTAACCTCCCCTCCCTCACAGGTGGAGCAGCAGAATGATGCAGCTTCTACTACCACTTTTTCATCACCATCCATCTCTGACAGGCAAGCTGCAGGTCAACTGACAGGGTAAACTCATCATAAACATCATCAATTTTCCAAAGACTTCTTCAATTAGCCAACTAAGTCACTTATCCAATCTCCCTTTCATTGAAAAGAAAGAAAGAAAGAAAGAAAGAAAGAAAGAAAAAGTCTCATCTGATCTACAGTGAGGATGGATTATCAATCTTTAATTCACAATCTGGCAATCACGAATCATTGTGCAAATTATTGGACTGTTAAAACAGTATAACATTAAGCCTTCATTAGAGAACCTAGTACAGTCTATCCATGCAACAGTGTAAATATGCATCAATTTCAAATAAACTGGAATGGCAATTTTTGTGCAAAACACAAGTGTGGAACTGATTATGATGGCAAAATAACTTGTGTTACATAAGGATTAAGAGTGCCAAAGAAAGAATGAACCCTTGGATGGTTGAATAAACACCTTACTGTAACCTTTGTGTACTATTTAACTGTTATGTTGCAAAGTGTGGAGCCGACAGCGTTGTGTACATGTCTGCTTGCCTGCTTTAAAAATACCATTCATAAAGGAGGATCTATAGTTAAATGTAAACGGTAAATTCACCACAAAATTGCCTGTTCCGCGTGTGAGAAGTGATGGATGCAGATCGTACGATCAGGGTGGGCCAACCAAACTTTATGTTGAACGAAGCCGGGTCAGCTAAAAGACATGTTCATAATGTCAGTCGCTTCTGCGGCGGACACTACCTTACCACTTAACTGAGGAAGACACGGCCGTGGAGTGTAGAAGGCTGCCGTAGTATCAATGACTGATCAGTGCATCTCCATTATTAAAGTGTTATGACCACGGAGCCGTCAGCAGTCAGGGTTCCACTTCCTTCTCACTTGCCGTCCAATTGTAAGCCGCCTCCTTACCGACGTCTATGGACGAGTTCACTGAGCAGATCCTCCGCCTTCACGATGAATGCGGAAGTAAAACTATGCACTACTTCCTTTTTATTTAAAACGACACAGAACACTAACACACTGAACACAGCACCACGAGCGATCTTAATATGCCTCTTTCCTCATGGTTAATGGTTCGTGTAATGCGCGAAAAGGGGGGCGTGAACAGGGAAGTAAGAGAAGAATAAAAAACGAAAACAGAAAAAGAAGAAACAATGCAGAAAACGGAGGAAAAAGGAGATCGAGACCAGTGTTTTTTTAACAGGCTGCAGTCTTCAACTCCTGTCTTGTCTCTCTTCTCTTCAGCTTCGACAACTTTAGCAGTTTACATTTCTCTTAATACTTGAGTGATGATAAAGTTTTTTTGCTCCTTGAAGGAAACGTTTATGTTTGCTTTAAGTCCCCAAATCCGATTTTATATATGACGAGCCTACGAATAATAATTAGCACATGTTCAAATACACTATCTTTAAGGCAGAAACTAAACATCAGGTTCTCTTTCAGAATAACAGGTAAATTGGCAAATTTGGATTACTGCCAGAGATTAAAGTCTTCCTCAAAAGCACCCATGCATTTACAACTAAAAAAGACATGCTCATTTGTCTCACTTTTGTCATCTCCCTCTATTAGTCTCTCCTCTGTCCATCTCACTCTCTCGTCCCTCTTTAGACCCAGCTCAGTCTCAGCAGATGACTGTCTAACATGAGTCTGGTTCTTTACAAGGTTTCTGCCTGTTAAAGGAAGTTCTTCCTCCCCACTTTAACTTGACAAATGCTGTCAAGTGCTTTACTTATATGAAGATGGCGTGGGAGTGGGTCTTACAGGATGGTGGGGCTCAGTCTGATCCCATCTTTAGACTTGGTCTTTGAGAACAGAGTCCGGTCCTGTTTGTCACATCTTGGGATTACACTTGTTGTGAAATGATGTTGTATAACTAGACTGAATGATTGATGCTACATGATAGCTGGAGTATAGATTACTGAAGATTTGAAAAATTTCCTCTTGAGTTCTTTTCAGGATTTAGTCATGCTGTATTGTCAGTTAAGAAAGTCTCTATAGCATCCTGGTTGTAGGAGTATAAACTTTTTCTTCCTCTTATCCAATACAGGTTTATTACAAACAGAGTTCATATGTTAAATGCTATTTATTTCTGTTTTAATTACCCCGCTTTATAATGAAGTATATTTTATACATTTGTGACATATTTCATGACCTCCCATTTGTCTCTCTGAGTTTTGAAGGATGTGACTACTGGTTAGCCTACACATCATTAAAATATATATATATATATATATATATATATATATATATATATATATATATATATATATATATTTAATTTCTAGACAACAACTTTCAATTTTTAAAGGCTTCAATTAAATTCCAATACCTCTTTTTCCTTGGGCTCATGTTTACAGGTTTAAGGACAAATCAGATAAAAGTGCTGCAGTAATCATTGTGTTTGAGTCCAGGTGTTGTCTATTATCTGACACCAACCAAAAGTCTAGCCTAGATGTACTGTAATTGTGCTGTTAGTTTAAACCATGTAAAGGATTGGGCACAAGGGTTTTCAGAGCACCAGATGTCTCCCAGATTAAACTCACTACAAAAACGAAGGAAAATAGCGCTACAATGGTGTTACTGATATTTTGAGGGACACCCATCAAGCCACTCATCATACACCATCACTTGGATTCCTGTGGCATAAGCCCTTTACAGTATTTGTGATAGCCAACAACATAGAATTTGAACTTGGTTATTATATACAAGATATCCCCAAGAATCAAAAATCTATTATTTACATGAAAAATGCATATAATCCCAGTGATTGAGATCATCCTTGTTTATGGTTGAGACATTTCAAGAAATAAGAGCCTTTTTATTATTACAAAAACAAAAGTTAGATTTTCTTCAAACTTTATCTCCGTGCCCCCAAACACTGAGTAAAACAAAAGAATACAGGAAGACATACACTGAGTTAAAGAAAAATTAGATAAGGATTATAGAAACTAAATAGAACCTAAACACACCCTATTTAGAGCTTCTAAACAAACTTCTAACCTCACAGTTATTTTTAACTGAACCTATCAAGGTGGGTAGTTATGGGTTTAGTTAATTTTGATGCCAGACAAAACATAGTCCTTCAATAATCCAAATTGAAGTGCAGTCTCCATAAGCAGAATACTGTTGGCAGATGTACATTCAAACATTAAGGCTTAAAGCTTTGCAGAGTGTTTCCTCATATGCCCTTTTGACAACTGTATGAAAAAAAGCATCTTTCAGAGAAAGAAAGGTTGAACAAATGTGTATAACAAAACACCTGTAATGATAGGCTCTTGTTAGTTTAGTTTGTCCCCGGTTTTGTAATTTAGTTTTATTTTCTGTTTATTTCCCTGTTGTTCCTGTTTATTATCCCTGTGTTTATCATTCTCATGTTCTTGTAGTTCTTGTGTTTCACAGTTTGGATTTTTAGTTTAGTTTTCAGTGTCTCCTGTTTTATTTTGTAGTAGTTAATCCCTGTGTGTCAGGTCTAGTTTTACTTCCATAGTTTTTCCTTCTTTAATTACTTATGAATCCCATGTGTGTCTTGTCTGTCTCTGCTGCTGCTCTTTCCCTATGTATATAAGGTCCCTGTCTTCCTCTCCTTCTTGGTGGGTTCATTGGCCATGTTGTCTATGCTGTCTATGCTATCCATGCTGTCCATGCAAATTCATGTTGTTCATGCCTGTCCATGTTGTCCATGTTGTCCATGTTGCCTGTCCCTGTTTTGTCGAGATCTTGTGAATTCCCAGTTCTCCAGTGCTTATATGCTCTTCCCTGCTTCTAGTGTTTTTGGGGTTGTGAATTTATTTGGATTTCATTTTTTAAGCTTTGCAAAGGAAGTTTTTGTTATACCTTCCCTTTTTGTTGATTGATTTATTTTAGTTAAGTCTGAATTTTGGGTCCCTTTCCCTTTGTCACATGACAGCACTTAATAAATAGGCATTGGCATATCACCTCTAAACTGTTTCCCTTTTTGGCCCTCAGGCCATGTGCCGCCTGTTGGGCTTTGTAATCTGGCTGTGGTGACACGCCTCCTCCTTCTGTTTTATTTTGGCTGGACTTCCTGGCTGTGTCTCATTTCAGAGACTGCATCGGGCTAAGTGCACTTCTGCACCGTCGAACGGTGCATTTGAAGCGTGCATGACGTCATGACGGCGCGAACGGTGTCCCATTTGGCACGAGATGCTAAGAAATGCTAAGCGCGCTTAGCATTTTTTCAAGCATGCATTTATGCACGCTTTCGTGCCGTCTGTATCCCAGAATGCTTTGCACAATTTATCCAATGATTGTTTTGTATGAAGGAGTATGAGGGCCATATTGAGATTTTTTTTTTAAGACTTTGAGATTTAAGTCGTGAATTTACGCGAATAAAGTCATTAATTTATGAGAATAAAGTCATAAGGTTCCCTGTTATATCAGAGGAGACTTGTTAAAATTAGGGCCATGAAGCATTTGAAGGAACTGTGCTTCAGTATAGGTTTCACAAACAAGGAGATACTTCATCCTTTGGCACATCAGCATCACATTGTCATAAGTATAAAGACTTAAAAAAAGAATATATGAGAAATACGTCTTTTCCACAGGGAAAAAAACTGGTGTACTTGAAGGAAATCGCTGCTTTTGTGGATGCAGAAATGAATATGCTGCAGATATATCATGCAGTCGTAAATATCCGTGAATGACATTGAGCTTTAATTTATGATATGAATCCATATGCCATAATAAGGTGTTGGTGTCTCTACAGGTGTAGGCTACCGCCGGTGTCAGAGACTTGGTGCTCGTCGGAGCTCAACTCCCTCTGGATCACAAATGTTGATCATCATCAGTTTGATTGTTTCTTCAGAAACCACAAAATCCCTCGAATGACCCGCTGATACATCAACAGATAACCCTGCAGATGCCCAGCTTCAGTCATTTCCCCCTCCACAAAAGCAGCTTTATGACTTTATATTCTTTATGACTTTATTCTCCTAAATTTACAACTTTAATCTCTAAATCTTAAAAGAAAAAAAAAACTCAATGATGTCCTTTTCCTTTGCTGTAGTTTTGTCAGCTTTCTTATTTCTAATGTTTTTGATAGTTGAAGCAGAGCGGATCAGTTGTCTCTAAATCTATAATGTTTGGTTTGCAGATTTTAGTGAGTTCAGAGATCATGCTCTCATACAGCCTGAGCTGACTGTCTGCTGTTTTTGGATTTCTTTTATTTTCTTTGAAGACGCGCTGCGTCTCCAAGCGAGTCCAGCCTCTCACCTGAAATGCGCAGCTGTGCAGCGGCACTCAAAGAATTCTGGGATACCAACGGCACAAAAGCGTGCATAAATGCACGCTTGAAAAAGAGGCGGGGGCAGTGTGGTTTTGAGACCGAATTTGAAGCACGCTTTGCATTTTGTGCCAAATGGGACACCGTTCGGGCAGCGTGATGAACTCACGCACGCTTTAAATGCGCCGTTCGACGGTTGCGGTATCTGAATTGGGACACAGGAAGGGTACATAACAGCGCATAATGGCACATAACAGCACAAAACGGCAGTGCGCTCAGCTAAGCGCGCTTAAGCGCGCTTATCCCGATGCGGTCTCTGAAATGAGACACAGCCCCTGTGTTTCCGTGTTTGTCTGGTTGGCTTGACTTTCTTCCAGAGTTCCCTCCCCTCCCCCGGTCGCTGAGGCTGAGTGAGACTACACACTTGCTCTACATCTGCAATCAAGGCACTTCAAGAAGCCAGCAGCCCTCAGTCTCACTCTCTCTCCGTCTGTGCCCGAGGCAAAGCCTCCCACCAACCTCCGGCTGGCTTGCTTCGTCCTCTGCCTGTGCCTTCACGCCCCTGGTCTCACATAGCCCTAGATTTCGTCACTGGTCTCCCCCCTTCTGAAGGTAACACAGTCATACTCACCATCGTTGATAGATTTTCCAAATTTGTTCATTATGTCCCGTTTCCCAAGCTCCTGTCTGCTTTAGAAACTGCTAACCTCCTGGTATCTCATGTGTTCCAACTACATGGGATTCCCCTTGACATAGTATCAGATCGTGGTCCCCAGTTCTCTTCCCAGGTCTGGAAAGCTTTCTGCCAGGCAGTGGGCGCAGCAGCTAGCCTCTCCTCGGGTTACCACCCGCAGACCAATGGCCAGACGGAGCAGGCTAATCAAAACCTCACATCGGCCCTGCAGTGTGTGGCGGCCCATCATCCAGCGTCCTGGAGTACGCACCTCCTATGGATCCAATACGCCCATTACTCCCTCACCTCTTCGGCCACAGGTATGTCTCCCTTCATGTGCTGTTTTGGTTACCAGCCCCCCCTGTTTCCCGAACAGGAGCACCTGGTGGCCGTCCCATCAGTGAGAGAGCACATTGGGCGTCTACGGGAGTTGTGGAGATCCGCCAGGGCCGCACTCACCCGCACGGCCGACTTTCTTCCAGAGCTCCCTTCCCTCCCCCGGTCGCTGAGGCTGAGTGAGACTACACACCTGCTCTACATCTGCAATCAAGGCACTTCAAGAAGCCAGCAGCCCTCAGTCTCAGCGCCTGAGTATTGTCTACCCTTCCAAGTGGTACAAACGCGTCTCCTGGCCTTCCTTGTTGTATAAATACTTGTAACTCTGCTCCTTTGCATGTCTACTCACTTCTCTCTCTCTCTCTCCTCTGTTTCTTCCTGCAGTATCTCCAGCCCACACGACAGCCAGCCAGCCAGCCTACCGGACTTCCTCTTTTTGCCTTTAAAACCTGAGTTGGACATTAAAATTACACCTTAAGTTGATCTCTGTCTCTGTGTCTGCTTCTGGATCCTCACAACTCACCAGTCACACCACACCGGCCTGCCAAACTTGTTAAATCTATATAACTAAGTGTAATTTGTTAGTGGCAGATGGTGCACTCAGACACATTTTCCCTTGTTAGATTGTGGTATATTATGTTGCATTCAGGTGCTGCTTGGTTGATCCCTAATGACAAAAACACTAGGTCCATTTAACGATTTGGCTCTTTATTTAGGGTTAAATCCCAAGTTGATGTTGACAAATAACTTTTCTAACACGTGTGAATCACTTATGTGGACATGCTTGCGCAAGGTTTTTCAAATCACAAAAGATCGTTTGTCTGCCATGTACTGGAGATGACAAATATGACTTTTTGCCCAAGTCAACTCTGAATTTGTTTCTCTGATGTTTCCAAACGCACATGAAAGCAGCACCACTCTCTTCTTCATTTTAACATTGCACATCTGAGCCTTTCTGTAAAGGGGACAGGGAGTGTCAAGTCTTTTGGAAGGAGTGGACGCAGATCACCAGGACTTGCTTTACTACTCTCTTGTCTGCTGGTTAAGTTTGGGAAACACTTTTTAAAGAGTGTGGGAGCTCAAAGAGGCAATTTGCACATTTTTTGGGGAGGTTGGGAAATCCAACGAATTTCCTGAGTTGAGTGACAAGAACTGGCTTTGTGACTTGGTGTTTGCTGTGGACATATTTTCCCACATGAACGAGCTGAACTTGAAACTACAGGGAAAAGATCAGTTTGTGCACGACATGTACACAAATGTGAGACCCATCAAATCCAAGCTGACTTTATTCTCCAGACAATTTTCAAACAAATCTGTCATTTTCCATCACTAGTCATGCAGAAAGAGGCCGACCAAAATGCAAAGAAGTACAGCAAATCACTGGATGACCTGCACAGAGAATTCTGCCGTTGGTTCTCTGATTTTGAAAGAATCGGTAATTCACTTCAGCTGGTGTTCTGCCCCCTGTCATCTAACCCTGAAACAGCACCACAATACCTGCAATTAGAACTGATCAATCTTAAGTCTGACTCCACCTTAAGGGAGAAGTTTGACTCTCTTAAACTGAATGACTTTTATGCTTCACTCAACAAAGCCACATTTCCAAACCTCTGGAAAATGGCACAGAAGATGCTGGTGTTTTTTAGCTCAACCTACTTGTGTGAGCAGACATTCAGCGTCATGAACACGAACAAATCCTGTCACTGATCCGAGTTAACTGACCAGCACCTCAGATCTATCCTGAGAATTGCCACAACAAAACTAACCCCAGACTTTGATGCACTGGCAAAAATGGGAGACCAGCAGCACTGTTCCCACTGAAAGTGTATGTGAGTTGATCTACTGTTATGGAATAAATGCAGTTGTAAAATAATTTTTTACAATAAGCCTTGCATATGTATGCTTTGCTACGTGTTAAAGGCGAAACCTTTTATACAATGGTTTTACATGTCATTGTATCGATTTGAATTTATAATAAATGTCTTAAGATTAATAATTGATAATAATCTTTAATTATGACATTTATGCACTTGTAGAAAGGGGCACCACCCATCCTTAATGGTGGGAAAATAAAGAAAAACAAAAGTTTAATTCAGAAATTAAGTCAATTTTAAATTAATCAATCCTATATCTCAAGCCGAAATTCTCATTTCAGGGACTCCACTTTTGGAAGAACACTAACAGACAAGAACTTGGAAAAATAATGATCTGTTTATTACAGGATAAATGATGGTACAGCATACATGCAATAAATGATAAGATAATGAGGATAAATAGTAATCGGTGAATAATAAAAGATTCAGAGTTAGTGATGGGCATGGCAGTTCTTTTAGATGTACTGAATAACTAGAATCATTTTATTAAAAAGATTTTTTCAAAAGATTTGTTAACCGAATCATTAAGCGCTTGGCGGGAGGAGCCCATGGCTCCAACCTCCTGAACTGATACAGAGCTGAATGATTCAGGATTCAGTTCAGTACATGGCTTCTAGGACTGGTAGACAAGAGTGTTTGGCTTTGTTGCTTTGGCAAACAGGTTTGTAATAATAAACTTGTTTATAAGTCATGATGTTGTAAGTGTACTGTCCTATGGCATGCTATTTATCATGTCTGATCGGTAAATTGGGCTCAGTGAGTGATTCGTACACGGAATATCAAGAAAAATTCACACTGAACTTATGATTCATAGTCAATATATTTAACTCTTAACTCCAGATTGAGTGGTGACCCTTCACTATTATTATTACTTAAAATTTGAGATTTGAAATGTAAAAATAAAAAGTGTATATCATGCAGCCAGTGGAGTACTCTGATTCCACACTTATTTTGAGTCAATTGATCACTTGACCTGGGGCCTCATTTATAAACGCAGCGGCTGAAAGTGATGCAACACACAAGCGGTAGAGGCAAAACTTTTTTTATTTGTTCACCAGCTGTTTCAGTGTTGCACCCATGGCTGTCAAGACACATTTGATTTCTCGTAACTCCTTGGCCACTTCATTGATGGATGTGATTGTGTCCCTCTTAATGTGCAGGACTGCAGCTGTGAGGACACGGCTGCTGCGGGAGGGCGCACTGGTGCTGTGGAGTCACCGGCTTCACTCTCTCCAGTCACAGCTGCAGCACCACCGACCCAGCTGGAACATGCAGGGACATATATTAATAAGAAATTTTATTTAACTTTAAATAAGGTAAACTATTGTGAATTATGTTCCAAATGTTTGTAAATTTTCATTTTTACTATTTCCAACAAAATACAATTACCTTCATCTGGTGCTTCTGGCGCATTTGGTGCATATGTGTCCCCCTCCGCCTCCGTCACCACACCACTAAGGAAGGATTCCCCAATGATCTTCGCCAGCTTTTCCTCTGTGGTGGTGCCCTTTCCCCCACCTGTCGCGACTCGCGCACACACTCTTTCTGTGGAGGGCAATACACCTTTTCACCTCCACTTTCAAAGCATTTCCTCAGGTGTAACAATTTCAGAGTTGATTGTGATTTATAAATGGAAAACAGGTGTGGGATGTGTTTGTGCACTGTTATAAATCTGAAAGTTTTTTGTGCACACATTTCCTGTTTTTCCGGTGTAAACCACCTGTAGTGATATTTTCTATGCACAGTTTTATAAATGAAGCCCCTGGAAGCTGAAATGCGAATATTTGTATATAAAAATATATTTTAAAATAATTAAAATAATTAGAGATTTGAAATGTAAAAGCAAAACGTGTAAGAGGTGTATTTGTGCATGGTGCAAGTAGTGGAGTACGTTTAAATTAAATTCATTTTTATACATAAATATTCGCATTTTAGCTCATTAGCTTCTAGGTCATGTGATCAATTGACTTAAAATTAGAATGGGATGGCTCAACTGCCTGCATGAGATACACCTTTTGTTTTTAAATTTTAAATGTCTGAAAAATAAATCCTTAATTTGTATATCCCCCTTATTCCGAGAGGTGACCAGATGCAGCGCAAGATGGCGGACCCAAAGATAGAAAACCACTGCTGCGTCCGAACTGCCCGCTCGGATACTACATGCTACTGCTACGTGCTACTGCTAGATCCTACTCCTACATACTAAAAACGTTGGCCCAATTCGGACACACTAGACGAGCGGTGGGGAAAGACGACCCCCGCAGGCAGAGAGTAGGTACTGCGCCCGTGCAGACAGTGGTAACTGAAGCCCCTCATCTGCGGGCCTGGCTGTAGTACTGCAGCTGTGCAGTTTAATGATGGAATAAGTGAGCTTTACCTCCATGATTTCGCCACTTGCTCATAAAATGATTACTTGGGCAAATATGACACCATGACATGACAAAGAGATACAACCGCACATTTTTTAGGACAGTGTGTGAAGTTACATGAAACTTACATCTGTACTGCTGCGGTCCTGCCTGCTGCTGCTGCTGCTCCGACATGGTGCGCGCTGCTGCGGCCAGCCGGCGTTCGCGACACATTTAAATAGGCAGAGCGGCTGGTGGCGCTAGCATCACATGCGCTTCTACAACTTTTAAGAGGACGAAGAAGAAGCCCGCGGTGCATTTTGGGTCAGTAGCATGCCCGTAGGATGCACCGAGACCAACCTACAATGTGGGCGTGTCTAGCATCTGAAGTAGTATCTGAAGTAGCATGCTACTCGCTCCGGTGGCCAATTCGGACATGCTAGATACTACTTCGACTACTACTTCGACTACTACTTGGCAATTCGGACGCAGCTCACATTTACAAAACGCAATAAGTTTCCGCATTACCTCCGACCCAAAACAATTACTTCCGGTGGAAAGGCTTTCTCGTTGGCGGACTTCCGGCGCCGAAATACTTCAGGTAGTCGGATTTAGTCGCCGGATCCTTTTTTTTTTTGCTCCGTTCATTCCATAAGAATCGAATTAAATTTATTATTGAGCTAAAAATCAAAATAAAACGTTTATGTATTAACTATGACTACTGTTTTGTTCTGATTTAATCCTGAAGTTTACAGTAATATGTATATATAGCCTGATGTCCTCATATTCTGATAATTTGTCAGAATAGGTAAATGTATGTAGAAGTTATCATCTTACTCAAATTCTTTTGTAAGAGTTTGTTACAAGTATGGACTGTTTTAACCTCTCGTTACACATCATATAACAGTGTTTTCTAACTTTTCTCTCCAATAGCTTTATTACACAGCACATCAATGTTTCTTAACTTCTCTGTGACCTTGTTTCTCCACTCCTATTAGGACCTCGTTTAATGTCAACAATGTTGCCCTGACCCTCACATATTTTCTGTTGTTCATAATTATGTTTTATGAGAGTGCTTATGTTGCTGCACAAATTTACTCCCCCCATCCTTTAGTAACATTGTGTAACCAGGGACATCATTTATGAAATGGTGTGCTTCCTGGTGAACCTCTTCAGGATTGCTTGACTGTGCAAAATCCAAGTATACAATAGTTGTAGAGACAAGTCACATGATCTCTTTAAGGTTCAGAAGAGCCATATAGCAAAAACAATTGAATAGCGATATCATTACAGACTGTGTAAAGAAATGGGAAATTGTCATACAACTGCTTTGAAGATTTCTTTAATTTTTTCCAAACAAAATTGTGAACAGTAAAAAAAAATATATATATATATATATACAAAATTCAGCACTGCCGTCGGTGTGGTGGGGGGCTTAAAACACGTTGCCACAGGCCATCATCAGCTCTGCTCTGAACCGGTTGATGCCATGCTCCTTCAGTGCTTTGATCAAAAGCTGAAAAACAGTCAAATAATGTGAACAATTGAAGTTATGCAGTATGGGTTAATTGTTGTTCTTGAGCTTTCCAAATGAATAAGAACAACCTCTTAACAATATCATCAATTTTCAAAGCAAGCTATATAGTTTGATCTACTCACCTCTGGGAGCATGACGTCAAAAACGAAATCAAGCAGATAAATCTCGCCTCTCTTTATTTTTTTAGAAATGTTTGTTGCCACCTCAATGAACCGCAGGAGCTCGAACATCTATTGAAGAAAAACACAGAAAGTAAACACCTTTCAAATGTAACACCCCTGAGAGTAAAAATACTCATGATGGATGGCATTTTTACTTACGCGCTGCTCACTCCAACTTAGTGTCCTTATCTTAAGATGCTGCTTTAGTCGGAGTGAGGTGGCGGGATTCCTCCAAAGGAACATCCTGTTGGAGCGGATCTTTCCAGACAGTAGATCATCGTGTAATGTCTGAAACCAAAGAGCAAGAGACAAAAATGTAATCATCTGAAAAAGAAACGGTGGCTTTAACAACTGATAGTGCATTCAAAAGCAACCTTGATCTGTGTCTTAGAAAAGACAGCATGAATTCCTCAACTGTCAACAGCATCCTTGATCCTGCAGAGAAATAAGAAAAGAGCAAGCCCTCATTTTTTCATCCTTTGAGCCTCGTATTTTTGACTGATACTATGTTTCCTTGATAACTTATGTTATACCGAGGATGCTCAATGGAGTCCTCGCACCCGCAGTCAAACGGCTCCATTTCAATCCCAGCACAATCCTGATGCAGCCAGCCCCTGCACGTCTTGCACTGGACCCATTTTATGACGTTTACCTCAGGGTAAAGCAATCTGATCAAATGAGAGACAAACATAATATTAAACAAACACGCTGTCCAATTGATTATACCTCTGCAGCACATTTGAATGTATAAATAATTTTCCTGCATGATTCGTGCATTTAAACTATATGTAAAAGTGGTCACTTCATGGAAAATCACTGAATAGGCCCCGATAATTGCATTTATTAAATTGAGTCTGCAACACACCTCTCTCCTGTGTTGTTCGATGTCTGGTAGACACAGAATTGCATTGAATCTGCCATGCACATTCTTTGGACATCCGATACCGTCTGCGTCATGGTTTCCTTGACAAGGCAATTTGAAAAGTAACATCAATTACCAAATACATCGAGACAATGTTGATCCATACAACTGTGTGCATTTTGAAGGACTCCCACTGAGATAATACTGTTTTTACAAGGCAATTTTCTAACCTCTATGTCCTGCTGCTCTGCCTTCCTCTTTAGACTGAAGACTGGAGTATGCTTTCCAGCAATGAGCTCTTGACATTCTTTGGTCCAGTGGGTGAAGATTTTCCCACAACTGTAATGACAATATGTCTTTAAGTACAATATATTGATTGTCTTCCAGTTAATTAGGACATCTAGTTTACTTAAACTGTCTACCTGTTCAAAGAATTGTTCTCCAGGAGCAACAGGCACCACCATCGCCGCCAAACAGGCATGTCATGCTGAAATTGTTGTTTGTATTTCATTTTAGTGCACAATACAAAATACAATCTTGAGGATGACACTGCGTGTTGAAAAGTACTTACAACTGAGTAGTCAAACTGTGACTCCATAACGATGTACATGGCAGACTTTAAAAAAAAAATTATGAGACAACATGTGAGATAACTTTAAAAAAGTCCATGTTGGAAAGTTATTCTAGATACAATATTTGTGCATTACAGCTCGTTATGACCTACCATCAACATGAATATGCCACAGTCTGAGCCGAAGTCCTGGCTGGGGAAGCCCTGATTTAACAAAAGCAAACGTTAATCATCTTGTCACATACACTTTGTAGGAGCCAGATTGGGGTTTTGCAGTTTATTGTTATGTATTTTTTGTGCCAGCAGATGGTGCTATTGTGCCTGTCTATTTAATGGGTGGGTTGATTAGGAGAGGTGCGCACATAAAATGATGAATGAGTAAATAAATCAAAACAACAGAAAATGTGTGTGACATGTGACATAATTCCACCTGCGGGCACGCATCAACTCAAGCAAAAAGGTGTTCGCCACAAGTAACAGCATTGGAAAGCCTGTTATACACTTTTCAACTGTAATATAGAGCATGCACAAATACCTCCAAATCTCTGCCCGTTTTCTCAGTCCATTGCCCAGGACATATCTTCTGCGCAATGTTCCTGTTAATTTGAGAGCGTCACTTAGATTTCCCATGATGGAAACAATGGAATGCAGGGTTAGGGTTAGTTTGAGTGGTCGGATGTGAGATTGAATGAATGCGGACGGCTTGCTTCTTTTCAAACTTCCTGAGAGTTCTTCTTCTTCTGTAAATTTTGCCGTCAGAAAGTGTAGGTACATACCGCCACCTACTGTTCTGGCATCGCAAAGCAGAAGTTCAAAGTTCATGTTTTGGGTCCGCCAATCGGAGGTAATGCGGAAACTTATTGCGTTTTGTAAATGTGGTTTTCTATCTTTGGGTCCGCCATCTTGGCGCTGCATCTGGGTACTCTTGCTTATTCCCAGGCCCCATGTTGCCTTGCGTGAATTATGGATGTGTCTTTCAGTGCCTTCTGTTACTGGACACGGAACCAGCATTTTCCACAGGGGGGGATGTATGCTCATCAGGATAATTAAGAAGAAAAGAACTTTATTGATCCCTGAAGGGAAATTTAATTATCTGTAGTCTCATACGTCATGTCTCAAGTCAACCCCTATGTGCTTGTTAGTATGTATTGTTTTTTGTCTGTATCTTTTGTTTTGTAAATGTACTGTTTTCTCTGTAGGCAAAGTTGCAGAATTGAGAGACAGAAGAAAAACCTGCAGCGCTCCGCGACTTTTCCTCACGTTAGTCGTGACGCAAGCCTAAGGGCGGGGACATTTGGTGACTCAACCAGGAAGTCGTCCGGAGGTATGGGGTAGAGCGTCCAAATTCACAAACGGTTCACCTCACGCAGGGTACTCAGGGTGCAAACGACTCAGCACTCTGCAGACCCTGAATTGAGACATAGCCTTCGACGCAGAAGTATGTAGTGTTCACGACGGCGTCGGCACCTATGGCGTAAGTAAGGCGTATGTCTGACGCAGAAGCAAAAACCAGACCGAAAACAGCAAGTTAAGTGACCCAGTTTGGAGCAGTTCAATCTCCTACCGGATATTGTGTAAAATAAAAGCATAATCTTTTACTAAGCGAGGACAATTAACCAAGAAATAAGTTTTTGCGGGTCAAATATTCAAAACTTAACTGTTTCTATTTGGTCATTACAATGAAATCAATTTGAATTTCCACAAATTTTTCGATGTGATAGCTGAAAGTGGGATTTAATTTGAAAGTTTTTACCTGAACTAAGTTATTTTGGGGTAACTTGACCCTGAGAACTGACCAAGATAGAACCACGTCTCCAAGTTAGGTACAGAGATCGAGGAAATTCTGCTATGTTTCAACTCAACAATGTCTGTCCAAAGTGAATGTAGTCACTTGACGCTTCTTTTTGTAGAGGGGTAAGGCTGAGTTTTCACCTCCCATACCTCTGCATCCAATGTTACAAGAAACAGTGGCTAACCGATGTCTTGGTACAACTTCCTTATTAGTTACACACTACCACCTCGCATACCGGTAGGACTCGTGGTGTGTTGTCTTCTTGGTTGAAGCATTAAATCCAAAAGAGGTAAGCGCGAAACGTTGTTGTTATATTTTAAAGTTCGTGTAATCAAGGCGACTTGTGTTCTTGCGAGAAGAGGCTAGCTTGTCAAAAATGATCCATCTACCTCACGGAGGCAACGTTTACGTGTCGTTTTAAGTTGAGATGTAAGGTCGGGGCTCTGAAATTACAAAACCGTGGCTTTTTCAGACTGATCAGTGTCTCTCTGGAAGCCCTTCGAGTATTGTACATTATAATGTACCAACCGTTTCTTTGAGGACAGTCAATAATGTCTTCACATGTAGGACTGTAGGTGTTTGTGAATTCATAGCAGTGCTTGTTTAATATGCAGGTGGCCTAGTCAATATATTGTGTAGAAATGGGGTTTATTTATGATCAATCCAGGCCAAGGGTCTCTCACAGGCTCGTTATTCACCACAGAGGGTAACACTAAATAGCAAATATTCACAGCTGAATACAGATTATACAGTCGACTACAACCATGGTTAAACATTCCACAGTGAAACAAATTGAATGTATTGCATCTCTAGTCAGGACAACATTTGATTGTGGTACTTAATAGCAACATTGCAAAAAAAGCATATACATTAATCAGAGGTGTATTGTCTCATATCCACAATTTTGTCCTATCAAAGTCAATTAACCATATTAGGAAATGATTCTATGACTGTGACATAGCCTGAGAGTAAGACGTGAATATTCAGACAGTGTCTTTCAGGATGAACTATTTATTTTGGCGTCTGCTCATCCTCTGTCTATTACATAGTCTAATTGATTTTTTTCTCCTCTCTAGCACCAGCAGGACAGGGGGCACCAGGTTGATTCAGTTGCTGGATGTACTGCATGACTGATTGAGGCATTAATGGCTGGACAAATCAAAAGATGAACTAGCCTTACAAACTCTCATCAACCACTCAGCCTATTATCAACACCTACCTGTGGCAGACATAATGCCAAGTGGCTGGCAGTCTGCCAGACATCCGATGTGGCGCCTCTTGCTGCCATTTCGCAACCGCCAGGAGCGAGTGGTGCTGGCCCGCAGTGAGAGCCTGCCAGGAGAACAGGTTCTTAAGATCACAGTCACAGAGACTACTGTGATCGAGGCAGAGTCAGGGGTGTGGAACTGGCGGTCATTGACCTACCTGGGCCTCTGGTACTTCTTTAGCTTCTGCACCCTGTTCCTTAACAAGTATATTTTGTCTCTGCTAGAGAGGGAGCCAAGCATGCTGGGTAAGACAGAATTACAAAGGTCTAGTTTTAACCAGAAGATGTAGCTCAAAGAGTAATGCACTTTTATGTTGAGTATTTCTGTTATCCTATGGAATTTTTCAAACAAGAATTTAGTTCTCTAACTATAAACTGAACTATTGGGCTAAGAGTTTTAAGTGTAAGATTCAAAAACTTGGAGATTAAGACGTCACAGTTGCTAGATTTCACTCTCACTCTGAAAATAAACAAAAAACAAATATTGGTCTCCTTGGTTGAACCCAAAGTCAATGGGGCTTGTTTCTTTTTTTGTGGCAGCAACAAATTCATCTCAAGGTTTCAGTGTGTTACAATTCTACAAGGTTGCTGCAGTATTTATTTAAATGCTTTTATGATTTGGCTTTTTGGAGGAGTTAAAAGTGCTGTGGACTAAAAAAAATGTTACAAGAAATGTGAAAAAAAATAGAGAAGTTATGATGCTAGAAACACTATAATTTGTTCTGGCTGTTTTCTGGTTTCATCCAAATACTTCTCAGGTGCAGTCCAGATGCTCTCCACAACTGTAATAGGCTGCCTAAAGATGTTAATACCCTGTTGCCTGTACCAGCACAAGTCTAGAACTGAGTATCCCCCCAACTTCATCATGATAATGCTGTTTGTTGGACTTATGAGGTAAGTCTTTCCTCTCTGTAAATACCCACTGGCTATCCCTCTAAGTTTAAAGTTTCATACTTCCAGCAGGGTATGGGCAATTTGTTGGTGGTTTTGAAGGAAACTTATATAGATGTAACAGACAGCTTTAAAAAAAAAGTACAGTCTTTTTGCACACTAACAAATAATCAGTAACCCTTGTTTTGTGGGAGCGATAACATACATTTTTAAAAGAGCAATTAATTGACTCATTCATGTTTTGAGGGTAGTTAAATTTTGTGGTCACAAGGTAATCCTGTAAGCATGATGAATATGGTGATCACGATGGTATTAATTCTCCTTCACAAACATGCTGTTCATGCTAACCTGAATAAAAGTTTTTTTTTCCACCAAACAAATCTAAAAAAACATTGGCTCTTAAGTAAAGGATTTGATAATTAAACATCAAACTTTGTTACAGCAGAGGGAACCACTTACATGTAAAGTGAGTGTACCCCTCATGACTGTGACTCACTGCTGTGGTGCCAGCCAGGGACATGACAGGTGGGAAGACATGGTGAACAAAGTTGCATAAAATTAGGACATGTTAACCAAAAACTGGGGCAGATTCATGATCCTTTTTTTGAGGAAACAGTCATCAGTGCAGCAGAAATATTACAAACTGTCACAGTCTAAAAAATATGATATCAAAGGTTGAAATGCCTGAAAGCGAAGTCTTTGAATGTACTTTTGAATATTTTAAGTGAAAATGCATTGAAGCAAACCATTAGCTGACCTGTCATCTGTCCATCTGAATTAATGTTATTTTTATTATCATTGTTGTAATTTACTGTGATAATATGTGAATTATTGCTGTATTCCCATGATCAGTTTAAAACCAGACTTAGTATTTTTAGCTGCCACGTTAACAATTCCTACCATGTTAAAACCTTCAATTAAGTGAAAACCTGTGGGTTGATCTTTGAGTTTCCCCTTATGCCCATTTTACAAGATCCTTTATCTTTTTCTCAAAGTGCAGATTGGCTTCATTTTTAATGAGTGCACATGTAAGACTCCCATATTTTTGTGGGCATGTGGTTTTTCCATATAAACCTCAATTTCCAGATTTTTATAAACCTAAAGGGGTGACCCTCAAGACCTGCAACCATGTTCAGAAGAAGTGATATTAAATCTTGAAGACTTAAAGCAGGCAACTGGACTGTGTAGAGTTGAGAAGACGTTTCGCCTCTTATCCAAGAAGCTTCTTCAGTTCTAAAATTGCTAGTGTGAGGAGCAGATATTTATCTTGCTGGAGAAGGGGGAAGATAACGACTGGGTGGAGTTGAAGAGAATGGGTCGTAGAAACCCATTTCTGGGTGTGTGTGTCCCCCAAGTCGTTAACATGAAAGGGTCGTTAGCGATTCCTGTCATGTGACCACATGACTCATGCCACCTGGGTCATGTGGTTCCAGGTGTGAATGTTTGTGGAGCTTCCTGGGGAGAGAGCTAAGAACAGCATTGTAAGTGCCTGAGAGATTGTGCCTGAGTCCACCCCCTCTGTTCAGAGAAGGTTTCTCCAGCCTGGTAAAGATGGCTTCTTTAACTCCTCTTTCAAACCATCTGTCTTCTCGAGCCAACACCTGTACATTGCTGTCCTCGAAAGAGTGACCCGTATCCTTCAAATGAAGGTGGACAGCTGAGTCCTGACCTGAGGAAGTGGCTCTCCTGTGTTGAGCCATGTGCTTGTGAAGCGGTTGTTTCGTTTCCCCAATGTACAGGTCCGAGCATTCCTCGCTGCACTGGACGGCGTACACCACATTACTCTGTTTATGTCTCGGTGTTTTGTCCTTGGGGCTGACTAGCTTCTGCCTTAGTGTGTTACCAGGCTTGAAGTGAACAGGAATATGGTGTTTGCCAAAGATCCTCTTGAGTTTTTCCGACAGACCTGCAACGTAAGGGATCACAGTGCTCTTGCGTCTCTCCTCCGTTTCGTGTTCAGTGTTATTTCTCTTTCTGTTCTTTACAGAGGCCCACTTAGGGTATCCACAGGTTTTCAGGGCATTTTTGATGTGCTTCTGTTCCTTTTCCGTACCTTATTTCTTCGTGGGAATATTCTCAGCCCGGTGGTTGAGTGTTCTGATGACACCCAGTTTGTGCTGTAGAGGATGGTGGGAATCAAAAAGTAGATACTGATCCGTGTGTGTTGGTTTCCTGTACACTTCAACGTTGAGACACCCATCTGCCTCCAAGTGTACAGCACAGTCCAAAAAGGCCAACACCTTGTCCTTGACATCTTCAAGGGTGAACTTGATGTTTCTGTCCACTGTGTTGATATGGTCAGTGAAGGCCTCTACTTCGTGTGTTTCGATCTTAACCCAGGTGTCATCCACATATCTGAACCAGTGGCTAGGTGCTGCTCCTTTGAAGGAGGTAAAGGCCTTCCTCTCTACCTCTTCCATGTACAGGTTTGCCACTATTGGAGAAACCGGGGAGCCCATAGCGCATCCGTGTTTCTGTCTGTAATGGCGCTCTCTGAACTGGAAATAGGTGGTGCTGAGGCAGATGTCCAATAAGGAGCAGATGTGGTCTGGGGTTAAGTTGGTTCTGACTTCCAGTGTGCTGTCCTGTAAGAGGTGCTGTCTTACTGCTTGGACTGCCTCTGTTGTCCCCTAACCCTCCACCCAGTCGTTATCTTCCCCCTTCTCCAGCAAGATAAATATCTGCTCCTCACACTAGCAATTTTAGAACTAAAGAAGCTTCTTGGATAAGAGGCGAAACGTCTTCTCAACTCTACACAGTCCAGTTGCCTGCTTTAAGTCTTCAAGATAACCATGACCTGGATGAATGAGAATCTACATGGACAAGTGATATTAAAGTTTCAGAGAAATAGGGATGCACCAAGAATTTGGCCACTGAAAATTTTTGGCTGAAAATGGCAGAAAAGTGCATTTTTGTTTTTTGGCCAAAAGACTTTTATCACAGAAACAACACGTCCGAAACAGATATTGTAATGAATGAAGGCTAAATAACATGTCTGCTTTGTGGACGTATTTCAATGTACGAAAACCACGGATAGCCATTTGCATAACATGTAATGGTAAAATTTTACGAGAGGGTGGATCTGCAAAGAGTGTCTTTATGTCGGGTTTAGTTTTATCACCTGAAATCCAAACATCCCAATAGCCATTCTGAATTAGAAGAGCACTGCACAGAAAAGGAAAATCTCTCCGAGCACGCCCCTCACAAATTTTCATAGTGTACAAAACAAACGGTGTGCTGTGTTCAGTCTAATACCACCTTCCTGTCCTTGATTATCAACAATCGGTATCGGTACCTTGAAAAACCATATCGGTTGATCCTTACCAAATGCACAAACAGACGCTGGGGGAAGGTTCACTTAAAAAAAAAAAATGTAGATTTCACTGAAATCAACATTGCAGCACTTGCAACGCAAGCTCATGCTCAGCTCCTGCTCTCGGCTGCTTGAAAGTAAAAACAGTGATGCTACATATTCCTCTAGTTGTGTCACAACACTTCTTCTCTTGAACTTTTGAGTTGTTTTTGCCCTGGACTCGCTGGCGCCATCTGAACAACACAGAACATGCAGCAACACACTGACCAAAAAACCTCAAAACTCACATTGCAATTGCATACATTAATCTTGATTAAATATTAAATATTAATTAATATTAATTTTATATTGATTTATGCAATTGCACGGCTTTGATTTTAGTAAGGATAGAACACAGTCATAGCCATTAATGCAATGGTACTAATAATTGGCTCAATGATTTCTTTCGGTGTTTCAGTTTTTGGCTTTGGTTTCCTCACTTAAGGTTTTGGTTTCGGCCAAAAGAATTTCATTTTGGTGCATCCCTATAAACTATCAATCTGTTTTTGGCAACATTTTATGCTGTAATTATCTTCAAACTGGTTTTATGTTGCTTAAGATAATGGATAATATGTAACATTGCAGGGGGTAAACTGTGTGACTATGAAACAGATAAATATACCTTGCCTTTGCAGCATATCCTGCAATCCAACATGTGCCAATGATCCTGAAATATATGCAATGCAACAGTTATAACAACAGCAAAGAGTTAATGGCTTCTTCACTTGGTTGAGCAATTTTATGAATAAAACATCTGACATTTAAGAATAGCTTTTCAGAGAGTAAAGTCTTTAAATTATCTGTTTCTTTGTGTTAGGTTCACCACAGTAGTTTTGGGCTTAGTAAGCCTGAAGAATGTGGCTGTGTCTTTCGCAGAGACAGTGAAGAGCTCAGCACCCATCTTCACTGTCATCATGTCTAGGCTGATACTTGGAGAGTACACAGGTACACAGCTGCATGTTTGTCTCTAGGGGCTGGAATGTATAATTACAGGCTATCAAGGATTCAAGGAATATTTCAGAGCCATTGCTGACAACTAAAAAGGTTGATCATTTTATAAAACCTTCATTAGTCAGTTATTATCTATGCTTACCTTGGTACAAGCAACTTACTATACCAGGTCATACCAGTTTGCCTGCCATGAGGAGATCGGGTCAAAGGGACTTTTCACCGTGAATAAACATTTTGAAGCTTACAAAGTAAAAAAGAAAAATTTTGATTTCATTTCTCTAAAAATGTCTGCTCAAAATGAAAATTCTCCAAGTGATAAAATTCCATGCTAGCTACCTCTACCTGTTGTCCCATCAAGCTGGATTTTAGAAAAACTTTTTTAAGTGTCTAACCAACTGTGGTGTCAGTGGCAGTCAAAACTCAACGTTTCTCAAGCACAACGATCTTTTCAGAAGGGTAATACTAAAAGAACATAGTACCAAAAGAGTTCTGAGATTTAAGTTTGTGTCATTATCATCTGTGGAGATTTAGAAACCAAAGACCACAAAACACAAAATGCATAGATAGGCAATTAAATGACATTTAAGAAAAGCCAGCAATATTCACAGAACAACATTTATTTTACAGAGCAACAAATCTGATAATTATTTAAAAAAAATTCTTTCCCTCACATCTTTGTTCTTCCCACCAGAGATGCAAGGAAACTTTTCATTTAGAGAGCAAATAAAAACAGAAATATCTTTCACTTGAAAAGCAGCATTAATGTCTGTGGAGAGGGACAGGATGAAAGATTCGGTAACATCTTTGGAACAGTGTCACTGATCGAATGAAAACATGACCTTGTGTTGTTTTATTTTGTTGTTGCACTTGTGGATATGTAGTCTTTGGTGTTATTAGGGCCCAAGCCGTCGCTACGAAGCAGCTGGCGAGAGCACTATTGAAACGCTAGGAATCATTTATTTATTTTCATTTTTATACATCCCACTTTTTTAAGGTATGACCCTCTTGAACAGTGGTTCGAAACCTCATTGGGGTCCTGGACTTCCTGCATATTTTTGATCAACCCTGAGGACCGCCCTCCAATCTGGGGGGGCAATTTCATAGAAACTGCATAAGCATTTGTTGCATTATGGCATTTATTTACTCTTTGAGGCAAATATTAGCTTTCAATTCTAAGTTCCTGAACAAAAAAATAATCATACTCTTGTAGTAGTGTCTTGGCATAATGTCCCCCAACTGCATTGTTCTGCAGCTTCCAGAAATATGTAACAAAACAGTTTGTCGGTAACCTGCTGAGTAATGTCACCAGCCATCTCATCCACCCTGCAGCATGTAGTGTCTTGAGACAGCGGTAATAACCAGACTGCCTTTTTATCCACCATGGTTTCAGCTAGGACAGCAGCAGTGGATGCATTTAGATTCTCAGTTATTGTATATTGCTTTTTAGCTTTGGCAACAAGCAAAGTTTCACAATCACAACATTATTAAGTAACAAATGGTGTATCCCCACTGAAACAGGTTTACAATTTGAAAAGGATGCAGATCCTGGTAAGCGTCACACTGTAACTTGAACAATGCAAATGGCAAAATTGAGGTTTTGACATTTTCTGCCACTTTTTTAGTTTTTTTTTTTCAAAAATTAACTCCTCCCAGGGATTTCATGCAAGAAAGCTGAAAGTGCAGCCACTGGTACCCACCATATTCAATTGATGTAATTTCTCCTCCAGTCTGTAGGTGAGACCTGTAGGAAGATTATATCAAAAATTAAATAAAAAAATCATGTGTATAGGCCAAAGGGCCACATAACAAAAACAGGGGTGGGGTGGGGGGTGGAGGTGACAGGGCAGCAGTGCGCCAAGGAGGTAGTGCAACACTGTTCAGCCCCACCAGTGCCCTGCAGGGTGCTAGTTTTAAGCTTGGGATTGTCTAATCTTATTTAGAATAGAAGAAGGGATAAAATTTTCCAAAATCCTTTTGGAACAAAGGCTCAGTTATGTCAGTCTTTACAGTGATAATTTTGTAATGTCTTACTGCTCTGTTGCTTACATGTTTTTTGTCGTGTTTTAGTTTTAATTTTTTAAAGAAATATGTTTTCTTTAAAAGATGAATTTTGGCCATGATATAAAAAAATGTTGTGCTGGTTAACCAATTTGTAAATATGAAACTGGTCAATTTTATCAGACAGCATTGATGTGTACACTCAGTGCTGTTTGTGGGTGTACAAAGACCACTGAATTGTACTCAGTTCTTGCAACCTATGAGATAAAACTAAAATTCTCTTGCTTCTTCATTCTGCAGGGCTGTGGGTGAACTTGTCCCTGTTTCCTGTCATGGCAGGCCTGGCTCTTTGCACAGCCACAGAGATCAGCTTCAATATGCTTGGTTTCTCTGCTGCTTTGTCTACCAACATCATGGACTGGTACTTTGGCACTCAAATCAGTTATCCCACAGCAGTTACATACGTAATGTAACCTCTTGTCTTTGATCTCAGTTTGCAGAATGTATTTTCCAAAAAACTACTGAGTGGAGACACATACAGATTCAGGTAAAAGGAGATGAACCCTTCTTTAAATGGCTTACACAGTTTTTACGTTTTTTTACTGTCATATCCTTGTTATAAACACTATGATTTATTTCAGTCCCCCAGAACTGCAGTTCTATACTAGTGCAGCTGCGGTTATCATGCTAATACCTGCCTGGTTGTTTCTTTTGGTATGTGAAGATAAAGTTATTTAATTTTTGAATTAATATAATTGGTGCAAGTACTTATGACAGTGTTATCTAGCACAGGTTGGTTGCCATTTTCGATGAATTTTCCTTCGATTTTTTATTTTTAGATTAATGTAAGAATATGTATAGGGTTTGGTGCAATAAAACAGCAACACTTACAAAAACATAAGGTAAAATGTTAAATGTCTTTCTGGCAATCTATTAATTCACAAAACAAGATATGGTATCACTGAAAGTCAAGGTTAATTGTATTGATTGTTGTCTTGCTTCATCTTCATGCTTCCAGGACATTCCAGGGATTGGAAAGAGTGGACAAAGTTTTATCTTCACTCAAGACATCATCCTGTTGCTACTTTTTGATGGCTCCTTGTTCCACCTGCAGAGTGTCACTGCTTATGCTCTAATGGGACGGATTTCCCCTGTTACATTCAGGTAACAAACGGGTACAAGGCTAGATGATATCATAGCTTTTAGTATGGAAACAGGGTCTGCTTACAGCTCACTCCACTAATTTTAGAGGTGCTATAATATGAAAAATAAACATTAAGGCTAAAAACACAACCAAAGTTAGTTCCTGTAGCAAATACTTACACAGTTGTAGCAAATATTAACTGTACAGGACACTAGTCCCAAAACTTTACTCTAAAGAGCACTACTACTGTATGCTCCAAAGAAAATGCAAATTTATGAAAACAATAACGACCCGCATCTCTTCCCCAGTGTTGCCAGTACTGTCAAACACGCCCTGTCCATCTGGCTGAGCATCATCGTGTTTAGTAACCAGATCTCCATCCTTAATGCCATTGGCACCGTCCTTGTGTTCATGGGGGTCTTCTTGTACAACAAGGCCAGACGGATCCAGAGGGAAGCTTTACAGGCCATGGCTACTGAGCAGAACCACAAGCCAGTACTGCAGGGCCATGACTTCAAAGCCACTGAGTGTCAATGAGGAATCATATCCTTAAAGTAAATTACTTCTTCTTGGAATCAAGCAGTTCTGTTTGCTAAATTTTGACTCTGAAGAAACACTACCTGGATATCTTTCTTTTTCTTTGCCATGCACATTTTACAGTGCAAGAGGAGAATATAGCCTGTTTACGGATTTGCATGTGTGCAGAGCCCTCCAGGTGCCAAATCAAGAAGAATAACAATGTGCCAATTTATGCAAACACACACACACACACACACACACACGTGGATTGATAACCATACTCACAGATTTGTTGCGCAACTATTTTTTCTTTACCTCACACCTGGAGATCTGTACGTGTGTTTTAGGTAGAGGTTTAACTTGTGCATAGAAAATTGGGTCACCCTCCAAAGCCATGGGTTATGACTCGGCTGACTCACCACACACAGGGTGAGCTCGTTCATACTGACAGCCAATATGTGCTTAAAGTTTATACTGACAGTCTGTATAATTACTGGATGTAGTGTCACTAACGTCACTCATCTTTTTGTGAAGCTGAGTCTTGAAAACAATTGGGGGGTGGTCGCTATATTTAAAGTGCAAATGCAACCAAGGTTTCAGTCAACCAACAAGACTGGGCCTTTACCTTCCCTGCAAATGGCCACAGTTTGCTTGCCAGTCAAGTCAGTAATGCCTCTAATTCATCAATCCTCAATGACTTTGAACTAAACAGTTTTCAAAAACTCACTCTCCATACTGTGAGTGCCATAAAAGCCACTTGAACGTACTGTGTTTTGATGGCCAGTGTGACATCACCACCAAGGAGAAAAGAAAATCCTGTCTTGTAATTCCACTTAAAACAAAATAAATTAATCTGGGAGTTTTTTTCTTTCTCTTTGTTCTCTACGCTTTGTTTGCTAGTCCACAGGAAGCATACAACCAGACCTACTTATATGGTGCTCATTGGTATGGGTGGAGATTTATGCTGATTTGTGACCAGTAGAAGTGCCCTATCACTTCATGATTGATTGGCATTCATAAGCTTACATATCAGTTTACAATGAAATCTGGGTTTATCACCTTGTTCATGAATCCAGAGTAGGTTTTTAGTACCAATGACTTTTATGTGTGAATCTACAAATAAAATTACTCATCCACATGAGTCAGTCCTGGTTGTGGTCTGCCCTGCCCTGTTCGGCGTCTTGGTTAAAAAGAGGGTGGGGAAAAAAAAGGTCCTGTGAAGTAGACAGGTCAAGTCCACTACATAATCTCCAAGAACACCCACCCAAAGCTTGATTATAGGTGGATTTATTAGTACTTTATTGAAGAATTTCTTTATCTCTTTGTTGTCAACAGAGCCCAATAGTTTTTACACTATTCTTACACACATCATGTCTATGTTATTCTGCTTGCAGTGCACTGATCAGCTGATTGGGTCTACAATTAAACTTATTTTAGCTTAGTCCACCCCTTCAGAATTCTGTTTGGAAACATCCTCTACGCTACATAAAAGGACTTGCTGGTTTGTTATCAAAAGCTAGCATCCAAGTTACTATGGGGTGCCCAAGGTTGTACATTTGAGAGGGCAGTATCAATGCCACATAATGCAGGCGTTAGAGCAATCATCATTTTTAAGAAGTAGCCCAAGATTTGCTGTAAAATGTTCATGGTATTGATATCTTTCCCCCTACAAAGGTTAGACAGCAATCCAACTCAGAGTCTAGATCTCTGTGTTCAATACCATAGAGATCAATACCCTGAAAAATGTCAGTACCCTGAAAAATGCCAAGCATATACTGATGATTTAAGGCAGGCATGTCCAAACTATTCCACAAAGGGCTGGTGTGGCTGCAGGTTTTTCTTCCAACCAATCAAGAGCACGCCGTCTGACCAATCAGCTGTTTGAAGACTGAGATCAGCTGATGAAATGAATCAAGTCTGGTGTGCTGCTTGGTTAGAAGAAAAACCTGCAGCCACACCGACCCTTTGTGGAATAGTTTGGACATGTCTTATTTAAGGTGTCTTGTAGCATTAGTATATAGTGACCTTTTCCAAACTACATCTCTAGTTAAATCATGTCCCTTTGTCTTTTTATTTTTCAGGTCAGACCACATAACATAGATCAAAAAATGCTGGTGTAATGGTCCTGAAAAATGTGGCTTGAGAAATCTGTTACAGATTTTCCAAATCTTGTTGTTGGTTACGAAGTTTAAAGAACTGATTTGGTGGGTAAATAAGTAGGAGTTGCTGTAAATTTGTCAATTTCAAGTTAATTAGTTCTTTAACTGTCATTTAGAAAACTCTTAAGCCGGGTGTACAGTGTGCAATTTGAAGCTAATCATGAGCCAAATTTGGGGTCTTAAGACTGCTCTAGAAGTTGGCTTGACTTTGAGCAAGATAAAGTGTTGTTTGTTGTGCGGTGTACAGGGCATCATAAGCACTGATCACAGCCCAATAAGCTGCGCCCAACTAGTGGGGTGAGATTCAGAAAATGTGGTTGGCCCATGCACACTCTCATGCAGTATTAGCAGTGTAATAACGCCTGTAAATGTAGTAACATTTGCACTCAACTCAATTGAAAATGTAATAAAACCCAATAATGTAATAACTTCACTAATAATGTAATAAAATAATCTGACTGATAATGTAATAACATTTTACCGCTAATGTAATACCTTATTACATTATTAGGAATTTATTACCTTTTTAAGGATTTTTTTTCCCCCAAAACTGATAATGTAATTTATATGTGTGTGTGTGTTCATTTTCAGTTCAGATTTATATATATACATATATATTACATTATCTGTCAAGTATTAGATTATCAGTTTTGAAAAAAAAAAAAAAACTCCCAAAAATGTTAAATTCCCAATAATGTAATAAGGTGTTATATTATTGGTAAACATGTTATAACACTATCAGTCAGATTATTTTATTACATTATTGGTGAAGTTGTTACATTCTTGGGTTTTATTACATTTTTGATCGAGTTTAGTGCAAATTTTATTACATTTTCAGGCGTTATTACATTTTCAGGAAATCATCACATAATAGGGTGCCACAGGGCTTCCTTCTCTTCAGGGCTATTTTTCCCAATTGCACCTGAAAAATGTCAGCGTCTGCTAGCACCAAGGCAGCATGCTGTGTGATGATTACAACTGTAATACACATAAACAGTCTGTGGCAACAACACCATGGGTTAGGGTTTCACAAAAATAAAATTTGATGCATCCAACATATGCAGACTGGAGTGATGAACACACCTACCACCTTAAGACACGATACTCATCTTGTCTTAAGAGCAGAGCCTCATTAATTCTTCAAAACTGGGGACATGCTGACATTGACAGCCAGGATTTTACTTTGACAGGTGGGCTGTAAAACCGTTGCCTACTTATTTTCATCCACAGTGGTTGAGTTTGAGCATCTGTAGCTGCGTTTCCATTACCCATAGATTTGTGCAAAACCTAAATATCGCAATAGAAAACTGGTAATGGAAACACCTAAATTTCGAAAAACCTTTCAAATATTGCTAAAAAGTTATTACGCTCTCATGAGGTGGTTTTTCAGACGTGTCAATATAGAAGTATATCACAAAAGTGTAATAGAAACACAATTCTCGCAATTCTACGTCACCGGACGTGACGTAGCGGGTCATGTGATCATGCTTCTGAGTGGGAACTGCCTCCTGGGGGCTTGACATGGCGGGTGCCACAAGAGGCTCAATAGCATCACAGTTTATTGAACGTATCCCGGGTCATCCTGAAGTTTTGAATCCACAGTTTGTCTGTGAATTCCTCATTAACAATCCTCTCTTAGAAATCCCTCGTCCGTGTCCGCTCCCATACATACAGGCTTTGCCTTTGAATTATCACCCACTGCCTTCGTCTTCTGATGACAGCAGCGGCAACAGCAGTAATACAAGTATTCCTCGCAGGAATACGAGGTCGCACGGGCAGGAAGTTTACCTCGTTGCTAGGCAACGGCCATTCAAACACGGCTCGCGAGAGGCAGATGGCTGGCTTATGCACTGAACACATTCAATGGAAACACCCGCAAATCGCAATTGTACTTTGTCGAAATTTGATAGACGTCACTTTTATTTCGCGAAAAAATTTAATGGAAACGCAGCTTGTGTCTGTGTGTAGCTAATGCACATGTAGTCAGCCTGCATACTTGAGGACTTGGTGTTGGTTCTAGGACTTAAGTTGGAAAGGTGAAATTGTGCTTTGTAATGACTAGAAAGTCATAATTTAGGGCTTTAACTGTAGGGATGGAAATCGAGAACTGGTTCTTGTTGAGAACCAGTTCCAAATGGTTTAATCCACCAACATCATTGACATTTTATCTTAATGCTTCCCTTAACGATTCCTGTCTTCTAGGTGCCTTGAAAAATGGTCTTGCGAGTGCCAGTCTACATGAACGGCAACAGACACAGAGAAAATACATGGCGGACAGTAAGAAAAGTAGGTAGCGACGAGCTAAAGTGCGGTTTACTTTTACTAAGAAAGATGACAACAGTGCAGCTTTGTCGAGCAGTGATAACATGCAAAGGTGGCAAATAAAATAAAACAATTGATCCAAATCGAATTTTGACCCAAGGACGTCACAGACATGTTTTTAACACACCAGGGGACGATTTTAAGTTGTGTGAAATTGGCATGCCATGGGACCTTTAACTCCAAGGCCATACTTCTCCTTTCCCATGCTCATTAAAAAGAAACAGATATGACTCTGCAAGCATTCACACCAAGTGAGTTTCAGTAAATGATGATTAACATACTTATATAATGATAAAATACACATGTGGTAGCATACACATAATATTTTTCTTTCATTTCCCTCCTGTTTATCATTATTACAGTATGAAAATTTTTCTCATATCAGTAACTTCTTTCAATTTTCTGTAAGCATGTCACATTTGTTGATATACTGCAAACAATTGTGTATCATGACGAGCTCAGCTAGACTGCAGTGTCCATGTTTCCTGCCTGCTCCACGAGCTTTAGATACACTTCACCATGTTCCTGCAAGAGCATGTCTCTAACTGAGTTCGAGACAGCATGAGTGATCATCAATCTGAGGCATTGTAAGATGCAGGAGACGAATACACAGAATAATAGTAACACAGTTGCAAATGGTGTCAGGAATTTCAAAAGGATATGATACCAAGGACCAGACGATATCCAGCTTAGCCAGTCCCCTTTATTCACATGATCACCATCCACAGCCATCCTCAGTGCAGTCAGGTTTGCAGTCGCCTGCTGAATGATTCCTCCATCTGCATCATTTTCTGGAATGATAGTACAGCAAGATGTACCCACCAAGGCACATGCTCCTCCTGACTCCAGTGAGTTGTTCCAACACAGTATAGTCCTGCAGCTCCATCATTCTCAAGGCAGTGAGCTCCTCTTTCATGCCCTCCAGCGCTGTGATGGTGATGTTTGCAAAGGTATTAAACCTGTTATTAGGTGTCTCAGTTCTTAACATTGTCTTACCCAATCTTGCCAAGGGAAAGAGTGATAGGATCACCTTCTGACTGTCAGACCACAGCTTATGATTGAGGGGTATGTCCATTCCCCAAATCGAGTAATGTCGAGGAAAGAGATCTCTCTTTTTCCTGCTCTCAGTGGCATCTTTAACACTGGTGGTCACTGTGAAGGAATGATCAGAAGGGGTTATCACAGCAAACCTGCCAGTCCATCCTAGGAGTAGATCAAGAAAAGCATTAGCACCACACATCCACACACAGTCTGATTGTGGAAGTGTACCCATAACGTCAGGAACAGTGTAATATGGTCGACGCTGTTTACCATGTGGTGCTTGAGTGGAATTGAGAACACCTTTTGAGTCAGCTGTACAGGGAACATATATCACTCTACAATGAGATCTGTCCACCTTTCCTATGTTGGTGTCTTTATCCTGCCCCAAGTAGATGTGGTTCTTGTGACAGATGAACTTAGTACCCAGAGGAATGAAGAGCGGTCCATAGATCTTCCTGTTACCTGTAGAGTCAGTTTTCAACAGGTTATGGAAAGATAACTTTGAAAACTCAGGTGGAGTAGGTGTAGCCTGACGTGTTTCACCAACTACAATCTGTTTTAGAACCTCTGGCCATAAAGCTGACTGCAATGCTTCATGAAATAGTCTGCTGTCATTCAGGTACAGCTATGGAACCACGTACAGGTTTTTGTGGCTAGGGACATCCTAGTACAGACATAGCAGTTAGACTGATTCCTTGTCTTTGCTAGATATTTTGCATATCTGTACCAAGTTTATTACCTCAAATGAGTTTTTGTAGTCAATCACTTTCATTAGCCATTCTATCTCCACATCTGGTCCGTTGTTGTCACTTCTCTTTCCGTCTTTAAGTTGATCTGGAGTTGAAAATAATGTTTTAGTAGGTAAATTAACAGTATCAGGTTCAGCAGAAGCAAAATACCTAACTTTCCCGTTTTCCTATGCTCCTAAGAAATTCAAGACCATTTTATCTTCACTGACATTGAAACGAACGCCCACTATAAGGAAGCCCACCTTTGAAGTCAGGCTTTCCTAACTAAAACCCATATAGGTTTTTTGCAATGGGAAAGATGTATCCAACTACTTGTCTGTGCTATTTTTACTGCTGTGGGTGTCATGAGCAGTAGCTTTTTTTTTTTTTTTTTTTTAAATCAGGACCCAATCTCCGACTTTCACCAGCTCCTGGTGTCTCCTCTGTAGGTGGAGAGGATCATCTGGCGTTCTATAGGCATTCATGATTTCTTTTGTCTTCAACATTTTGATCATGTAATCCACTGTGTCTAATTCCCTCTCAGATTCTGGTGATAATAGTCCAAATTGGGGTATTACAAATGTTCTGCCATATAAGATTTCAAAAGGAGTTAAGCTTTTGTTGGAATTAGGAGCTATATAGATTTATAATTTTATCAAGTCCAAACAATAAATCCAGTTTTTTTTTCCTCTCTTCCATAGCTTTCTTTAATCTATTTTTAACTATACCATTATGTCTTCATAGAAGGCCTGCACTCTGTGGATGATAGGCACAATGGTATTTTGAATCAACATTTAATCTGAGTCTGTTGGGTCTAAAACCTGCAACAAATGACTGAAAACACATAAAGAAGAGAAATACAATGGTTTAGATTTCTTACTCGAGGAGGATGGGCAGAGATAGTTTCAGTTACAATCTCAAAACCATTCTGAAGGTATTTCTGTCCAGTCTCTTTTTATTTAGGGTTGTCCCTGGTTACACAATGTTACTAAAGGATGGGGGAAAACTATGTGCAGCAACGTAAGCACTCTCATAAAGCATAATAATGAACAATAGAAACTAGGGCCCCGGTGGGGCACTGTCGGGCCCGAGCCGCGTCGTGCCGCCCCCAGCGTGACCGCCTACCCCTCCCGATCGCGTCACACTCAAGGTCCAAAGATGGTGTGCGCACTTGTCTGTGGTCATTTCCCATTATAATGAATGGGAGGCGCAGTTTCTACCAAAACACTCGCTGCAGACAAACTTCATGTCCTATTTGAAAAAAGTCTGGACCATGAGTGAGGGCACAAACACAGCTGGGATATATCCAAATGGCAGGTTGCTCCTCCTTACAATGTTGCCTGGAGAGCGATGCGATTGAGCCATTGAGCGATGGGCAGGAAAAACTTGACTTTTTCTACTGCCATGGGGGGGGGGAGAATGTGGATTCTTTTAAGAATGTGGATTTTTTGGTCATCTTTGGCGCCCCCTAGAACGTAAACCGTGGGGTGCAGCGTCATGATTTTTACAACTTTGAATGGCCATGGGGTGTAGATTGGCCTGAGCAAATTTGGTGTCAGTGGGACGAAAGCCTTAGGAGGAGTTAGCCACATTCCAATGTGTGCGAATCGGCAAAAAATGCAAAATAGCCCTCTAACCGTACATTTGACAGATACGCACCCATTGACTTTTTCGTAGATCTTATTGAGATACACGTGATTGTCAAATTTTGTGTCAATATGACAAAGCGTACAGGTGTCACACTCAACAATGTGAATTTTCACCTTACGGGACAAGAAAAAATGGACTTTTTTCTCCTGCCATGGGGGGGGCGCTCTTTTGGGGAGTAAAAATTCCTTCACAAATGTGTTGATGGCTGGACATTGCATTATCCTAGAAAACTTGGAGGCCAGTGAGGACAAAAATAAAAAGTTATAAGACTTTGAAATATGTGGATTTTAGGGTTATCTTTGGCGCCCCCTAGAACCTAAACCGTGGGGTGCAGCGTCATGATTTGAATAACTTTTAATGGCCATGGGGTGTAGATTGGCCTGAGCAAATGTGGTGCCGGTGGAACGCCAGCCTTAGGAGGAGTTAGCGAAATTCCAATGTGTGCGGATCAGCAAAAAATGCGGAATAACCCTTTAACCGTACATTTGACAGATACGCGCGCATTGACTTTTTCGTAGATCTTATTGAGATACACGTGATTGTCAAATTTTGTGTCAATATGACAAAGCGTACAGGCGTGACACTCAACAATGTGTATTTTCACCTTAGGGGACAAGAAAAAATGGACTTTTTTCTCCGGCCATGGGGGGGCGCTCTTTTGGGGAGTAAAAATTCCTTCACAAATGTGTTGATGGCTGGACATTGCATCATCCTAGAAAACTTGGAGGCCAGTGAGGGCAAAAATAAAAAGTTATAAGACTTTGAAATATGTGGATTTTAGGGTTATCTTTGGCGCCCCCTAGAACCTAAACCGTGGGGTGCAGCGTCATGATTTGAATAACTTTTAATGGCCATGGGGTGTAGATTGGCCTGAGCAAATGTGGTGCCGGTGGAAAGAAAGCCTTCGGAGGAGTTAGCGAAATTCCAATGTGTGCGGATCGGCAAAAAATGCGGAATAACCCTTTAACCGTACATTTGACAGATACGCCCGCACTGACTTTTTTGTAGATCTTATTGAGATACATATGTGTGTCAATTTTCGTGTCATTTTGACAAAGCGTAAAGGCGTGACAGTCAATAGTGTGAATTTTCACCTTAGGGGGCGCTATGGAGCCATTTTGCATTTTCTTGTTTGGGCGACTTCGGAATATCAAATTTTTCACCAGGCCCGGTCATCCTGCCAAATTTCATGAGTTTTCGCCAGTGGGAAGTGGGCCATTTTCCAGTTCAAAGGGGAGGAAAAAGAAGAACTAGGGCCCCGGTGGGGCACTGTCGGGCCCGAGCCGCGTCGCGCCGCCCCCAGCGCGACCGCCTCCCCCTCCCGATCGCGTCACACTCAAGGTCCAAAGATGGTGTGCGCACTTGTCTGTGGTCATTTCCCATTATAATGAATGGGAGGCGCAGTTTCTACCAAAACGCTCGCTGCAGACAAACTACATGTCCTATTTGAAAAAAGTCTGGACCATGAGTGAGGGCACAAACACAGCTAGTATATATCCAAATGGCAAGTTGCTCCTCCTTTCGGTTTTGCAGAGAGAGCGATGCGTTTGAGCCATTGAGCGATGGGCAGGAAAAACTTGACTTTTTCTCCTGCCATGGGGGGCGCTCTTTTGGGGAGAAAAATTCCTTCACAAATGTGTTGATGGCTGGACATTGCATCATCCTAGAAAACTTGGAGGCCAGTGAGGACAAAAATAAAAAGTTATAAGACTTTTAAAAATGTGGATATTTGGGTCCTCTTTGGCGCCCCCTAGAACGTAAACTGTGGG